TTATAAGACTGAGTGGACCAGGGTTTGGTTCAGTGGCTCTGTCTGTTTTAGATGGCAGCATTCAGCCTCTGTAGTTTGGTGAGGGCAGTGATTCTCTTAGGGTACAGAATGACCAGGTGGGGATTTAGCTTGATGACACTTGTAAAGAAGGCAGTGGTGCCTGTAGTTAGCACATTTAGGGTTCCTGTTCACTTGCCTGACCTATCCTCTTGCTTATCTCAACATTTTCCATTTCTATGGGTGTTGTGTACCTGTCTCATGTAGACTGAACTAGCCTTGGATTGCTTTGATACTGAAGCTGATCCTGACTGAATTCATGATCCTCTTGTGGCCCAGCTTCCGAGTGTTAGGGATTGCAGTTACGCATTCCCATGCCTAGTTTCCCCTCCCCTCCCCTGATATTATCTTCTCATTTAACGTTATTACCAGCAGGTAGCCCTTTACCCTGGCATCATTGTGCGCTTCCTGCATTTGCAGAGAGCTCAGATCCTGCTTGCACGGTTTCATGAAGGCCTGCAGCGGGCTTGTTTGCTTCGTTGCATATTGGCGACTTTGCTTGGTGTCTGTGTTTGGGAGAAGGTAAGAGGCAGAAGAAGGCCTGGTTGAGGAGACTGGCCCAAAAGTGTTGTAAAAGCACATCTAAAGTCATTTTCACTGTATGTAAAGGAGTCTCTGAGCCCATGTGTGATGGACTAGTCACCCATACGCTCATTGAATGTTCATTCCCTGCTTATCTGGAGTGTCCAAGCTTTTTGAGTAGTTGAATTTTGATGAAAGACTCAGTTTATGTGTTGTCCCTGAGGTCCTGTGCCAGGTGATTCCTGTACTCTCACAGCCTCTGTGCCATTGTCTGGGCACTGGCTTGTGTTTAAGTCTTTATATACTCATTTGTCTCCAAAGTAGCTTCCCGAGGGCATTTTTCTCAAAGGGGTGCCCACTTTGATTCTCCTCTCCCTGACACTGTGCCTTTCTATAAGTATCTAAGATCAAATGGGTCAAGGGAATGGGTTGTTAATGGTAGGGTATGTCTCTTTTGCACAGTCCTTAGAGTTATGGATATAGTGAGTAGGTAGTCAGGGTCAAGTTGAAGGATGAATAGGGACTTAGAGATGGAGACAGATTTCACTTTCAGCGGTTTTAGATGTGCCACCTGTAATTGTCAGAAGGATCTTGTGAGGCAAGTGACATCATGAGGAAACTAAGGGACAGAAAAAAGGAAGTAACTCATTCGAAGTGTCATTTTACTAAGTGTTGGATTTGTCAAGACCTTGTATTTGTCTTATCCATTCTACTTCCTCATATAAGGTGGGGATGTGTTCATTGATGTTTTACCTGCATGTATGCACCTCTGTGTGAGGGTGTTAGAGTCCCTGAACGGAAGTTACAGACAGTTATGAACTGTCATGTGGGTACTGGGAATTGAACCCAGGTCATCTGGAAGAGCAGCCAGTGCTCTTAACTGCAGAGCCATCTCTCCAGCCCCCAGCTTTCTGTTTTTTTTTTTTTTTTTTTTGTGGTCTTTCGAGACAGGGTTTCTCTGTGGCTTTGGAGGCTGTCCTGCAACTAGCTCTTGTAGACCAGGCTGGCCTCGAACTCACAGGGATCCGCCTGCCTCTGCCTCCCGAGTGCTGGGACTAAAGGCCTGCGCCACCAACGTCCGGCTCAGCTTTCTGTTTTTAAAACAAGATTTACTGTGTCATAGTGACTGTCCTGGAACTCACCATAGTTCTTTGCCTCAGCCTTCTGAGTGAGATTACAGAGGAGCAGCACCATGTCTTGCCAGTCTGCTTTATGGATGCTTGAACAACGTAATAGTCTGTGTAGGTATTGCCACAGTCAAAATGGTAAGAGTGAAACTCAAAAATGACGTCTTTTTCCTGGGTTGGCTAGATTAACTAGTGAGTAAAGGCACTTGCTGCCAAGCCTGATGACCTGAGTTTGATTCCCCAGACTCATGTGGTAGAAGGGGAGAAAGTTGTTCTCTGATCCCTGTAGATGTGTGCCCATGTACATACATGTGCACATAAAATAGGCAGAAATAGAAAAAGAATTAGTTCCTATTGTTTCACTCACTATTCAGCAGAACTTTCACTGGCAGCTGAGAGGGGTTTGACCCTGTATTTGGTGTATGACTCAGCCTGTTCTGTAAGATTCACCCTCACTTTGCATGTTTATGCTTAAGTGGAGGTAGCCCTATAAAGGTGATGTGAACCGAATAGCTTCCATTCTGGTGGAAACTCTTGTGCAGAGTGTCGTTGTTAGTATGTATTGAGATAGTTGGGGATGCTGTAGTCTCTTCACCTTTGTGCCACTGGCTGCAGTAGGTGTGGGGAGTGAGGAGTAGGTGGAGTGAGAAGGGATGGAATGTGAGCCGACAGCTCCTTAGGGGACGGGTAGCGATGGATGCCGAGTGAGTGCGGACCATCCTACTTCACTTCAGTGCACACTGCTACTAGTTGCTTCATTTGCTGGATCTTTCGTTTTCTTTAGCCTGTAGTGTAGAAAACAAGTTGAAAAACAGAACTTTAATTATCATAATGCTTTTACATTTTGTTTCTTTTTGTGTGTGTGTGTGTGCGCGCGCCATGGTTTAGGTGTGGACGTTAGAGACAGCCTGGAATTGGTTCTCTCCTTTCCCCATATAGGCTCCAGGAATCCAACTCAGGCCCTTAGGCTGACAACAAGGGCCTCACCCTCTGAGCTATCTTGCTTGCTCCCTAATCAATACCTCAGAGTTTTGCCGTTTCTGTGGAGTACCAGCATCATCGCCGTCCTTTTCTTTTTCTTTCCTTTCTATGTGTTTAATCCCCACTGTTTGAAGAATCACTGTGTAATTCTAAAAAGTGAGACTGATTAGAAACTGTCATTTCCTCCAGAAGCAATAAAGTAGTCAGCCTCAAGCTCAGTTCTTGGCAAATTATACATATGACTGGCTTTCCTTATTGTCCTATTCTTCACCACTCGACACAAGTGTCTTGAGTTTTTTAGCCAACATATCCATTCAGTAGGCTGTGTTTTATACACTTACTTTTAAATCTTCTTCTTCTTTGTGTGTGTGTGCTTATGTGCGTGAGTGTGAGTGTGTGTGTGTGTGTGTGTGTGTGTGTTCACATATGCCACACACATGTGGAGGTCAGAGGACCACTCTCTGGAGTCAGTTCTCTCCTCCCACCTGTACATGGGTTCCAGAGACTGAACTCAGTTTTACTTACCGAGCCATCATACTGGCTCCCTGTGTATGTATTTATTTGTATATTTTTCAGACAGACTCTCTAGCCTAGACTAGTCTGAAACTTGCTGTGTAGCTAAGACTGGTCTTGAACTCCTGATGCTCCAGCCACTACCTCCTGGTACAGACACATGCTACCAGTCTGGCAGCAAGATTTTTGCAACTTATATTTAATTAGTGAATTAGAACTTTTTATATAATAGGAGATCTGCAAAAGAAGGTATGGAATCCTATACCTTTGCTTATAAACAGTTTATAAAAGGGGGTGTTTCAGCCAGATGTTGGTGGTGCACACCTTTAATCCCAGCACTCGGGAGGCAGAGGCAGGTGGATCTCTGTGAGTTCGAGGCCAGCATGGTCTACAGAGCAAGTTCCAGGACAGCCTCCAAAACAACACAGAGAAACAAAAGGGTGGGGGTGTTTCAGTAGTAATTCAAAAAATATAGGGTAGAAGCTTTTTGCTGAATCAAAATTATAATCGATGCGTGTTGAAACTTATATAGGGTAGGTATAATGAATTCCATTTCACTTATCTGAAAACAGATTGAGATGCTAATAATTGTCTAGGATCATACAAGTAGAATGCACTGGAGCAGACTCAAACCAAGTCTTGTTGGGTCTAAGGTCTGTTCTGTTCACTTCTCTCTCTACAATAGTTTCTTCAAAACTAAATGGTTCACACTTGCAACTCTAGCTAGCAGTGCTCTTAGGAGTTGGAGGCTAGCCTGGCTTCCATAGTGAGTTCCTGGATAGCCGGAGGTACATAGTGAGACCTTGTCTCCAAACAAAATAAAAAAGAAAGGTAAGGAAAATATATGTGAAGAACTAGAATTGTATTGTAAAGTCTTTGTATGATTAGTTTGAATTCTGTAGTTTAACCAGGGTCAAGTAATGAAACAGTATATTATAATAGGCATCAGTTTTTTTTTCTTCTTTAGAGTTTGAAAAGAATCAGAGAAAAATCTTTTCAACTATCTGGGTTGTGGGAGTTGTTTTCTCAAACGGAAGTGACTGTGGGTGGAGCTGAACTGTGTCTTCTCAGCTGTCTGGGAGGATGCGATTTGTATGTGCATGCATTGTCAGTCACCGCCTGCTACCTGCCTCTTTATAACTATGCTGTTATTGTCAAAAACAATTTTTGTTTTTGAGACAGGGTTTCTCTGTTTAACAGCCCTGACTGTCCTGAAACTTGTAGACCAGGCTGGCCTCAAACTCACAGAGATCCACCTGCCTCTGCCTCCCAAGTGCTGGGATTAAAGGCGTGTGCCACCACACACAGCTCCTCAAAAACAATTCTTTAAAACCAGTTTATTTTTATTTATGTGTGTGCCTGTGTGAGGTTATGTGAACCACATGCATGCAGGTGCCTGCAGAGGCCAGAGGGCATCAGACCTCCAAATAAGTGGCTGTGTTAGGTGATTGTGAGCCACTTAATGTGGGTGCTGGGAACTGAACCCAGGTCCTTGCAAGAGCAGTAAGTGCTCTAACCATTCAACCATTTCTCCAGCCCTGTATCAAAAGTTTTACTTGTTTATTTTTGCCTTGTTTTTGGTTACATCCTGAGGACTAATATTACTTTACTTTAGAAAACTTAATTTTAATTCAGGTAATTTTACCAGGTGGCTTTTATTTATAAAAAGAACGCTGCTGATTACAGATGGCATTGATTGGAGAGATGACTGGGTTAGACAAGTTGAGTAAAGTTGTCCTGTTAGTAACTGACATTAGAATGTTATGTGTAATATTTACATGTCTCCTTTTGTGTTTTTAGGACATTCGGAAATTCTTTGGGGTTATATCAAGTGGAAAAAAGCCTGTAAGTGAGACAGTAAAGAAGAATGAGAAAATAAAACCTTCAGAGGGAACTGTCAAAGGAAAGAAAGGAGTAAAGGATGTCAAGGTCAGTTTCCTTGTCCAAGTTTGTATTGTGTGAAGTGTCCAGGAAGCTCGGGTCCTAACCTTGGTATGTTGGGAGTGTTGAAGAATTAGAGATTTCAGTGCAGTTAACAGAAGAGAAGAAAGAAATAAGGTTAATATGTCTAGCTAGTATAGCTTGCTGTGTTCAGTCCTATTTAGTCCCCTCTTCCTTTCTTTTTCCTTTTAGTTAAAACTTTGCATTTTGAGCTTTAGAGATGGCTCAGTGGTCAAGAGCACTGGCTGTTCTTCCAGAGGAGCCAGGTTCCATTTCTAGCAGCCACATGGTGGCTCACAACCATCTGTAACTCCACTTACAGGGAGCCTCAAGCCTTCTGATATCCATGAGCACCAGGCATGTACATGGTACACAGGTTAATATACAGGCAGAACACATGCACTCATTAAAACAACACCTACACTCATTAAAACAACACCTACATTCTTTAAAAGCAACAGTAGCAACAACAAGAAAAACAAACAAAACCTTTGCTTTTTTGTTTCATTTTTTTTTTATTTTCATGACACTTCCCTGGTGTAGTCTTGGCTGTCCTGGAACTGGATCTGTAGACCAGGCTGGCCTTGAATTCAGACAGAGATCTACCTGCCTCTGCCTCCTAAGTGCTGGGGTTAAAGCCAAATTAAGTTATGGTTACTTTTCGGTTAACAATACTTTAGTTCACCTCCCACCCTCCCTCCCTCCCTCCCTCCCTCCCTCCCTCCCTCCCTCCCTCCCCCTTCTCTCTCCCTCTCTACTCCTCCCCCTCCATCCCCCTCCCCCTTTCCTCTTAGTCCCTCCCCCTTACCTCCCCCTTCCCCTCTTCCTTTCCCTTCAGAAAAGGGCAGACCTCTTAGAAATATCAGCCAAGCATATCAAGTTTCAATAAGGCATCTCCCCTTATATTTAAGTCTGGATGAGGCAACCTAGTAGAAAGGAAAAGGATCTAAAAGGAGGCAAAAGAGTCAGAGACAGCCTCCACTCCCACTGTTCGTAGTCTCACAAGGAAATCAAGTCACACAACCATAACGTATTCAGAGGGCCAAGATCAGACTCACGCAGGCTTTCTGATTGTGGTTCAGTCTCTGTGATCCCCTGTTGGCTCAGGTTAGTTGATTCAGTGAGTTTTCTTGTGTAGTTTACCAACGTTACCATAAGTTGTCAGAACTCAGCCTGCACCTTCAATATTCTGTTTCAGACTCTCTAGCTTAATACTAACATTTCTTATTTTTCATAGAGCAATAGAATGCAACGAATTTACTTTTCCAAAAATTATTTTGTATGTATGTACATACTTTGTATGTAAGAGTATTTTATCTGCATGTATGTATACCACTTTGATACCTGGTGCCTACAGAGGCTAGAAGGGGACTTTGAGTTCTTTCGAATTAGAGTTAGAGATGATTGCGTGCCACCATTTGGGTGGTGAGGTTGAACTGGGTCCTCTGCAAGAGCAACAGGTGTTCTAAATTGCTGAACATCTCCAGTCCCACAACATATTTGATCTTTCTCCTCTCTTTCTCGCTCCTTGAGACAGGGTCTCATTGTGTAGTCCTGGCTACACACAACTAAATTTTTTGGAGACAGGTTCTCTAGCCCTGGTTGACCTGGAACTCACTCTTTAGACCAGGCTGGCCTTGAATTCAGACAGAGATCCACCTGCCCCTGTCTCCTGAGTTCTGGGATTAAAGGCGTGCTCCAGCCCTGCTCAGCCCCAACCAGTTCTTTACTGACATGTTCAAAGGCCTGTTACTTTTTCTGTCAGAGACTCAGTGGGATAGACTTTAACTTTCATTTTTCTTCTTGTGTAAGTTAGACAAGCTACTGCTGTCATTGAGCTAGACTCCCAATTTAAACATTTTTTTAGCATGCTGTTTGTGATGCTGTATATGTTTTCTGAGATGAAAGTTCTTCACTGTAGCTCTGTTCCATTTCATGAGCCATCATTGGACTCATTTTGGTTGTAGAAGCCGACAAGGTTTGCAGCTCGTAAGTTGGAGACCCAGGAAAACTGATGATAGAGTTCCAATCCAGGTGTAAGGCTTGAGGAGCAGAATAGGAGACCCATGAGCACATGGGTCTACTCTAGTAGACCAGAGGCCACCAGAAGAGAGAGCATTCGGACATTTGGGCTAGATAACTATTGTATTGGACGATGTTAGTAGCACCCTTATGTACTAGATGTTATAAGAACCTGTTTCCCAATTTGTGATAAACATTGTCTCTAGATAGCAACAGATGTCTCCATGGAGGTAGAATTGCCTTGGGTGACAGCCACTAAGCCCGGAGTGTCATGAGAATGACAGACTAAGTTGTATGGACCTTTTTTGTTCTAATTGTCTACAGGTTAATAATTCCTGTAAAGAGGATGCATCCAAACCAAAGCAACACAACAAGAAAAAGAGAATCATCTATGACTCAGGTAATTTTTCTGAGTACTTTGAAAAGCTTAAAAGCCTTTTATTTCCCATGTATATGTGTTTTCCTGTGCTTGTCTGTGCTGGCCTTAACTTGTACTCCAGACAACTCTGAACTTTGAGTCTCCCTGGCCAGTGCCACCATGCCCAGTTTCTTGGCTTTGACGATGGGAGAAGGTTAAGAGCTGTGTATTGATGGCGAATGGAAATGACAAAAAAATGATTCTTCCTTAGGGAAGAATCATTCTGATAGACTGTGTCTATCAGAATTTGCTCAGAATTGTTAAAGATGATATAATTGTGTTGGATTTTTTTTTGGGTGTGTGTGCCACATTGTAGAGGACAGGTAATGTTGGGGAGTTGACTTTCTCCTTCTACTGTGTGGGACCTGGGGACTGAACTTAGGTCATCAGCCTTGACAACAAGCTGAACCATGTCCCCAGCCCATGTTTTTTTTTCTTGAGACAGGGTTTCTCTGTATTGTTTTGAAGGCTGTCCTGGAATCGGCTCTGTAGACCAGGCTGGCCTTGAACTCACAGAGATCCACCTGCCTCTGCCTCCCGAGTGCTGGGATTAAAGGCGTGCGCCACCAACGCCCGGCCCCAGCCCATGTTTTTAAGCCACTTGGTTTGTGGCGATTGTTAAAACAGCAATAGGAATATAATGCATGAGTTTATTACTGGATAAAAGTAATGTAAAATTCATCAAGAGATGCTCTTGGGGGTTTGGTTCATAATGACCACTTAAAAAATACACTTGCAGCAGTGCATTGGTGGCGCACACCTTTAATCCCAGCACTCGGGAGGCAGAGGCAGGCGAATCTCTGTGAGTTCGAGGTCAGCCTGGTCTACAGAACTAGTTCCAGGACAGCCTTCAAAACCATACAGAGAAACTGTCTTGAAAAACCAAAAAAAAAAAAAACCAAAAAAAAAAAACCAAAAAAAACCAAAACAAACAAACAAAAAAACAAAAAACCACTTGCTGGGCGGTGGTGGCGCATTCCTTTAATCCCATTACTCGGGAGCCAGAGCAGGCTGATCTCTGTGAGTTGAAGGCCAGCCTGGTCCATGGAGAGAGTTCTAGGACAGCTACAACTGTTACAGAAAGAAACCCTGTCTTGAAAAACCAGAAAAAAAATTGATAATTCCTTTCACGGTTTTAATTCTAATTTTGTAGATTCAGAATCAGAGGAGACAGTGCAGATAAAAAATGCTAAAAAGAAATCAGAAAAATCGCCACTGTCTTCCAAACCTGGTAAAATTTCTCGGAAGGATCCTGTTACTTACGTTTCTGAGACAGGTAAGGTACTGGATATATTCCTTTTGTCTCTTTGAGTTGTATCTGTCAGAGGAAGGGCCTCATCATCTTTGGCTAGGTCAGCTCTCTGCCGCTGAGCTACATCCCCAGCCCTAGGGGAATAGTGTGTCTTCTATTTCATTTTCTTCTCAGGGTTGAGGACTGGCCCTAGAGCCTTTGCACTTGCTAGGCAATACTCCACCACTGAGCTAAATCCCCAACCCCCAGGGGAATTAACAAAGAGTTTTGTTTTATGTGTATTTGTCTGCGTATATGCCTGTGCTTGTGGAGGCCGCTTGAGTTACAGACAGCTGGGACTGGGGTTACAGACAGCTGTGAGCCTCCATATGGGTGCTGGGAATCAAACCCCTGTCCTAGAAGAGTAGCTAGCCCTCCCTCCCTCCCTCCCTCCTTCCTTCCCTCCCTCCCTCCTTCCTTCCCTCCTTCCTTCCCTCCTTCCTTCCCTTCCTTCCTTCCCTCCTTCCTTCCCTCCTTCCTTCCCTCCTTCCTTCCCTCCTTCCCTCCCTCCTTCCTTCCCTCCTTCCCTCCTTCCTTCCTTCCCTCCTTCCTTCCCTTCCTTCCTTCCCTCCTTCCTTCCCTCCTTCCTTCCCTCCTTCCTTCCTTCCTTCCCTTCCTTCCCTTCCTTCCTTCCTTCCTTCCTTCCTTCCTTCCTTCCTTCCTTCCTTCCTTCCTTCCTTCCTTCCTTCCTTCCCTCCCTCCCTCCCTCCCTCCCTCCCTCCCTCCCTCCCTCCCTCCCTCCCTCCCTCCCTCCCTCCCTCCCTCCCTCCCTCCCTCCCTCCTTCCTTCCTTCCTTCCTTCCTTCCTTCCTTCCTTCCTGTTTCTCTGTGTATCCCTGGCTGCCCTGGAACTCACTCTGTAGACCAAGCTGGCCTCAAACCCAGATACCCGCCTGCCTCTGCTTCCCTAGTGCTCGGATTAAAGGTGTGAGCCAGCACTGCCCAGGGGTAGTTAGTCCTCTCTTCCTCACCTGAAATATTTTTTGAAACATTTCTTTAAAAGATTTATTTATTACATATAGTGTTCTGCCAGAAGAGGGCACCAGATTGAATTATAGGTGGTTGTGAGCCACCATGTGGTTGCTGGGAATTGAACTCAACCTCTGGAAGAGCAGTCAGTGTTCTTACGCTCTGAGCCATCTCTCCAGCCCTTTTTGAAACATTTTTAATAGACTGATGTTTCTTTTTGTCTATTCATTTTTTACATCCTGGCCAAAGTTTCCTCCCTCCTCTCCTCCCAGTCCCTTCCCCACTACCCCCCCATCATCCACTCCTTCTCTGTTGCCCTTTAGTAAAAAGGCAGACCTCCTCTTCTACGAAGTTGAGCAAGGCAATTCAGTAGGAAGGAAAGGGTCCCAAAAGCAGGCAACAGAGTCAGAGACTCTGTTCCTACGGTTAAGAGTCCCACAAGAAGACCAAGTTACACAATTGTAACAAACATAGGGAGTATCTAGGTTAGTCACATGCAGACTCCCTGGTTGTCAGTTCAGTCTCTGAGCCCCTATAAGCTCAGGTTAGTTAGTTCTGTGGGTTTTCTTGGGTGCCCTTGGCTCCAGTGGCTCCTACAATCCTTACTCCCCCTCTTCTGCAGGATTCTCTGAGCTCTGCCTAATGTTTGACAGTGAGTCCCTGTATCTGTTTCCATCAGTTGCTGGGTGAAGCCTCTCTGATGACAGTTAGGCAGGGCACCAGTATATACCAGAATATCATTCGGAATCATTTTGTGGATTTTTTTTTGGTCAGTTGTTCATTCTAGATCTCTGGGCTATGCCTCCTCTGGGTCCTGGCCCTCAGGGATGAGCTCCCTCTCATGGTGTGGATCTCAAGCTGGGCCAGAACTGATGTGTTTCTTACAGCAGAGACAGATTGTCACTTTTAACCTTTTGACATATTGCACAATATTTAAGAGGTCCCTTTTACCTTTGTGGCATTTTGAATGTGTGGGAGGCTTAAGAAAACAGCATGGTAATAGGTCAGTTATGTAACTGCAGATGGTTTGCTCAAGCTTTCCAGTAGTTCTCTGAAAATGTCAGTGCAGATAGCTGTGGCCTTCAACTGGACCAGGGCTATCCTCACTTTCTGGTTGAAGTTCACCAAGGGTTTAGCTGGGGCTTTGCTCACAGCCTCTTTTCACTAGAATCGTCTTTAATACAATCTTCAAAGAGATGGTCAGTATCTTACATGAGATACTCCTCTCCCCTCCCCATCTTTTTTTTTCTTGCTGTATAACCCTGGCTGACCTTGAATTCACAGCAATCCTCCTACCTCAGCCTCCCTAGTGTTGAGATTACAGCTGTGTGCTACCACATCTCACTCAGTACTTGTTCCATTCAGTCACGGCATATGTATGTAAAAGTAAGCACTGTCCTTGTCTTAGCTAAAAATTTGGGGGTGCAGGGTGTCCATTATCTTAGTTACATTTCTGTTGCTGTGATAAAATACTCCGACCATTTAAGGGAGAAAGGGCTTATTTTGTTCAAAGTTTGAGTGACACAGTGAGGAAGTCCTGGCAGCAGGAACATGAGGCAGCTGGTCACGTGGCATCCGCAGTCAGCAGGGAGGGGTGAGTGCTGGCTCAGCTGGCTTCCTCCGTGTCTCGTCCAGTCATCGCCCCCAAGTTATCTTGCTCACAGTGGGCAGGTCTTCATCAAGTTGACAGCTGAGATTAGCTACCACACACATCTATGATGATGTTTAGGATAATACGGTATTCTGTTTTCCTATGTGGTTTAAAAATTATTTTTTATTTCATTTTATCTTTTGCCTGCTTTTATGTCTGCACTATGTGTGTGCCTGGTGCCTGAGGAGGCTAGAAGAGGGTGTTAGATCCCTTGGGACTACTGAAGCCTCACATGGTTGTGAGCTTCTACATGGAGGCTGGGATGGAACCAGTAGGAACAGTATGTGCCCTTGATCGCTGAGCCCATAAAATTGAAATGTAGAAACTAGTTTTACTCAGTTTTGAGACAACTGTCCTGTAGCCAAGGGTGATCTTGATCCTGATCTCCCTGCTTTCACCTTCCCAGGGTTGAGTTTTCAGGTATGCACCCCTGTACCCCGTTTTCTTGGTTGTAGGGTTGAAACCACTGCTGCTGGACATGGTGCCACAAACCTTTAGTATCAACATTTGGCATGTAGAGGTGGGTGGATCTCTCTGAGTCTACACAGTGAGTTCCAGGCCAACCAAGATTATACAATGAGAGTCTGTCTGAAAACCAATAAAACTAAAACATGGTTATTTTAAAATGATACAAATGGCCTACATTTTATTTCTGTTATGTAGTGCTTTAAAAATAATTCTAAGAGGTTGGTTTTATTTTTAGTTATGTGTATATTCCTGGTCTGTGTGGGGCTATGTGCATATGCGTACAGGTGCCCTCAGCGGCCAGAAGAAGGCATGGATCCTTGAGCTAGCGTTACAGGCAGCTGTGAACTGCCTGCTGTGGTTGCTGGAAACCAGACTCCGGTCCTCTACAAGGTGTTTTGTGCTCTTGACCTCTGAGCCATCTTCACATCTCTTCAGCTCCATGTAATGCTTTCTAACCAGCTTGAGGAGGACTGGAGAAGTAGTTTTGTTTATAGTCTTACTGTTCAGCTTCAGGAGGTAGTTTTCATCATTTTGATTAAACCCGTCTTCTAGTATTTATTGACATTTTAAAAAATCACATCAGTTTCCCAAGTTCTAGAAAAAGAAAAAAAATGCTTATAAATATATTCATAGCTAAGCTGGTGTTGGTGGCGCACGCCTTTAATCCCAGCACTCAGGAGGCAGAGGCAGGCGGATCTCTGTGAGTTCGAGGCCAGCCTAGTCTACAGAGTGAGTTGTGAGTTCCAGGACAGCTTCCAAAACAAAACATATATATATATATGCATGCATACATACATACATTCATAGCTAACCATTGACTAATAAAATTTTCTCAGTTGGAAAAACCTCAAATGTTTGTACTGGATAAATGTGTTTACTTTAGCTTTTAATGAAATGTGAGACCTTGTGTTTGTTTGCTAAAGGCCACCCCATATATTGTTTCACTAGGAGCTGTTGTTTGCTTGAAGAAGTTAGGTTTTCCTTGTCTTTACTTTTTTCCCCTGTACACATGCTTATTGCTAATTTTAGAATGATTCTGGAGGCAGTGCTTTGGAAGTTGTATTTATGTGATGGGTATTAATTGGGGGAAAATGGAGGTGTTATGTTTTGTAGGGTGGTATGTACATGTCAGTGACCAAAACTTGGGAAAATAGCAGAAAATGTTAGGGATTGATATAGTTTCTTCTTAAAATTATTTATTTTGCCTGCATGCCTATGTAAGTGTATTGGATCTCCTGGAACAGGAGGTACAAATAGTTGTGAGCTGCCATGTAGGTACTGGGAATTGAACCTGAGTCCTCTGGAAGGGCAGCTGGTGCTCTTAATTACTGAGCCATCTCTCCAGCCCGATATATATATATATATATGTATATATATATATTTTTTATGTATTTTTTTCTTCTTAATTTTAGTTAGGTAATTTTTGTGTATGAGGCAACACGTATAGTGCTCTGTTTGTGAGCTTCTTCTTCTTCTTCTTTTTTTTTTCTGAGACAAGGTTTCTCTGTGGCTTTGGAGGCTGTCCTGGAACTTTCTCTGTAGACCAGGCTGGTCTCGAACTCTCAGAGATCTGCCTGCCTCTGCCTCCCGAGTGCTGGGATTAAAGGCGTGTGCCACCACCACCCCGGGTTCTTTGTGAACTTCTTATAGATGCTGCCAGGGAAGTGTGGAATGGTTGTGTCAGAAGATGTCTCTGAAGTGAGAACTGTCTATTGTATTTGATTATATTTGTTGAGAATTAATGCTAATTTGCATGGTAGGATTTGGTATAAAAGACTCTAAGTGAAGTATATAGATTAACAATGCTAAGTCACCTCAGTAAATGTTTGCTTCCTCCTCTGGTCCTTCTGCCTTGTGCAGCTGCATTGAACAGGCTTGTGTTTAAGTACACATATACTTTTATGGGTGTACGTGTATGCCACCTGCTTTCTTATTATTTAATATCTGAACCTTCTGCCACCTCTCCCACAGGATGCTTATCTTGGGTGTGATTTCTTAGCACACACAAAAAAGAAAAACGGTTTAACTGACCCATCTTGATTCTGAAAGGATTTATTTCCTGGCTTCCTGATCAGTCTTGCATTTCTGCTTATATGCAGAGACTGATTTACCACACGAATTAACGGAGATGGGAGGGTTGCTGCCTCTTCATTCATTTCATTAACCCTGAGTAATTTTGAAGCCTAGCAAGTGCACCTTTCTCTGTCTGCCCTTCTAAACCAAGGCGGCAGTATGAAGTATTGAAAAGGCCCTCCATACCTGCACTGAGACTTTGCACACCAGCTTCCCTACTTAGGTTCACTTGTTGCTAAGTCAGTTATTTTTAATCTTTGTAATGAAATCTACCTGTTAATTGGATTTTGGTATGTTCCAGACCAAAGGCAAGATATTCATAGCATTAGGACACTCATCCATTTGCAGAGGCCAAACTTTCAGCAGCAGGAGCTCCACAATTAGATTTGTTTTTCCTACTTGGCTTGTAAATAGATTTTATTATAGACCTTCACATTATTCCTTTCTCTTTCACCCGTTATCCTTCTAAATAAATGAACATGTCTAACTCAGAGTGACAGAGCACTCTTCTCTCCTAGGCAATTCTCCTGCTCTGTGTTGGAAAATGCTAGTTTACTTGGTCATTGCTAGCACATGTGAGATTATGCTGTCTATAAATAAAAACAAATGGCGATTTTACAAGGAGACGAATATCCTGGAGGGAAATTTTAAGTGTTGAGTTGCCTATGATTTGCAAGTAGTTGTCAGAAGTCTGACTTAGATCTGTTTACCAATATTTTATTACAGATTTTGGGGAGGAGAGAACAGCCTGCCTTTGGCTTCTGACAAAGACAGAAACAAATCAGGCTTATTAGAAAACAAGAGGAATGCTTCTGTACATTGTGTAGGATTACAAAATAGTTATTTTACCTGAGAATGGCTCAGCAAAACCTGTGAAATGATCACGTTTTTGTAGGAAGCAAGTTACTTTGTTGTATTTTTGTTGTTGTTGTTGTTTTCTGAGATGCTACCTCACTGTGTAGCCCAAGCTAGCCTAGAACTCACTGGAATTACTCCTGCCTCAGTTTCCTAAGTGCTGCAGTTACAAGGCTGTGCCACCACACCTGGCCACATAGCCTGTGTTGCCTTCTTTCCGCACGGTGGAGTCTTTGCAATACTAAAGGCTAAAGGGGCTTTAAAGACAGCTTGCTGGTGTGGAGACAGAGCTCTTCTTTCTTGGGGTTTTATTTTTTGTTTTTGTTTTTTGTTTCATCAAGGCAAGATGACAAGATGTCTTTAGATGTGCCTGTGACAGAGTATCATGGTAGATTTCCATCACTGTGACAAAGTACTTGGTTCATAATTTCGGAGGTTTCAGTTATGTGGCTGCTTTGTTTATGGACTTTTTAAAAGTGTGATTCTTTTAAATTTTTTCTTTTAAAAATACTTATTTTTATTTCCTGTATATGAGTGTTTGCTTGTTTATATGTGTATGTACCACATGTGTGCAGTGTCTAAAAGGCTAGAAGAGGACATAGGATCCCCTGGAGCTGGAGTTACAGCTGGCTGTGAGCTACCATGTAGATGCTGGGAATGGAACCCTGGGTTCTCTGGGAAAACAAGTGCTCTTAACCACTGAGCTATCTCTCTGGTCCTATCTATAGGCTGAACATCATGGTCTAGAGCATGTGGTAGAACAAAGTTCCTCCCTTCAGGGTAGACAAAATGTATCCCTCATGTATGGGTGCATGTGCCTCAGTGAATGACTGGAGGTTAGAACACAGTGTGTGGGAGTCAGTTTTCTTACCAGGTGGGTCTCAGGGATGGAACTCAGGTCATTGGGATTAGCCACGAAGCACTTGGACCTACTGAGTCATTTCTCTGGCTCCTGGAAATTCCTTTAGGAAATAAAATGTGACAGAACAGTTTGAATTCCCCAATGAATGGTTAGATAGTTGTTAGGCAGCAACCTTCAATATGTACGTCAGAACTTCTTACCATCTCTGTGAACTTGCTTTATCAGCATCTTGTCTGGAGCTGTAATGGCTACCTGAGTGAACGCCTTACCTTTGCCTTTCCCTCTGCAGTGTCTCCTCCAAAGGACAACACTTAATTGGGGTGTGGCATTATGCTACTCACGCTTGTATGCTACAACCCGGGTTTTTTCCGCTCCCTCCCTCCCTCCCTCCCTCCCTCCCTCCCTCCCTCCCTCCCTCCCTCCCTCCCTCCCTCCCTCCCTCCCTCCCTCCCTCCCTCCCCCTCCTTTTCCCCCAAGACAGGGTTGTTTCTCTTTGTAATAGTCCTGCTGTCCTGGAACTCACTTGTAGACCAGGCTGGCTTCACACTCACAGAGATCCTCCTGCCTCTGCCTCCCAAGTGCTGTTATTAAAGGCCTGCACCACTAATGCCTGTCACAACCTGAGTTTGTTTCTATCACCTAGGAAGTTCTGTAGGATTTGGTTTCAACTCTTTGCCTGAACTCTTGTAGTTGGACTGCCTTCTACCTGGGAGCACAATCACTGTAAGGCTTGGTGCTTGTAGTTTACATTTTCTGACTGTTCTTGCTAGAGGCATCTTCTTCTCAGGGCACATAATGATGATAACATTAAATAACAACAACATTGATAAACAGATCAAAGAGACTTTCCCTAGTCAGATAGATTGGGTCATCCTAGTAATCTCAGCATTAGGGTTTTCTGAGGCAGGAGATTTGAGTTGGAAGTCAAAGCCAGTCTGAGCTACATAGACTCTGTCTTTAAAAACAAAGGATTGTAGCTGAGTGAGGGGTAGAGTACTTGCCTGATACACACAAGGTCTTGGGTTTGATCGCCCAAGAGCAGGCTTTCCTTACGATTGCTTTAACAGAAACAACATCCCTCACTTTCTTGACATTGTTTTCCCTATGTGGTGTTGGGAAGTGAACCTAGGAGCTCATATGTGTGGTAGGCGGGCACTCTCCACTGAATTGTACTCCTTTATCTAATCAATTAATTTCCCTCTTGGTGTGGCGGGTCATGACTGGAGATTGGCCCTAAAGCCTCTTGTATTTTTTTTTAAAGATTTATTTATTTACATAGTTTTCTGTCTGCATGTATCCCTGCAGGCCAGAAGAGGGCACCAGGTCTCATTACAGATGGTAGTGAGCCACCATGTGGTTGCTGGGAATTGAACTCAGGACCTCTGGAAGAGCAGCCAGTGCTGTTAACCTCTGAGCGATTTCTCCAGCCCCCAAGCCTCTTGTATTCTTAATCACTCCTTAGTCTTCTTTCTTGCTTTACTTCTTCTTCATGCAGCTCTAAAGTAAAATGTGTGTGTGTGTGTGTGTGTGTATACATACATACATACATACATACTTACTTACTTACATACGAGTGTATGTACAAAACTAGTGAGTCTGGTTCTTCCTGTAGAACACTGAGATCAGGGTGTGTCTTTTCACTACTGAAGTAGTTTCTTCTTAGCTTCTTTAGTTGTATCCTTAGTGCCTGGAATATAATGAGTATGTTGCAAATATTTATATAATCATAGGCCTGACCCTTGTGAATGTAAAAATGACTGTTAAGAAGATAGGAAGAAAAAACTGCCCAAGGTATTGCTTTTTTTAAAAAAAGCTGCTAGGAATGATTAATCTATATGATTAAGACTTATGTCTTATCAAAAAAATGTTTTCCATTTAAGATGAAGACGATGACTTTGTATGTAAAAAGGCAGCCTCCATATCAAAAGAGAATGGAGTATCTACAAACAGTTACCTTGGCGCATCAAACGTGAAAAAGAATGAAGAAAACACTAAGACTAAGAATAAACCTTTATCACCAATAAAACTTACACCAACATCAGTGCTTGATTATTTTGGAACTGGAAGTGTGCAGAGATCTGGTAAGAAGATGGTGGCAAGCAAAAGAAAAGAGGTGAGTGCAAACGAGTGTGCAAACGAGTGTGGGTTGCTGGGCGTGCTGGTGTGTATTTCTGTTTTTAGCACTTGGGACACTGAGGCAAGAAGACAATTAGTTTGAGGTCGTCCTGGGCTACATAATGAGACTATCTGAAACAATAACAAAAAAATGTTTGGAATTGATACCCACTCATGGATACCAATAAGGAAAACAGCATATGATAAATGAGCAGTCATGCTTTATTAATAATGAAATAATTTTTCCATGATTATAGACAAATATTGCCCTTATTTTGGAAGCTGTGGGAATTAGAATATGTACGTAGATATGTATTTTTTATTTGAAAGCAGAAAAACATTTAAATTATAAGAAAACGTCACAGTTCTTAGAATTTAAATGGAATTTTCAAAATGCAAGCTTATTTTACTATTGACTTCAGCAGACAGAGGCACACAATCTTACTTTGAAATGGGATAAACAGTGTGTAGCTAATCTGATCTTCTCTAGTTTGACTGATACTGGATTCCTCTTTTTCTGCCCATTTGGGAAGTGGGCATATAGATGAAGTTCTGAGAAAGTAGTGCCTCAGTGTACGCTGTGCTGTAGTGTGTGCTGATTCGTTGGTGCCTTCCCAGGACTGGACATCGTCCTTATATCGATTGGTCAATGCTTTAGACTACTTTGCAAGTTGAAGTGTTCACCTGTAGTGTGTGTGCACATCTCTTTTGAACATATCAAAGGAACAAGGCAAGAGCCCTCTGTCTGTAGTCTGTTTATTCCCATGAAACTGGGTGTCATCACAACAGCCGTAATCTTGACGTTGTTGCTGCTGTGGGTTGTGACTATTGCTGATGGAATTGTCTCTCACTGATAGGCTTGATTAGGTGTTGCTAATGTTTATCTTGCTTGATTTTCTTTGGAATACAGTCTTCTCAGAACACGGATGATTCCAGATTAAATGATGAGGCCATCGCCAAGCAGTTACAGCTTGATGAAGATGCAGAGGTATTGCTGTTCCACTTAGTTATCATTAACAGCTTGATGTTATGACTTGGTGCTTATTTATAAATAACCAAGGTATTCTAGGTTTTTTTTCTCCTTTTGAATGGGGCATTAATTTCTGTCTGTCTGTCTGTCTAACTATCTCTACTTACCTAGCTACCTACCTGCCTACCTGCCCATCCATCCAAGACAGGGCTAGAACACACTGTGTAGGTTAGTCTGACCTTAAACTCACAATTCTGCCTGAGTTTTCTGAGTGTTGGGATTACAGTTGTGCACAACCATGCTTAGCTCAAAATTGTTATAGTCCCAATTTTGAATTGGATCTCATTAGAAGTTTGGTGTAAAATAAAATAATTAAAATCTAGTACATGTGAATATGACTTCCTGTAAAGTTAAATGATGAGACTGACAGGTAACTATTTATGTAAACTTTAGAAGTTCTGTGAATAGGAGGGTCTTCAAGTGTATTTGAAAGACTTTCATTTGCTACCGTGTGCTTTTGCTTTCACTGTGGACACACCTACCCTTCCTGTTGCTTTAGTTACTGTATGTACTGATGACTTCAAATCTGTGCTTGACTCAGGATGCTCTCTTGAGCTGTAAACCCGTATCTGACAAGAATTTATTGATCACTTACTGAGTGCCTACCACTGCGGTAGTAGTAGGTGACTACAGTTTAAATAGAAAACAGAGAAAGGAAATAATGCCAGGTAATTACAGGCATAGTGAAGACTAGTGATGGTGTTGTTCAGGGGTAGGTAGGGAGTGCATTGTGTCAGACGATAGTGATGGTGTAGTTCAGGGGTAGGTAGGGAGTGCATTGTGTCAGACAATAGTGATGGGGTAGTTCAGGGGTAGGTAGGGAGTGCATTGTGTCAGACAATAGTGATGGGGTAGTTCAGGGGTAGGTAGGGAGTGCATTGTGTCAGACAACGAAGCACAGAGAGGCAGTGATAGCTGTTCGGATCCCCACTAAGCACAGGACAGCTAGTGTAAGCATTCTGAGGAGGAAGTGTGCTCAGGAGACCAGTATGACAAGACAGATGTGAGACGATTTGGAGAAATAGCATCAGCAAGTCCTATAGGTCACAATGGATCTTTGGTCAGGATTTCAGATTTAGTTTCTGTCAGATGGGACACCTTTGGTGTTCTAATTATCTTCTAAGAGTCCTCCCCAGTTTTACCACTCTTTATTCATGGTAGCGATATGTCCATTATCTGACACAACCTAGTATATCAGATGCCTGGAATTTGCTTTGTAGATCAGGCTGGTTTGGAACTCAGATCCCTTTGCCTCTGCCTCTGAGTGCTGTGATTAAAGGTGCGTCCTGCCACTGCCCCACATTTTCTAGTGGAAGTGCATCAGTTCTTTCTAAAACACCTAGGATCCCTTACCAAAAATATACTGAGTGTGTATTCTGTATTGTGGACAAGTGGTTGGTGTCGAGTTCAGAAACCCTTGGAGGCAGCCAGTAGATTTTTCAGCACCTGTGAGTAAGGTGTTCACATTGATTTTGGGGTTACACGTGCAGTCCATTTGTAGTGAAGAAATGGTGGTAAAGGGAGTGTTAAGGGTGTCCTGTCTGCTTTCTCTTAGCCTACTTAGCATGAGTTCAGTACTTGTTCGTTCTGTTGGCTGTTGGGGATGACGTGCAGGGTCTTGCACATGCTAACGTGCGGCCTCTATGAGTGAGAGTGTACTGGTTTCCAGTGTGGCCAGTTCATTCTGTAACTGGAAGAACTTGTTTACTGAGTTCCCATCAAGCTTAGCCCAGCTTTCGCCTTTCTTTCAGACTGGGAGGTTTTTGCAGACTTTTCCTGTTTGGATAATAGAAGAAGGCTTTGTTGGCTGTTAGGTTGGGCAGTCAGGTTTACCAGGGCACATGAGATGTTTAATTTATAATGATAAATGTATTTCATTTTCACAATCTCTTCTGAAAGAGCTCTCTCTGTTAAAAGTACAGACATTTGGCAGTGATAGGTATTTATAATGTTTATGTTGAGGTTTGATAGGGAAAATGGTGGTAGTATTTGTGTGTTTTTACTGTTGTATACAAAGAAAACATACTTTTCTGGGTGTTTTTTTTTTTTTTTTTAAGATTGATTCATTATATATACAGTGTCCTGCCTGCATGTCTGTCTGAGGGTCAGAAGAGGACACCAGATCTCATTACAGATGGTTGTGAAGCATCATGTGGTTGCTGAGAATTGAACTCAGGACCTCTAGAAGAGCAGCTAGTGCTCTTAGCCTCAAAGCCATCTCTCCAGCCCCTGTTAAGTTGTTTTTATTACTGTATTTTATTTGTATAAGTATTTTGCCTACATATATGTCTGCACCACACGTGTGCCTGGTGTTGTGGAGTTCAGAATTGCCATGTTGGGACTCAAACCAGGGTCTTCTGAAGAGCAGCTGGTGCTTTTAACTGCTCAGCTATCTCCCAATACTAGATACAGTTTTAAAATTTCTTACATTTACCTTTTTGGTGTCTCACAGGTGTTTATTTTTTTTATAGATTGAGAATTTAAAAAATATTTTTATTATTTTCAATTATATGTATGTGTTTTTATGTTGGTTTGTGCATTTTCCTGTGGGGATCATCAGAGGTATATTGGACACACTTTTAACCACAGTATTCAAGAGGCAGAGGCAGAGGCAGGTGGATGTTTGTGAGTTCAAAGCAGGTTCCATGCCATACAGGACTTTGTGAGACACTGCCTTCCACAAAAGGTGACTAGGAGGAGAAGCTAGGTGTGGTGGCACATGCCTTTAATCTCAGCACTTTGCAGAGCAGGCAGATCTTGGTCGTTTGAGGCTAGCCTGGTCTGCATAGTGAGTTCCAGGCCAGTCGAAGCTGTATAGTAAGACCCCATCTCAAGAAAAAGGAGTGGGGGTAGGCTGGAGAGATGACTCAGCAGTTAAAATCTAATACGGCCTTGTAGAGGACCAGAATTTGGTTCCTAGCACCTATGTCAGGCGGGTTATAGGTGTCTATAACTCCCTTTCCAGGGGATCTCATGCCCTTATCTGGTCTCTGCACTCAAGTGCACATACCCACATAGATGCACATACACACATGACTGTTTCCTTAGAACAAACAAACCCCAAAACATGTAATGAAGAGATGTTATACTGAGACCATTAAGAGAAAATGTGACTTCAGATTTTATAAAGAAATACCACTTTAGAATATGGTGACCTCATTGGCTCATCAGGTAAAGGAGCCTGCTACTGCCTCTGAGGGCCTGAATTCAATCCTTGGGACTCACAAGAAGAGAGACAACTCTTAGAAGTTGTCTTCTGACCTCTTCATGTGTGCCATGGCATGCGTACCCACACAATAAACAAACAAACAAATAAATAAACGTAGAAATAAATTAAATTACACCAGCTTTATTATGCTTACAGATCTAGAGGTATATAGTCCATAAACTTGGTTCTCTGAATCAAACCTGAGATTACTTGACTGTTAATGTTTAGTGGGAAGATGTCATTGTTATTTTAGGAAGTTTTTCTAATTTCTTCTAAACATACAAAGCACACATCTAAAAGTGTTTAGATATAAAAATAATAGAAATATCTCACTATGTTGATGCTTTTTACAGCTGGAGAGACAGTTGCATGAAGATGAAGAGTTTGCTCGGACATTAGCCATGTTGGATGAAGAACCCAAGACCAAAAAGGTAACATAATGGTATTCTGATGTTGTATTGCTTACTCTGTGTGTGTGATATCAGGTCTTGTCGTTGAACCTGGGGCTTACCATTTCTTTTAGGTTGGCCGACTAGTGAGTGAGCCTTCAGCATCCTCCTATCTCCTCCCGAGCATTGCAGATACAAGAATGCACTGCTATACCTGGCTTTCCCATGGGTGCTGGGGGTCAGAATTCAGATCCCCACGAGGGTGCAGTAAATGGGGTGACTTTATTTATTGAGTTACCCTCTAGCTATTTTGTTTGAATTTGTAATTTTTTTGTGTTTATGGAAATTCATTTACAAAGTTATTCTTTTTAAAAGACTTCAAGAAATAAAACAAATCAGAACTTGCCCGCAAAACCATAGGTTTTGCCTTTATTCCTTATCAGAAGGGATTTTTTTTCCTGCATTCAGAGTAATGGGTATCAGTTCTACAGAACAGGTTTAGTAACTACAATACTCTTTCAGGAAGCAGAATCTTACTGTTGTACTTCTTTTTCTCTTGAGAGAGTGCTCTTTTATGCTTTGTTTTTTGAGGCAGTCTTTGCCATATAGCTCTGGGTGGCCTGGTACTATGTAGCCCAGATTGGCATTAAACTTGGCAATCCTGGCTCAGCCTTCAGCCTACCAGTGCTGAGATCAGGGCATCAGCTGCCGTTCTTGGCTTCTCTTTTGTTTTCCTACTGGGCTTTAATTTGTTTTCAATTTTTTTGTGTTTGTTTCTATTTTAGCTGCACAATTCTATTAGTAGTTTGGGAGTTGAAATAAATGAAACACTAATAAGACTTCCATTTCCGGTTTAGGAGACTAGGATAGAATGAGATGTTTTATTGGCATATTGTTGTATCTCTTATCTGTTTCCTTATCAGTAAAATGAAGTAATAAAATAATCGCCTTTGCTGTGGTAGCTTTTGTGGATAAATGAATGGCAGTTTATTTTAGCGTCTTGCTGGTTTGGTTTGGAAGGTGACCCTTAAACTTAAAAATTTAATCCACTTTAACAGCAGATTTTGTGGTAATAGTTTTCCTATGACTTAATATTTCTGACACTTTTTACACTGTTTAGGCCCAAAAGGATCCTGAAGAGGGAGAATCATTTTCACCTGTCCAAGCTGATCAAAGCAAAGCAGAAAGTCATAAAAGCCCTAATAAAGGTAATGGCAGCAGAGGCATGTAAGAGAGCACTTACTTGTCTTTATAGAAGAAACTCTAGTAACTTTGCTTAAGCATTTTCACTAATTGTTTGGTGGACATTTCAGAGAACTATTAGAGCATGGTCTGTTTAGATAAAGATGCTCCTGGGCTCATGATGTCCCTATGTTCAGGACTTTGTCAGAAGTTGAAACATGTCATAGTGAAAAGTTCAGGTATGTATCTAGCCTTCTGAGTGACAGCAGCATAGCACACTGGAGAGTCACTGCTGATGATCTCAAGAGTGCTGAGTTCATGAGTGGGATTCACAGAGATGGTGGACTGATTTAAAGTTACAGTCCTGGCCAGGCGGTGGTGGCGCACGCCTTTAATCCCAGCACTCTGGAGGCAGAGGCAGGCGGATCTCTGGGAGTTCGAGGCCAGCCTGGTCTACAGAGTGAGTGCCAGGATAGGCTCCAAAGCTACACAGAGAAACCCTGTCTCGAAAAACAAAACAAAAGAAAACAAAAACAAAAAAACACAAAACAAAACAAAAAGTCACACTCCTGTAAAATCAAACCTCAAAAGTTTGTTTCCATATTTCCCTGCTGAACCAACCATTCAATTTTTAAGTTGAACAGTCCTACGTCAAGGATCACCTGCACTTTGAAAGCTGGGTACTATCTGGGAGAGAATGCCTTTATGCACTCGGTGTTATGAAAAGTGTGCTTGTACTCTTGTTGATTTGGGTGTAAAGACAAAGAAGCAGTGCCTGCGCTTTCCCGTTAGATGTGGTGTCTCGGAGTTGCCTCTGATTGCCCAGGCCATCTACGCTCTTCTGATTGTCGTGGGTGGCCTGTTCTGCGATGGTCTTAATGCTGAACCATCTGCTGATGCAGCCACCCCTTGCCTTTCCTTACCCTTTTTAAAAATATTTTTTTAATTTTGCAATATCAGGGATTTAACCTAGGGTCTTGCACATGCTGCTAAAGTTCCTGAGCTATATTCTCAGCCCATCTTTTACTTTTTATTTTGAGGTAGGGTCCTACTGAGTTGAGTAACCCAGGCTGGCCTTGAATCATTAAGCCTTAAGAGCTGAGGTCTTCCTGCCTCTCTGCCTTCTAAGTAGCTGATACAGGCCTGTGGCCCAGACACCCCCTCCCTCCTCATTATCTGTGAATGATTGGTGTTGTGTCCCCTGTGGGTCCCCATGTTTGTGAGGACTCAAGCTCTTCATTTAAAAGGTGTAGAATTTGCATATAATTTACAGACAGCTTGGCTTCCTGTATACTTTAAACCATCACTAGATTATTATATTTCATTCAGTGTAATGCTTTTAAATAGTTATTATGCTATTGTTTAGAGAATAGTGAGCAGGATAAATGTACATGGTTTGTATATACCCAAGGTATTTTCTATTCATAACTGGTTGACTCAATGAGTATGGAGCCTATAGATGTGGGAGGCTAATAGAAGATGTAATTATAAAAGTAAACCTGCTTATCTAGTACCTTTTAGCCTTGGCAGTTCAGGACTTGGTGCTTTCCCACTATTATAAGGAATTCTGTGTGACGTATTCCAGTCATTAAGTTTGTCTCTGTAAATAGCATATCTGTGGAATGATTTTATCTTTTCACACTATTTGGGATTGAACTCAGGTTTTGTGCATTGGTGCACAAGCACTGCACTATTGAGCTATATCCATATCTATGTTGTTTATAGTAATATATCAGATTGATAATTTAAATTTAAAACGATACATCTCTTTTTTGTTTGTTTTTTGAGACAAGGTTTCTTTGTAGCTTTGCTGTCTTGGAGCTCACTTTGTAGACCAGGTTAGCCTGAAACTCACAGAGATCCACCTGTCTCTGCCTCCCAAGTTCTGGGATTAAAAGGTGTGCACCACTATCCACTGGCAAAATGACAGAGTCTTAATTTGAACTGGTTATAAAGAAGTACTATGTGGACATTTAAGTTTAAAAAATAAGTATGCTATTTGAGCTAAAGTAGGAAATGTTTTGAAATCGTATGTGGGATACTATGTGCTACTAAAATCATACTGTACAAAGATGAAGAATAAAAACATTGATGCTGGGTAATATTTCCCAGATAGCACTCATAATCTTTTCTTTGTAAAAGCAGAACATTTCTTAAATGAAAGAAAAACCCGTAGCCCTGCTAAGTGCAGCAAAGGTGGGAGCTCCAAAGGATCTGAGCAACCCTACAGATCGTCAGCTCATCAGAAGGATGCCTGCTCTTCTCCCAAGGCCAGCTCCAAGCTGGCACTTATGAAAGCAAAAGAAGAACGTTCTTACAAAGACACAGAGCTGACGGCCTCAAAAAGAAAAGAACACACCACTGAACTCAAAGGAGAGAAGCAGACTCCTAAGAAAACCAAAAGTTCTCCAGTTAAAAAAGAGGTAGGAAATTTATGAAAAGTATGTATTTTGGGAATATATGTTGGTTCAAGTTTGATTGCTTTCAACTTCCTACATTGTTTTAGAAATATATATAATTATAATTTGAAGCTGGGGTTATAGCTCAGTGGAAGAGTGCTTGCCTAAAATATTTGAGTCCCTGTGTTCGACTCCAGAAGACATTATACCTTTTAAGTCTCTTCAAGAACATTCTTTTTTTTTTTTTTTTTTTTTTTTGGTTTTTACGAGACAGGGTTTCTCTGTATTGTTTTGGAGGCTTTCGGTCCAGCCTGGCCTCGAACTCACAGAGATCCGCCTGCCTCTGCCTCCCGAGTGCTGGGATTAAAGGCGTGCGCCACCACCGCCCGGCTAAGAGCATTCATTATTAACATAGCAAAATGAGCCACTATGCATTGCTGTTGTATATGGAAAACTGTGCTCATTTTCATGAATTACATCCCATAGCTTTTAGCTTTGAGACATTTACTTTTATTATTTGAGTTTAAAGATGAAGAAACAGGTTGAGTTTAAGTAGTTTTTCCAAGATTACCTATGAAGTAGCAGAGCTGGTCTTGAGTCTCTGAAGACAAAGTAGCAGTGTGAACATTGAGCCTTCAACCAGTCTGGAGTCAGGTTTAGATCATAGCTCTACTGCTGAACAGATATGTGATCCTGATCTGGTTACATCTCTGTGTGTATGTAGAATAGAGGTAAGATGATGCATTGGGTACCAATGAGATGACTCATGGGTAAGGGTGTTCATACCTAAGTTGTATTCCTGAGACCTACATAGTGGAAGGAGAAAACTGTTTTTCCACAGTTTGTTCTCTGACCTCCACACGTGTTATAGCATGTGTACACACACACACACACACACACACACACACACACACACACACACACACACACACACACACGAAGTAAATGTAATAGAAATTTTAAAAAATGTGTTTAATGCTGGGTGTTGGTGGCGCACACCTTTAATCCCAGCACTTGGGAGGCAGAGGCAGGTGGATCTCTGTGAGTTTGAGGCTAGCCTGGTCTACAGAGAGAGTTCCAGGACAACCTCCAAAACAATACAGAGAAACCCTGTCTCAAAAAAAAAACTCTAAAAATTATTTTTATTTTCAGATATTCTTTTTTTTTTTAAAGATTTATTTATTATATACACTCTGTTCTGCCTGCATGTCAAAAGAGGGCACCAGATTTCATTATAGATGGTTGTGAGCCACCATGTGGTTGCTGGGAATTGAACTCAGGACCTCTGGAAGAGCAGTCAGTGCTCTTAACCTCTGAGCCATCTTTCCAGCCCTATTTTCAGATATTCTTAAGAACTTTTTTTTTTTTTGGCTTGCAGTGGTGACCCACACCTTTGATTCCAGTATTGGGGAGGCAGAGGCTGGTGGAGCTCTGAGTTCCAGGCCAACTTGGTCTACAAAGAGAGATCCAGGACAGCCAGGGCTATTACACAAAGAAGCTCTGTCTCCAAATACCAACCACCAAAGGGTCTTTTTGGATCTCCATTTTGGAAGCACTTTAGATTTATAAATCACCATTTCTGCTGCATAGGCACTTAGCATTAAAAGTAGAATAGTGTCTGTTTCAAATGCTCATCACCATTGTGTGTGTGAATAGAACCTTGAAATGGTGATGATTTTAAAGTGCTTTTGTTTGCAGGAAATGATTATAAATATGCTTGAAGTATCAGTTAACTTTTTGCCCTCAAATTTTTCTTCACTAAATACTTATCTGGTGGAGAGCTTTTTCCTCAGGCATACTAAGTACATGGGGAAGTTTACAGAGGGGGACTATTTTGGAGGAGGAGGAAATAAAAGTTTAAAAAGTGATACTGTTATTTTTATGGTGTTTTCAAAGCTGGACTCAATAATTCAGAACCTGTACCTAGGAACATTAGAGTTTAGTAAATTCAGTTGATCTTAGTCAAGTAATTCTGATTTAGTAAATGAATGTGTTTCAGGTGTGGTGCATATATGTAATCCTAGCACCTGAGATGGTGAGGAAGATTGATAGTTCAAGGCCAGCTTCAGCTACATAGTGAGACCCTATCACATAACAAACAACAAGGCAGGCAGGCAGGCAGGCATGCAGGCATGCAGATAGTGCAAAGTTATTTCCAATTTTTATAAAATAGAATTGCTATTACAGATGAATAACATTCCAGTTGTAAATGGTTGTTTAAAATATGGCTTCCCAGGTCACATGGTCTAGCTATTTTGCTAAGGACCTTTTAGTGGGTGAGAGCCATTGTTAGGTAGGGTTGGGGCCAGATGTGATGGTATATGCTACTAATATCAGCACTCAGGAGGCAGACATAGGTCTACATAGTATGTTTCAGGCCAGCCAGGGCTACACATGAGACCCTGTCTTAACAACAGTAGCAAAAGGCTTGGATGGTAGGGTCAGCTGCAGTAGATTTAACTGAAAACCAGCTTAACAACTATCTTATTGGTCATATCATTTATTTATGCAAATAGATATTTTGTCTACTTCAAGAGATTTGGAGTTTTAAGTTAAAAGCAATATAAAGTAGGAATTGGAAAAATAGTGGCACATGTTGTGGTAGTTCTAAAAGTTATCTAGGGGACCCTCTCCAATATACATGTGCTAGACACACCCAGTATCTCTGAATCAGAAATACATGCACGCATGGCACACACACACACACACACACACACACACACACACACACACACACACACACACACACACACACACACAGACACACCCACACCCACACCCACACCCACACCCACACCCACACCCACACGCACCTCCATCTATATCTGTCTGTCTGCCTGCCTGCCTGCCTGCCTGCATGTCTACCTACCTACATCCATCTATCTATCTATGTATCTATCCATCCGTCCTTCTTATCCATCCTTCTTATCCATCCTTATCCATCCATCCATCCATCTAAATTAACTGTAATTCTTTCTAGGTATATCTTAATTTTACATGACTTTTTTTCCTTTTCCTCTGCCCAAAGTCTGTAAGTCCAGAAGATTCTGAAAAGAAGCGCACTAATTATCAAGCTTATCGAAGCTACTTAAATCGTGAAGGTCCCAAAGCTCTGGGCTCCAAAGAAATACCCAAGGTAAGAGTCATGAGGATTGTGCTACTCTGTCAGGACTCTGTCTTGTGTTCCAGCAAAGAGTTACTGAGCCAGTATTAACAGAAAGGTCTCAGCTACCCTTTTATGAATTAGAAGTTCTTATTCACATTGTGATTCATTGGTGTCCTTTAAATAATAAGTAGCCTGAGAAGGGATGGGCTTTTCCATGTCTTCATGGACTCAGAGCTTAAGGAAAAACATGGTAAATGCATTAGTATCTGATAGGACTTTTCTCTCCCATTACTAGGTGCTCTTAGAGAGTATAGTAGAGAAACACGGATGATCCTGGGGGATCATTTAGATCAGTGGTTCTCAACCTTCCTAATACTGCAACTCTTTAGTACAGTTGCTCTTGTGGTGACCCCAACCATAAAATTCTTTTCATTGCTACTTCCTGACTGTAATTTTGCTACTGCTAGGAATTGTAGAAAAGAGGCCTTATCACATCCTCTCTGAAAATGGGGGGACAACCAAAGTGGGACTGACAAGGAGCAGGCACAGCTGTGAGACTGAAGTCTGATGTGAGTGGCATTGGAGAATGCAGGCAAGAAAGGTGATTGAGTGGTATGGTCTGCCATGTTGTGCAAGTTCCAACAAAGAGAAGACCCAGACTTGTCCATTGTGTTTAGTAACGTGAGTGATGGTCCTTAATGGCCCCAGCAAGAACAGTAGAGACAGCTGATGCAGCGGCTTCAAGAGTCTGAGGTGACAAATGCAGACCTGTTTTTGATAAGTTTGGTTGTGAAGTAGAAATGGAGACTGGGATTTAAGGGAAAAGGTGAATGTTTTAAGGTCGGGGGTACTTAAGGTGTGCTTCTTGGTGATGAAATAGATCCTCCCAAAGGGAAGAATAGTTAACTGTGCCATGGGGCTTCTGAGAATCGAGGAGATACTTAAATTTGATTTTCACTTTGCTGCATAAGGCGATTAAAAGTCCCCCTAAAGGAAGAAAGGGTAGGTAGCTAGAGGGAAGGGAAAGGGGCTGGAAGAAGAGGTCGCCAGCCTTGCCTCCTGTACACAGTGTAACACTGAGAGACTGAACAAGTGCCTGTTGGAGGACTTTAGGGCAAATGGTGTTCCCAGGGGACTGCTGAGTTTCTGTGACAGCAAGGCTGCCAGTAGTTTCCTGGAGTCAGAGCTGTAGAGGAGTCCTCTAATGGACGATGGCAAGGAGGCTGGTGAGGCTGGGTTCCAGTGGGAGAGCACTCAGGAGACAGTAGTTTGGGGTTTGAAATGGAGGAACTTCTTGATGTGGAGTCCCCAGGGTGGCTTGGAGTCTCTTGAGAAGATTTAAATAGTTCATTTCACTCCTGGAAATGGAAGGACTCAAGAGATGCTGTTAGTCATTTTCCCCTTTCTTTCTCAGTAAAGAATAGCTATTCTTTCCTTCCCTGCTTGTTCCAAGAAAGGTTTTTTATGTGGCAGGGTCATGACCAGCTTATGTTGGAACATGCTTCCAGTTTTGTTTAATTTCAGTTCTATTCATGGAGTAATAAGGAGCAGGGCTCATCACGTATGACGATTTTGTTTGTATAATTTAGTTGATGCTATAAAAATTTAAAAAAATCTATAACTGCATGGAGTTGCAGTTCAGATTTAGGAAGAGAAGCCCTTAGATGGTCAGCTCTTAGATGGCCAGTTATCTTTGTTCTATGCTTGTAGCAGTTGCTTAGGTTCACTCTCAGTTGGGTAATGATCAGAGAATGGTAAGAGCTCCAACTTGATAGACTTTCCAGAACCAAAGCTGGCCTTTAGCAACAGTGGACAGATTACATTTGATTGTTTACTTAAAGCTATGAAAGCAAATTACTGATTTAAACATGAAAAGTGGAGAATTGCATGAACGGGTAATTTTCATTTTGCTGACAGTATGTTTCTCCTTGTTCATTTGGTATGTGTTAAATGTTAGCTATATAGGAATTCATCAGTATTTACTTTGAGGATCTGCTGTAATTTCTAGTCAGGTTTCATGTTGGGGTTATTTATGATGTCGAGTGAGAAGAGTCAGCTTGTTCAGATCGGCTACCATGTAATATCTTCTTTGCTTGAACATTTTGGTTTTTAGGGAGCTGAAAATTGCTTGGAAGGCCTGACATTTGTGATCACAGGCGTGCTGGAGTCCATTGAACGGGAAGAAGCCAAGTCTCTAATTGAACGTTATGGGGGCAAAGTAACAGGAAATGTGAGCAAGAAAACCAACTATCTCGTTATGGGCCGGGACAGCGGACAGTCCAAGAGTGACAAGGTGGGTCCTGCTGCGCTCTTCACAGCAGTGCAAGCCTGCCCGCCCGCCTCCAGGCCACATCACAGTGAAAAAGAAGAGAAAGGATGCCTCCACCCTGTAGTTCCGTCTTCTCCGCATACTGTATGTGTGCTTTTGGTTGGAACTGCAGATTGTGTGTGTTTTTTTTTTTTTTGGAAGTATAGTTACTGTTTACTTGACTTTCTTTTTTTGGTTTTTTGAGACAGGGTTTCTCTGTATCGCTTTGGAGCCTGTCCTGGCACTCATGCTGTAGACCAGGCTGGCCTTGAACTCACAGTGATCCTCCTGCCTCTGCCTCCCGAGTGCTGGGATTAAAGGCGTGCACCACCAACACCTGGTCCTTGACTTTCTTTGTGTATTCCTTTAAAAAAATTGTTAACATAGAAACATGCAGATTTTTTTTGTTCTAGTTCCAAGTTTTCTCATAACTGTCTTTATTGGAAGCTGTGTAAGTTTGTGAGGAAGAAGCAGAGGTCTGTGGGAAATAACAGGCTACCTGACTAATTCTTTTCCTTGCCTAACAGGAATTCCAGAGGCACTAGTCACCGGGATGCTTTAGCAGCTCAGCAACTTAACCTAGATAGTCCCAGCCACCATCTCTCGGCCTTCTGGGCATCAAGCATGTTGCCTGGTGCTTGTGAGGTAGCTGCCTTCTGGGCAGGAAAAGGAGCAGTGTAGCTGGGGCTGGTTTTATAGGCGTTGTCCCAGCAACCTTTAGAATCTACCTCATTGGTTGATGAGAACAGGACTTCTGAGTAGGTGGGCCTGCTGCAAGTCACAGTCTCACTCGCAGATGAACGAACATACAGGAGTCCTGAGGCAAACCTGGGAGGGGATAGGAATAGCTGGACCTTGGTTCTCCTGGCTCTGTTCCTTTCTAGGGGAACATAGGTAAAGAATAGTACAGAAGTAATGCCATATCACACTACTACCCACACACCGCTTGTACTGGCTGGTTTTATGTCAATTCAAAGTTAGAGTAAGTTTGGAAGACAGAACCTCCACTGAGAAATGCCCCCACTAGATATGCCTGTGGGCAAGCCTGTGGTGCTTTTTCTTGACTAATGATTGGTATGGGAGGGCCTAACTCACTGCAAATGGTGTCACCCCTAGGCTGATTGAACAAGCTCTGGAGGCAAACCAGAAAGCCCCACAACTCCATGCCTCTTCCACAGTTCCCGCTTTGAGGTAGCTGCCCTGTTTGAGTTCTTGTCCTCCCTCTCCTCAGTGATGGACTGTGCTGTGAAACTGTCAGTGAGTCCCCTCAGTTGCTTTGGTTATTTTTTCTCAGTAGTAGGAACTGTAAGATACCACTCTTAGGGAGTATATATTTATTTGATGGTACTAGACATTGAACCCGGGCCCTTGTACATGCTAGAAAGGTACTTACCTCTTTAATTCTTGGTTTCTTGGGATAAGAAGGATCTTGTATTGACTGAACTGGTTTTAAACTCTTGATCATCCTGCCTCTGTCTCCTGAATGCTGGTATTACAGGAATGTGGTGCCATGGCTAACCTCCTCTTCTCTTCTCTGTTTCCTATCTGTATCTTTTGACAAGTTCTTGTTCATAGTCCAAACTGGCCTTAAAATCATTGTGTGTGTGTGAGAGAGAGAGACAGACAGACAGACAGACAGAGAGTGAGAGAGACAGAAAGACAGAGAGTGAGAGAGACAGACAGACAGACAGAGAGAGAGAGAGAACGAGAACGAGTGAGCCAGAGCGCCTGTGCCCATTCATGTGCATGTGTGGTGGCCAGAAGCCGACATTAGATTTTTTTGTTGTTCTCTATCTTGCTCTTTTGAGATAGTCCTACCGAGCCTGGGGCTAGGGTGTGGTCTAGGAATCCTCTATCTCCACCTTGCAGAGCATTGCAGTTACATATGCTGCCACACCCAGCTTTTTATGTAGGTGCTGGGAATTTGAACTCAGGTCCTTTTGCTGGTGCACCCCAAACACTTACCTACTGAGCTACATTCTGAACCCCATTTCTTTCTTTTTAATGGTAATTTTAAAAAATTAAAACTATATGTAAATAATTTGCAAGTAAACATTAGGTAGTAGCATTAGCCAGACTCTAAGTCTATACATCTCAGAGGAACCTGTATATTTTTATTGTACTTTGTTACACACACACACACACACACACACACACACACACACACACACACACACACACACACACACCAAACCTAATAGAAAAACCAAAAAAAAAAAAAAACCCAACAGCAGAATTAAAACCAGGAAAGCAGTTAGCTTATAGCCTCTTTCACAATTCAATATCTATTACTGTATTACTGGATTTCATCCTTAATGATAACTGTCTGGTGATTGTGTGTGTGTTTTTTTTTTTTTAATTCCGTTGCTGGGGATCAGTAGGTAAGAGTACTTGTTACCCTTGAAGAAGACCTGGGTTCAGTTCTCAGTACTCACGTGACCACTCAAAGTTGCTCACAACTCCAGTCCCAGGGACTCTGAAGCCTTTAGATCTTCTTGGGTACCACACACACTCACGTTACACAGACACACAGGTGAGCAAGACACTCATACATAAAATAATTTTTTTTGTTTTTTCGAGACAGGGTTTCTCTGTGTAGTCCTGGCTATCCTGGAACTCACTTTGTAGACCAGACTGGCCTCGAACTCACAGAGATTTGCCTTCCTCTGCCTCCCGAGTGCTGGGAATTAAAGGTCTGCACCACCACCACCTGGCAAAATCTTTAAAATAATTAAAAATAAATTCTAGTGTTACTTATTTTACAGTGGCCCTTCATCTGCTAGGCCTTAAAGTAAATTTTCCTCTCCAACAAGTGGTTTGTATGGAGCTCTGATGATTTGTATTTTAATCAACAGGCAGCAGCTTTGGGAACAAAAATCCTTGATGAAGATGGTCTGTTGGATCTGATTCGAACTATGCCAGGCAAGAAATCCAAGTATGAAATAGCCGCTGAAGCTGAGGTGTGTACAAGACAAACCTGGCTTATTGCAGTTGGTATAGAAGCTCCTGTTTGATAGAGGTGCACAATAGACAGTACTGTTGGCTAGAAAACCAAACTCCTGTGTACAAGTGAACTCACCTTCTTTCTTCTTGACCTGGAAGACTGTCCCAGCATGTCTTAGGTGTTTCCTTTCTTTTCAGGGGAGGAGAGAGGGGTGCGTGTAACAAGTAGTGTGTTGTGTATAACCTACTTTCTTATACTTATTGTCTATATACATACATTATATGTGTGTGTGTGTACGTACATATATGTTAAAAAATTTTACTTGGTCTTGGCTGATAAGGAACTCGATATGTAGACCAGACTGGCCTCAAACTCAGAGATACCTGAATGCCTCTGCCTCTGAAATGCTGGGATTAAAGACATGTGCCACCTGGCCACATTTGTTTTTTTTTCCGAGACACGGTTTCTCTGTGGCTTTGGAGGTTGTCCTGGAACTAGCTCTTGTAGACTAGGCTGGCCTCGAACTCATAGAGATCCTCCTGCCGCTGCTGGGATTAAAGGCGTGTGCCACCGATGCCCGGCTTCTATCCTGTTTTTTAAAGAGGAGTTTATCAGCATCTTTAGTGAAGCTTTATTAGGAGTTTTTCCATTATGATAGAAACTAGCCTCTATTGGCTTTCAACATGGGGAAAAAGAAAGAGCTGGCTCACGTAGCTAAGCTGGGGCAGGATGTCTTAGACCATCCTTCTGAACCCTTCTATTTTCTGTGTTTGCACCTCCCAGTAATATCACATTCATTCCACTATCTACCTGCTTGTCCACATGCATGACACAGGACTCCAAACATTGCCATTATCTCCAAAAGAAATTCTGTACTCATTTATAGTTGCTTGTCATACCTTCTGCCTGACAGTCACTGTACTGTTGTATTATGGATTTGCCTGTTATGAACATTTAATATAAGTAGAATTATATCATATGAGGCTTTTGTTTTTAGGCTTTTCACTTTTTATAATGGCTTCAAAGCACATCAAGTGTACTTTGAATTGCTATTCAGTCCTTTTTATGATTAATGTCCCATTTGTTTGTCTACATTCCCCAGTGGATGTTTGCGCTCTGTGGTTTGTGTATGTAAACCATATAATACAGCGCTGTTCTGACTTTGTATATACAAGTTTTTGAGAAACTTGTAGTTAAGAAAATTTAAAGCAGTTGTTGTTTACCCCGTGACCCTGTCTTTTTATTTTAAAAATGACTGCTATATTAGCTTTCTGTCCATGTTGTTTCATGTTTGGAAAGCAGTGACTTCACATACTGCAGCGTGACTGCATTGTGACAGGAGCAGCCTGGATGGGGTATGTGCAGCAGGATAGAACTCTTCTGTGTTCCATCAGGTTTTTCTCCCCCCTTTCAGATGAAGAAGGAAAAGTCCAAATTGGAGCGAACACCCAAAAAACACGAGCAAGGAAAAAGGAAAATTACTCCAACCAAGACGGAGTCAGAGCCTAAAAAGAGCAAACTGACTCCTCAGAGGGACAGCCCTGCAAAAGCCACAAAGGAGAACGCACATGTGTCTCGGAGGGGCCTGGACTTGACAGAGCAGGTGGTCAGGGAGACACCCGGCAACAGCAGGGCTCAGCGTCCGGCTGAGGACAGCACTGGGAACAAAGTGGAAAGCCTGCTCTGGGTGGATAAGTACAAGCCCACGTCACTCAAGAACATAATCGGACAGCAAGGTGACCAGAGCTGTGCCAACAAACTGCTACGCTGGCTCAGAAACTGGCATAAGAGTTCTTCCGAAGAGAAAAAACACGGTGATTTCATTTTAGTCATTTTGTGTGTCTGTCAACATGTAAAGCTCAGTTGCACACATGGGTGAAAGGCTCATGTTGGTTCATTTACCTGTCAGCACATACTTACTGAGAGCTTGTTCAGAGCTCACGTGCTGTACTAGGCTCTGGTGGTGTTTCTGTGAACACAGGAGACCCTTCAAGAGCCCCCAGAGAGTTGAGGAGACTATGAGCAGCTACTAAATGCATGTGCCAAGTACTATTGTAGGGGTTAGTCCAGGAAGCTCTGGGGGTGCTGGTGCGTAGTCAGGGAAGAGCATGTGAGCTCTCTGAAGAGACAGCTAGGTGAAGTGCGTGCGTGCGTGCGTGCGTGCGTGCGTGCGTGTGTGTGTGTGTGTGTGTGTGTGTGTGACTGGGCAGAAGGAATGGCCAGTCCCGAGGTCTCAAGGCCTGTGAGAGAGAGAGATCACCGAGAGCACTCAGGACCCACGAGGGAAAGGCATGCAGTGCTGCGTTGGCACAGTTCCCTGTGCGCAGTTAAACATGTGATTTGCTTCTGGTATTGCAGTGAGTCCCTCTCTCCCCTGTACTTTGCGATCCCTGCGCAGTTCAGGAACGATTCCTGCTGTTCTGGAGTGTCTGGTAGATGGTGAATGTTAATGCTCTGGAACTTACTTTCCCCTGGCAGCGAGGTGTGGCAAACTCTCCAGCAAAGATGATGGTTCCAGTTTCAAGGCAGCACTGCTGTCTGGCCCGCCAGGTGTTGGCAAAACCACTACAGCTTCTCTTGTATGTCAGGTGGGTGCCCTGTATGTGCTGTGGGAAAGGTAAAACCTGGCAGGGATCAGATAGCTCTTATGTGTGTGTGTGTGCTCTTGTGCGTGTGTGTGCTCTTGTGTGTGTGTGCTCTTGTGTGTGTGTGCTCTTGTGTGTGTGTGCTCTTGTGTGTGTGTGCTCTTGTGCGTGTGTGCTCTTGTGCGTGTGTGCTCTTGTGCGTGTGTGCTCTTGTGCGTGTGTGCTCTTGTGCGTGTGTGCTCTTGTGCGTGTGTGCTCTTGTGCGTGTGTGCTCTTGTGTGTGTGTGCTCTTGTGCGTGTGTGCTCTTGTGCGTGTGTGCTCTTGTGTGTGTGTGCTCTTGTGTGTGTGTGCTCTTGTGTGTGTGTGCTCTTGTGTGTGTGTGCGCTCTTGTGTGTGTGTGTGCTCTTGTGTGTGTGTGCTCTTGTGTGTGTGTGCTCTTGTGTGAGTGTGTGCTCTTGTGTGTGTGTGCTCTTGTGTGAGTGTGCTCTTGTGTGTGTGCTCTTGTGTGTGTGTGTGCTCTTGTGTGTGTGTGTGCTCTTGTGTGTGTGTGCTCTTGTGTGTGTGTGCTCTTGTGTGTGTGTGCTCTTGTGTGTGTGTGTGCTCTTGTGTGTGTGTGCTCTTGTGTGTGTGTGCTCTTGTGTGTGTGCTCTTGTGTGTGTGTGCTCTTGTGTGTGTGTGCTCTTGTGCGTGTGTGCTCTTGTGCGTGTGTGCTCTTGTGCGTGTGTGCTCTTGTGTGTGCTCTTGTGCGTGTGTGCTCTTGTGTGTGTGCTCTTGTGTGTGTGTGCTCTTGTGCGTGTGTGCTCTTGTGCGTGTGTGCTCTTGTGTGTGTGTGCTCTGTGTGCGTGTGTGCTCTTGTGTGTGTGTGCTCTTGTGTGTGTGTGCTCTTGTGTGTGTGTGTGCTCTTGTGTGTGTGTGCTCTTGTGTGTGTGTGCTCTTGTGTGTGTGTGCTCTTGTGTGTGTGTGCTCTTGTGTGTGTGTGTGCTCTTGTGTGTGTGTGTGCTCTTGTGTGTGTGTGCTCTTGTGTGTGTGTGCTCTTGTGTGTGTGTGCTCTTGTGTGTGTGTGCTCTTGTGTGTGTGTGCTCTTGTGTGTGTGCTCTTGTGCGTGTGTGCTCTTGTGTGTGTGTGCTCTTGTGCTTGTGTGCTCTTGTGTGTGCTCTTGTGCGTGTGTGCTCTTGTGTGTGTGTGCTCTTGTGCGTGTGTGCTCTTGTGCGTGTGTGCTCTTGTGCGTGTGTGCTCTTGTGTGTGCTCTTGTGCATGTGTGCTCTTGTGTGTGTGCTCTTGTGTGTGTGCTCTTGTGTGTGTGTGCGCTCTTGTGTGTGTGTGCTCTTGTGTGAGTGTGCTCTTGTGTGTGTGCTCTTGTGTGTGTGTGTGCTCTTGTGTGTGTGTGTGCTCTTGTGTGTGTGTGCTCTTGTGTGTGTGTGCTCTTGTGTGTGTGTGCTCTTGTGTGTGTGTGTGCTCTTGTGTGTGTGTGCTCTTGTGCGTGTGTGCTCTTGTGTGTGTGCTCTTGTGCGTGTGTGCTCTTGTGCGTGTGTGCTCTTGTGCGTGTGTGCTCTTGTGTGTGAGTGCTCTTGTGTGTGTGTGCTCTTGTGTGTGTGTGCTCTTGTGTGTGTGTGCTCTTGTGCGTGTGTGCTCTTGTGCGTGTGTGCTCTTGTGCGTGTGTGCTCTTGTGCGTGTGTGCTCTTGTGCGTGTGTGCTCTTGTGTGTGCTCTTGTGTGTGTGTGCTCTTGTGTGTGTGCTCTGTGTGTGTGCTCTTGTGTGTGTGTGCTCTTGTGCGTGTGTGCTCTTGTGTGTGTGCTCTTGTGCGTGTGCTCTTGTGCGTGTGTGCTCTTGTGTGTGTGTGCTCTTGTGTGTGTGCGCTCTTGTGTGTGTGTGTGCTCTTGTGTGTGTGTGCTCTTGTGTGAGTGTGTGCTCTTGTGTGTGTGTGCTCTTGTGTGAGTGTGCTCTTGTGTGTGTGTGCTCTTGTGTGTGTGTGCTCTTGTGCGTGTGTGCTCTTGTGTGTGAGTGCTCTTGTGTGTGTGTGCTCTTGTGTGTGTGTGCTCTTGTGTGTGTGTGCTCTTGTGCGTGTGTGCTCTTGTGTGTGTGTGCTCTTGTGCGTGTGTGCTCTTGTGCGTGTGTGCTCTTGTGCGTGTGTGCTCTTGTGTGTGAGTGCTCTTGTGTGTGTGTGCTCTTGTGTGTGTGTGCTCTTGTGTGTGTGTGCTCTTGTGTGTGTGTGCTCTTGTGTGTGTGTGCTCTTGTGCGTGTGTGCTCTTGTGCGTGTGTGCTCTTGTGCGTGTGTGCTCTTGTGCGTGTGTGCTCTTGTGCGTGTGTGCTCTTGTGTGTGCTCTTGTGTGTGTGTGCTCTTGTGTGTGTGCTCTTGTGTGTGTGCTCTTGTGTGTGTGTGCTCTTGTGCGTGTGTGCTCTTGTGTGTGTGCTCTTGTGCGTGTGCTCTTGTGCGTGTGTGCTCTTGTGTGTGTGCTCTTGTGTGTGTGTGCTCTTGTGTGTGTGTGCGCTCTTGTGTGTGTGTGTGCTCTTGTGTGTGTGTGCTCTTGTGTGAGTGTGTGCTCTTGTGTGTGTGTGCTCTTGTGTGAGTGTGCTCTTGTGCGTGTGTGCTCTTGTGTGTGTGTGCTCTTGTGCGTGTGTGCTCTTGTGTGTGAGTGCTCTTGTGTGTGTGTGCTCTTGTGTGTGTGTGCTCTTGTGTGTGTGTGCTCTTGTGTGTGTGTGCTCTTGTGCGTGTGTGCTCTTGTGTGTGTGTGCTCTTGTGCGTGTGTGCTCTTGTGCGTGTGTGCTCTTGTGCGTGTGTGCTCTTGTGTGTGCTCTTGTGTGTGTGTGCTCTTGTGTGTGTGCTCTTGTGTGTGTGCTCTTGTGTGTGTGTGCTCTTGTGCGTGTGTGCTCTTGTGTGTGTGCTCTTGTGCGTGTGCTCTTGTGCGTGTGTGCTCTTGTGTGTGTGTGCTCTTGTGTGTGTGTGCTCTTGTGTGTGTGTGCTCTTGTGCTGTGTGTGCTCTTGTGCGTGTGTGCTCTTGTGCGTGTGTGCTCTTGTGCGTGTGTGTGCTCTTGTGTGTGTGTGCTCTTGTGTGTGTGTGCTCTTGTGTGTGTGCTCTGTGTGTGTGTGCTCTTGTGTGTGTGCTCTTGTGTGTGTGCTCTTGTGCGTGTGTGCTCTTGTGTGTGTGCTCTTGTGTGTGTGTGCTCTTGTGTGTGTGTGTGCTCTTGTGTGTGTGTGCTCTTGTGTGTGTGTGCTCTTGTGTGTGTGTGTGCTCTTGTGTGTGTGTGCTCTTGTGTGTGTGTGTGCTCTTGTGTGTGTGTGCTCTTGTGTGAGTGTGCTCTTGTGTGTGTGTGCTCTTGTGTGTGTGTGTGCTCTTGTGTGTGTGTGTGCTCTTGTGTGTGTGTGCTCTTGTGTGTGTGTGCTCTTGTGTGTGTGTGCTCTTGTGTGTGTGTGTGCTCTTGTGTGTGTGTGCTCTTGTGCGTGTGTGCTCTTGTGTGTGCTCTTGTGTGTGTGTGCTCTTGTGTGTGTGTGCTCTTGTGCGTGTGTGCTCTTGTGTGTGTGTGCTCTTGTGTGTGTGTGCTCTTGTGTGTGTGTGCTCTTGTGTGTGTGTGCTCTTGTGCGTGTGTGCTCTTGTGCGTGTGCTCTTGTGTGTGTGCTCTTGTGCGTGTGTGCTCTTGTGTGTGTGCTCTTGTGTGAGTGTGCTCTTGTGTGTGTGTGCTCTTGTGTGTGTGTGCTCTTGTGTGTGTGCTCTTGTGTGTGTGTGCTCTTGTGCGTGTGTGCTCTTGTGTGTGAGTGCTCTTGTGTGTGTGTGCTCTTGTGTGTGTGTGCTCTTGTGTGAGTGTGCTCTTGTGTGTGTTGATGTGTGTAAACCTAACAGTATAGTTTTCTAAAGTCAAACTTTAGAATTTTCTTTGGCTCTAGGCATGTGTGTTATTCCATCCTTTAAAAATACTATTATTCTGGCTAGGTGTGGTGGTGCATGGCTATAGTCCCAGCACTGGGGAGGCAGGTGGGACTACATAGTGAGTTCCAGGACATATAGAACGTTCCAAAAAGGGGCTGGAGAGATGGCTCAGCAGTTAAGAGCACTGCCTGCTCTTCCAGAGGTCCTGAGTTCAATTCCCAGCAACTACATGGTGGCTCACTACCATCTACAGTGTGATCTGGTGCCCTCTTTGAGCTGCAGGCACACATGCAGGCAGAACCTGTATCTATACATAATAAATAAATTAACCTTTTAAAAAAAAAGGTTTAAAAAAACCAAAGAAAGCAAACAACTGCCCCCAAAGCTGTTGTTCTATTGGCTGTTATAATAACATTTCCCCTAAGTGTGGAGGATGTGTTCCTGGTCCGCAGTTGATGCCACAGCTGCAGGCAGTACAGGCCCGTACTGGATGCACCGTGCTTTCCCTCTGTGCCGCGCAGCACTGCCCTTTTGTTCTAGGGCAGTCTGTCCTTCTGTGTCTGTCCTCGTGCCCTCCTTGCATTCCCACTCTTGTTCTGAGGACCACTATTAAGTTAAGTGTTATTTGAACACAAGCACTGGATGGTGTGTGGCGGATAGTCAGGTAACCAGGGATGAGTCGCTGTTCCTGGCTTACCAGCTATGGTTTAAGAGCAAACTTTGTGTGTTGTATGTCTGTTTGGTTGTGGTTTTGTTTTTTTGGAGACAGGATTTATCTGTGAGGCTGTCCTGGAACTAGCTCTTGTAGACCAGGCTGGTCTGGAACTCAACAGGAATCCACCTGCCTCTGCCTTCCGAGTGCTGGGATTAAAGGTGTGCACCACCACTGCTTTGCTCTGTGTGGTGTTTTAAGAATCTTCAGTACTAAGAGGAATATTAAATTTGTTGTCTGTTAGTATCATACTTAATGTTTTTACCCATGATTTTGTATGTGAGTTTTGGAACCTTTGTGTTCCTTAATTAGCTCCCCTTGGGGAGGGTCATTTGCACTGTGATAGTAACCGTTTCCAATATTTTGACTAGGAATTGGGCTACAGTTACGTGGAACTAAATGCAAGTGATACTCGGAGTAAGAACAGTTTGAAAGCAGTTGTTGCTGAATCATTGAACAACACCAGCATCAAAGGCTTTTATACAAGTATGTGTGCCCTTTTGAACTGTGGCTGTAGATGTGTTTAAGAACAAGTCACTTCAGTGTTGTGTAGTGAGCACCATTGTGGTTGGTAAGCATCCTGGGACGTGAAGACAGGCAAGGCCTCTGACCTAACTCCTGGAACACTGGTTACCCTCTTTGCTCTTACAGGGTCCTGAAAATGTGATAGAAATGTGTACATACACCGTTTTCATTTTGCATGTGATTTTCAACAACTCGTAAATGATCCCATAAGGGAATATGAAAAATACAGTGTGCTGCATGAGGTTGTAAGGCCTGTGGTTGAGGGGAAATTGTGCTTCGGGCATTCTGTAATCTACCAGTAAAAGGGTGATATTTATTCAAAAGGCCTTGAAGCATGGGGGCGGGCATTCGGAGCTATATGATGTCGTCTCTATGGAAAGGCCCATTGTAGTCAGGTTGTGACTAGTGGGGGAAACGAACATGTATCAGTTAAGGATCAACCTGCCTGGACTTACTCAGAACCTTGGTATTTTTAATGGTAGAAATTACTTTTTGAAAGTTGCTCAGAAAACATCCTCTCTCACACACAATCTCTCTCTCTCTCTCTCTCTCTCTCTCTCTCTCTCTCTCTCTCTCTCCCTCTCTCTCTCTCTCCCTCCCTCTCCCTCTCCCCCTCCCCCTCTCTCTCCCTCCCTCTCCCTCTCCCCCTCCCCCTCTCCCTCTCCCCCTCCCCCTCTCCCTCTCCCCCTCCCCTCCCCCTCCCCCTCCCCTCTCCCTCTCCCTCTCCCTCTCCCTCTCCCTCTCCCTCTCCCTCTCCCTCTCCCTCTCCCTCTCCCTCTCCCTCTCCCTCTCCCTCCCTCCCTCCCTCCCTCTCTCTCTCTCTCTCTCTCTCTCTCTCTCTCTCTCTCTCTCTCTCTCTGTGTGTGTGTGTGTGTGTTAGATGTGCAGGATTTTTTACGTATGTTGACCTCAGGTTCTTGTGTTTGCAAGGCAAACATTATACCGACAGCTATCTCTCCATGTTACTTCTTGTATATGGCTGGCGGAAGTATTAATATAACTCTTGAGCAATCTGGCAGTTTTCTTCAAGTTTAAATCACACATAATTTCTTTATTTTTCTTTTTTTTTTTTTTTTTTTTTTTTTTTGGTTTTTACGAGACAGGGTTTCTCTGTATTGTTTTGGAGGCTGTCGGATAATTTCTAATTTTGAAATTTCAGTGTTTGGAATTTCACTGTCATTATACTTTAATGTGTACACAATGGCACATACACAGACACACACGTAGAGACAAACACAAATAGACACACATACACAGACACATAGATACATACATACATATGATGATATTTAAATATTAGTATGACATAGCAAAAGCTTGGAAGAATCTTAATATTTCTTCAGTAAACTAATTTATACTTTTTGAAGTAGAATATTAAATTACATTTAAAAAGAAGTATTCTTGGGATTGGACATTCCCTCTTCTGGTGTGCAGACATGCATATATATATAAAACCCATATGCATAAAGTATATAAATCTTTTTATTATTAGATTTGTTTGTTTGGTTTGTGACACAGGGTTTCTCTGTGTAGCCTTGGCTGTCCTGGAACTCGCTCTGTAGTCCAGGCTGGCCTTGAATTCAGAGATCCACCTTTTGTCCCCCAAGTGCTGGGATCAAAGGTGTGCATCACCACTGCCTGGCAAATGAATACATCTTAAGAAAAAAAAAAGAAGTGTTATTAAAAATAGATGGATGGGAATGGATCATTGACCAAAATTATTTATTTGAAAAACCTCAAGGTACACATTTGGGAAGAGAAGTTGGGAATGTAGAAAGGTTGGGAGAATTTCTTCTCATTGCTTAACTCTTGCAGCTTTTGAAATGTAAATGTGTCTAAAACTTTCTGTAATACAGCAGTTTGAGCAGTGTTACTATATTTTGTCCTGTCTTACCCCTTGGTCAGGCGGAGCAACTCCTTCGGTGAGCTTGAAGCATGTTCTCATCATGGATGAGGTTGACGGCATGGCAGGCAGTGAGGACAGGGGGGGAATTCAGGTAACACAGCGCTATAACTTTTTGTTTTACTGTTGCTTTTTAGATTAAGAAAATGTGAGTTATGTGGATGAATATTTTATCAGTTGAGGGCTTTTAAAAAAATGCTAAAATATGTTGACTAGTATTTTTTTTTAAATAATGATTTTTTTTAAATGTTCTAAATTTGCCTTTTAGGAACTAATAGGCCTGATAAAGCATACTAAAATTCCCATCATTTGTATGTGCAATGATAGAAATCATCCCAAAATTCGTTCTTTGGTTCATTATTGTTTTGATCTTCGTTTCCAAAGACCTCGGGTTGAACAGATTAAGGTATGTTTATTGTAATTAAAAAAAAACACATTTATTTGTTGTGTTTCTCTGTGTCCATGAACACACACATGAGAGCTCATGCATGTGCAATAGTGTATACATGTGGAGGTCAGAGGGCATCCTTTGGGTGTCAGTTCCTGGGAGGTCAGGTTCTAGGGATCAGTCTTAGGCATCAGGCCTGATGGGAAGTGCCTTTGCCAACTGAGTTATCTTGTTAGATGTATTAGGATTCCTATTGCTGTGGTGAAGCACCATGGCCAAAAACAACTTGGGGAGGAAAGGGTTTTTTGTTTTGTTTTGTTTTTGCTTACACTTTCACATCACTGTTCACCATAGAAGAAGTCAGGACAGAAGTCAAACAGGGCAGGAACCCGGAGGCAGAGCCGATGCAGGCTGTGGAGGAATACTGTTTACTGGCTTGCTTTGCATGGCTTGTTCAACCTGCTTATAGGTTGCCTCTTCTCAATCCCCTTTCCTCTTCTTGGATGACTATAGCTTGTTTTGGGGGGACACAAACCTAGCTAGCACACTGGCCCAGAATTCCTCTGCTAAAGGACATTATGTTTATAATAAGGTTAATTTTAACTTTAGGCAGTGTCAATATTGTAGCCAGTAAGGTTTATCTAAGGTGTGATGATTGCTAATTGAAAACTTATGGATCAATTTTTAAAAGTATCTCATAAATATTTTTATAGAATTGTAGATGTTAGAAGTAAAATAAAAAGGTCAGTGACAATTTCTTGCTTGCTTGTCAATTTCAGAGTGCAATGTTGTCTATTGCATTTAAAGAGGGCTTAAAGATCCCCCCTCCAGCCATGAATGAGATAATTTTGGGAGCTAATCAAGATGTCAGACAGGTGAGTTAGATATATATATATTATGTGACAGTTGTTACTTTTCTAAATTTAATTTTATTATTTTATGTGTATGGATAGTTTTCCTGCATGTATGTCTGAACCACTTGTGTACTTAGTATTGGCAGAAGCCAGAATTGGGCACTCAGTTCCTGAAACTGGAGTTCTAGATGGCTGTGAGCTATCATATGGTCGCTGGGAGAGCAGCCAGTGCTCTTAGCTGCTGACCATCTCTGCAGCTGGGAATGCAGCCAGTGCTCTTAGCTGCTGACCATCTCTGCAGCTGGGAGAGCAGCCAGTGCTCTTAGCTGCTGACCATCTCTGCAGCTGGGAATGCAGCCAGTGCTCTTAGCTGCTGACCATCTCTGCAGCTCTTGGCAGTTAATTCTTTTGCCCCCACACTCTTCAGACCTGCACAGGGTAGGAGAGTAGCAGTCCTTCCTCATGCTAACATTGTTTTATCTATGTTTCTTGTAGGTTTTACATAATATGAGTATGTGGTGTGCACAGAGTAAGGCACTAACTTATGACCAAGCCAAGGCGGATTCTCAGAGGGCCAAGAAGGATATCAGACTGGTAAAATGTGTTTTCACTTCTTACTTATGAAGTTGAGTGTTTCTTGTCCTGCTTGTACTAGTTTTGTAGACATAGTGCATGTCCTTGATCTACCTGTGGAGCCCAAGGAATTGTCAGACCTGTAGACTCGGGGTCAGTGAACTTTTCCTCAAGCATGGTCATTGTCTGTTACAGATTCTGGGAAAGATTTTTTTTTTTGAGACAGGGTTTCTCTGTAGTTTTGGAGCCTGTCTGGACTTGTTCTGTAGACCAGGCTGGCTTTGAACTCACAGAGATCCGCCTGTCTCTGCTGCTGCCCCCCACACCGCTGGGATTAAAGGTGTGCAGGTGTGCACCACCACCGCCTGGCTCATAAGCACCAGTCTTTTCCATCTCCATAGTTTTTCCTTTTCCTGAGTGTCTTAAAGTAGGAGTTGCAGAGTATGCAGTCTTTGGAGATTGACTTCTTTCACATTTGTGTACATTTAAGGCTCTGTCATGTCTTCTAATGGACTGACCAGCTGTTCTTTTCGTTTCCTGTCCTTTTTTTCCTTTTTTTTTTTTAATTTGATCTTTTGAGATTGTGTAGCTTATAGCTCAGTTGGTTTGGGACTAAAGGTATACATCACCACCATCCGGCTTGGCTGATATTATTTATTAAAATTGTTGAGTAATAGTTCAAGGCCTGGATGTGTATCAGTTTATTTGCCCATTTGGTTTCTAAAGGACATCTTAGTACTTCCAGATTTTGGCAATGATGATAAAGGTGCTGTTAACTGTTCAGTTGGGATCCCCAAAGTGCTCTGCCATTCTTAGTAGGCAGGGAAGGTTCTTATTGCTCCGTATCTTTTCCAGTATTACGTTTTGGTCATTCTCCCATTTTATGCCCCCTTTTGGCAGGGCCCATTTGATGTTGCCAGGAAAGTGTTTGCAGCTGGAGAGGAGACTGCACACATGTCACTGATGGACAAATCGGATCTCTTTTTCCATGACTACTCCATAGCCCCCCTCTTTGTCCAAGAGAACTACCTCCATGTAAAGCCTGTGGCTGCAGGGTAAGCACTGAGGGCAGTGAGGGGCAGGATTAGGACCCTCCAGCACTGTAGAGGCTGAGTTCTTACACAGAGTGGCGGGGAGTTGATAGTGGTGTAATCACTATCTCTTCTCTGCAGGGGCGACATGAAAAAACACTTGATGCTTTTAAGCCGGGCGGCAGACAGCATATGTGACGGTGACTTAGTGGACAGTCAGATCCGGAGCAAGCAAAACTGGAGTCTCTTGCCCACACAGGTGAGTGTGGGCCTGCTTCAGCCGAAGGAAGATCCCTGTGCTTCTTGTAGTTAGGTTTCTTTTCCTTCCTTTTTATATGTAAAGGTTTCTTATTGTGTCGGTGTTTTACTGCATGTATGCATGCTGGTGCCTGTGGAGGTCAGGAGAGCACCAGATACCCTAGAAATGGAGTTACCGATAGTTGTGGGCTGCCATGTGGGTGTTGGGAACCAAACCCTGGAAGAGCAACCAGTGCTCGTAACTGCTGAGCTATCTCTGGTCTTTTGTGGCAAATTAGTCTGTTAAATAGAGAAAATACTTTGGCCACTGTGTCTATTTGTTCAAAAGTGTTCTAATGTAAGTGGAGGGAAGGGAATAAGAAGGCAGGTGTCAGTTGTAGCCACAGGGGTGCATCAGGAGTCTCATTTGCTGTTTTGCCTTAAGAATCTTTGTGCATTTGTGGCTCTCAGAAGGACACTGCTCAGAGCACCTCCTAGAGTAAGTGAGTCAGGGCAGGGATTACAATGTTCTCCATTGCTAGAGGTCAGTTTGTATTAGGCACTGTAGTACAGATGTAATGCACACTGTCTTTACAAGTCTTCTTTCGTGTGAGTGCACATGCTAGAAGTGGGGTCCAGAGCCTCGTACACGCAGGACAGCACTCTACCACTGGTGCACACCCACACCCACAGCCACAGCCACAGCCACAGCCCTGAGTTTTGTCTGTTGAGCAGCATCACTCGTCAAGTAACAAGCGTTTTCAGAAAGTCTGCCCTCTTCTGTTGTTTTGAGACAGTCTTGCTGCTGAGCCCTGGTTAGCCTGGTATTCACTCTGTAGCCCAGGCTGGTGACAAGGCCTGTGTCAGTCTCTTCCAGGTGTGCATCACCACACCCAGCCTCCCTACCCTCTTTTTTTTTTTTTTTTTTTTTTTTTTACGAGACAGGGTTTCTCTGTATTGTTTCGGAGGCTGTCTTGGAACTCACTCTGTAGACCAGCCCAGCCTTGAACTCACAGAGATTCGCCTGCCTCTGCCTCCCGAGTGCTGGGATTAAAGGCGTGCGCCACCACCGCCAGGCTAGTTTTTTTTTTTTTTAAAGAAAACAACACTACAAAGCTCCCATATCCAGTTACAGGAGGATGGTTAATTATGAAATACATCTGGTGAAGTCCTTCTTTCTACATTTAATCCAGTTTGTAGAGATTATCTAGTGAAAACTTGTGGGAAAATATTAGAATAAGTCAGGATACACACACCATTTATAGAAAGTTTAATTAAAGCCTTCAGCAAACTGAAGATGCTGGCCAGAGGAGACATCGGAAGTTACACTTTGCATTTTCCATGGGATGCAGTTCAGTCTGCTCTCACCTGGCCATCTGCCCTCGAATCTCCCTGTGCCGTCAGCCGGTTATGTTAAAGACAACCTCGTTCCTCGTAGTGATTCTGTGCTGAGACATTGGCGTCTGGGAAATGAGAGGTGTATTGAGGTTGGTCATGGCTGCAAGATGACCTCAGAGACAGTTTTAGACCAGGGCTGACTGCAGTCTCTCTGTGATTCCATTACCTCTTCCTTTCCTCCACCACTTCACCTTTGCACACTGGTACATGTATGTGCATGCACATGTATGTGGAAGCCAGAGGTTCTGTCTGTCTTGGTTTTTGTTTTGTTGGATTTTTTGAGCAGGGTCTTACTATGTAGCCTTGGTTGGCCTGGAGCTCTCTTTATAGATGAGACTGTACTTGAACTCAGAGAGATCTGCCTTCTAAGAGCTAGGATTAAAGGTGTCACCGCTGTACCTTTGTGTGTGTGTCTCTGTCTGTCTGTCTGTCTGTCTGTCTGTGTAAATGTATGCTGTGTGTATGTGGGTGGGTGCATGTAGAAGCCAGAAGAGGGCATCGTATCCTCTGGAGCTGGAGTTACAAGTGGTTGTGAGCTACTCAACCAGTTGTGCTGGGAACTGAACTTGCTTTCTCTGGAAGAACAATTAGTCTTCCTTTTTGTTTTTTGTTATTTTCACTACAGGGTTTCTCTGTGTAGCCTTGGCTGTCTACCTGCCTCTGCCTCCCTGCTGGGATCAAAGGCATGTACCAGTAAGCTCAGGCCAGTAAGCACTCTTTTTTTTTTTTTTTTGGTTTTTTGAGACAGGGTTTCCCTGTGGCTTTGGAGGCTGTCCTGGAACTCGCTCGGTAGACCAGGCTGGTCTCGAACTCACAGTGATCCGCCTGCCTCTGCCTCCCAAGTGCTGGGATTAAAGGTGTGCGCCACCAACGCCCGGCGCCAGTAAGCACTCTTAACTGTTGAGTCATCTCTAGCCTGCACCTTTTGTCTGTCTGTCTGCCTGCCTGCCTGTCTGTCTGTCTGATCCATCCATCTATCCGCTTACTCATTTAAAGTACGTGAGTGGGGGTGTGCCCATGCGAGTGCAAGTACCCGTGGAGGCAGGTACATTGGATCTTCCTAGAACTGGTGTTAGAGGCAGCCTTGTGTGGATGCTAAGAACTAAACTAGGGTTCTCTGCAAGAGTGGTACATGTTCTTAATGACTGAGCCATCTCTCCAGCCCCAAGATAATAGAGATGGGGTCTCTTGATGACTGGAACTTAATTAAGCTACAGTGGCTGGTCATTGAGTTCCAAGGACATTTAGTCTCCTCCCAGTGTTGGGATCACAAGCGTGCCTTATAATGCCTGGTTTTTCACATGGCTGTTGGGGATCTAACTCAGCTCCTCATGCTTGAGTGGCAAGCACTTTACCTAAACGATCTCCACAGACACTGTTCTGTTTTTTTCTATGGAAGAAGTGTCCTAACCCTGGGTCAGGACAGGGAAGGGGCGCTGCAATCAGGCTTTGGGCCATTACATCATCCACAAACTGCTAGTCTATTTTTGATTGCTATAATGCACTGCTCACTGACTGGGTAAGATTTAAAAGTTTATTGAGCTCACAGTTCTGGGAGATGGGGAACCTGTGTCTGGTGATGGCCTCCTTGCTTAAACAGGACCTCACATGGCAGGAGATGGATGTGTACATGTGTGTGTATCCTTGATCTCTCTGTCTCTTCTAGAGCATCCAGCATTCACTTAGGAGAGCTCAATTGTAACGACTGACTTTCTCTAGTCTAAATCACTCTGCAGTGACCCTACCTTCAAATGCTACAGTTGGGCTAAGTTTCTGCCCTCTTCATACCTTACAATGGGGATGAGAGCTGATAAAGAAATAAGTTTTATACCGAATTTAAATTCTGAACTATGATTTCCCCTCCTCAGGCCATTTATGCCAGTGTTCTTCCTGGAGAGTTGATGAGGGGCTATATGACTCAGTTTCCTACCTTCCCAAGCTGGCTGGGGAAGCACTCATCTACTGGCAAACATGATCGGATTGTTCAGGACCTAGCCTTGCACATGAGTCTTAGGTAAGCAGAATTAGTGCCATTCCTGTCACTGATGGTAGGTGCATTAGCTTTACCCTGCAAGAACAGCTGTGCTTGAAGATGGCTGCTTTAGGTTTGACTTTGTTGCTCACCAGCTAAATGATCCTGGATAAGTTCTGCCATTTGGCCTGAGTTCTGTCCTCTGACATTAGCATGAAGCTTTAGAAAAGCCAGATGGCAGTTGTGTCATGATTTGAGTTACATTTTTAAAGTGTATACATCTGAGAGCTATTTTTTATTGTTGCTGAAAACGTGTCTGTTTTAGTGGAATAACTTCACTCTTCAGAATAGTAAATATGAAACCCTGAATATTGATAAAGAAATGAGTTAGTTTTTACCTGTTAACACTAGAAAGCTGACTAGTCATCAGAGATAAGAAACACAGGGCTGCCACTCAGATAGTGAAAGTGAATACACTTGGAAATGGTTAAGGAAGTTCAAAAGTACTCGGAGTTGTTAAAGTTTATAAGCTTTTGAAATGTGAAGGATCTGCTTATAACCATGAGGGCAATGAAAAATCCCCTTTGTATTTCTGGGTCCCAGAATGTTAGTTTTTGATCCAGATCTACCCTGGTCACTGTGGAAAGCTGAGGCAGTTTCTGTTGTGTGAAGAAGTCCAGTTCCCACTAATTCCTTCTTCCTAGCTCATGGCAAGGGTCTTTCATTCCACCCTTAGTTTCCTGTTGCTACTCTAACACAGAATGGCTTAAAACAATACAAACTTAATTGTTCTCCCTGAGGGGTTCTCTGTGGGCACAGTGCCATCCCCAGGCCCTTATGAAGCAGAGGCTGCTGTGTCAGAGTCCGGGAGATTTGAAGGTACTGCTCTGTGGCATGGGAGATGGAGGAGCCACCAGGCTGTTTTGGACTTGCTGAGATCACTATGTCACTTCCACATCCAGCCTGAGGTCCTCAGGTTTACAGTACTTGGACATAATATTGCCATGTTTGAAGCTAGAAGCAATTGTAAAAATATAGAATGGTGATGGCATTAGAAGTATTATTTTGCTCAGTTTTTAAGGGAATGACAGTATTTGTGAGAGAAAAAGTCATTTTTTGAGACAAGGAGGTCTCTATATAACCCTGGCTGGATTAGAACTCATTCTGTAGACCAGGCTGGCTTTGAACTCACTGAGATCTGCCTGCCTCTGGAGTACTGGGGTTAAAGGGTTATGCCACTGTGCCAGCCGGAAAGTTAAGTCTTGGTAACATTCTAGTTTTCAGCAGCCAGAGCCTGTTTCCTGCTCCCTTTGGATGGCACAGGCCTTTTTCCATCTTTGCAGGCACATTCTCTGTAGTTTCTTGGCTTTAGAGAAAACCCTGCCCTAGGTCGGACAGTTCAGAGTGTAGACATGAGGAAGTACCAGGGAGGTGTTTGTGTACAGTTTTGTCTATTACAGTCAGAGTCCAAAAAGTGTTACACACTCACTCGTGCAGGAGTGGCACTGAGTGTAGGAAATCTCCTACTGTTTCCTCAGGCCTTTGTTATTTTGGGACTGGGAATGATACATCCATATGGCTACAGTAAGGATAAGCACAGAGGCACAATTGTTGGGGTGTTAGAGTAAGATGGAAATAGATGTGTATTTGCTTTTTAGTCAGAGCAGACAAGTAGCAAACTGCCTTTGAGCACAGTGGGAGGGCAGGTATCCCACTGAACACTGTTAGTATTATCATTGAAGGGCCAGCAGTTTAGGGTGGATGCATAGAAACACATAGATAGCCACATTACAAGTTCTGGTTATTGGTTAAGTTACAATGCTTACCAAAATTAAAAGTTACCCCCCCTCAGCTATTTATTGAGACATTTTCATTATGTAACCTTGTGTGACCTAGAGCTCTCTATGTAGACCAGGCCAGCATTGAGCTACTAGAGATCAAAGGCTGGGACCAAAGGTATGTACTGTCATACCTGGCTAAAACCTTTTCAAATTTCAGTCTACTGATTCTGTGATATAAATGTGTCGATTCTAGTGACTCATTTTGAATGTAGTAGTCTGCTAGTGGTTAAAGGATTGTTCTTGGTTGATTGATTGCGTGTTTACATCTGCATGCTACAGAGTGGAGGCAAAGGATAGACTTGGTTCTTCCACTTGTAGGTCATCAGGCTTGCATGGCAAGTACCTTTACCCACTGAGCCATCTGGCTGCCCTAAGAGCTGCTTTCCTAAGGACAAAATACTGTTCACTAGAAGGACCCGTGGAATAATTTGTACATTATAAAATAATTACACGTTGAAAAGATAAAAAACTTTGAACTGTGCCTGATAGGCTGGTGGTGGAGATCTAATGTTAGGGGTTGGTAATGGAGTGCTGTTGACATGCTTTAAAAAATAAAAATGTGTCCATTTGTTTCAGAACTAACTCTAGCAAAAGGACAGTGAACATGGATTACCTGTCACACATCAGAGATGCACTTGTGCAACCCTTGACCTCACAAGGGGTAGAAGGAGTCCAACATGTTGTCACACTTATGGACACATACTATTTGATGAGAGAAGACTTTGAGAATATCATGGAAGTTAGCAGCTGGGGTGGCAAGCCCAGTCCCTTTTCCAGACTGGATCCCAAGGTAAGATGCATTGCCAACTGTCCACAGTCGCTGGTAATGACCCTGCTGTCCTGGAGTGCTTGAGGCCTGTTCTAGCTGCTTTAGACATTTGGTTCCTCTCCCTAACCATTTGCTGCCTTTCTGGCCTGTGCTTCTCAGAGACGGTGTTTTAGGATAGTGCTCAGAGAAGACTGTGGATTTGACACTACAGTTTTTTGTTTTTGCTTTTTTTGTTTTTTGTTTTTTCGAGACAGGGTTTCTCTGTATTGTCTTGGAAGCTGTCCTGAAACTCGCTTTGTAGACCAGGCTGGCCTCGAACTCACAGAGATCACCCGTCTCTGCCTCCCGAGTGCTGGGATTAAAGGCGTGAGCCACCAACGCCCGGCTATAGTTTGTATTTTTATCTTGACCTCAAGTTGAGGAAAAAAAACCAAGAGGGCAGGTGCAAGGTGAAAATGAGCTATGTTCTAGATGGAAGGGGACGAGCCTGGGGGTAAACATGACGTGGGGATGTAGGGCATAAGAATGTGTTTATGGCCTGAGGGTTTTTATACATTTTCTTTTAATTTCTCTCTTCCCTTCCTTTCTTTCGTTTCCTTTTCCCTTTCCTTTCGTTTCCTTTCCCTTCCTTCCTCTTTTCCGCTTTTCCTTTCCTATTTAGTTCAGAATGGCCTTGAACTCCTGATCCCCCTTGCCTTTATTTCCAGGCTTCTGGGATTACAGGCACGTACCCCTCTTCCTTTCCTAAGTCTCCCCGTTGACTCAGTGTTGGTTTCTGGTACTCTTCCATGCTCACTAGTTATGTAACATGAACATGTTCTAGTCCCTCACTCTTCCATGTGTTTATGGATGCAGCTTTAGAAGGTGTTGTCTGTGACTTGTCCTGTCTAGAGTTTGACCTGTTACAGTAGGCATCTGCTGTGGGAAGTGGGCTGTGCTTTAAGCTTGGAGTTCAGGTTATTAAAGTTAGTGCTCTGAAGCAACTGCTATTACTGTAGTAAAGACGAACAGACTGACTTCGTTTTCCCAGAACTAGAGGCTGAGCCTTAGTCCTTTCTGTATACTAGGTGTGTGTGCTCACTGCTGAAGTCTCTCTCCAGCTCCTTTTGAACTTTTTGAGACAGGGTCTCACTGAGTTGCCCAGTCTGACCTTCACTGTGTTTTATAGAGTCCAGGCAGCCCATGAACCTGTATTCTCTTCAGGTTGCTGGGATTCATGCATGTGCTACTGCCATGTGTGCCAATTTCCATGGTTTGTAGTCAAGTCCAACTTGAATCTTACAGTGAGCTCTTTTTGGCTTACTTATTGATTAACCACCAATTGTTTTTTGTTTGCTTTTGGTTTTTCGAGATAGGGTTTCTCTGTGTAGCTTTGGATCCTGTCCTGGAACTCACTCTGTAGACCAGGCTGGCCTCAAACTCAGAGATCCTCTTGCTTCTGTCTCCAGAGTGCTGGGATCAAAGGTGTTTGCCGCTATGCCTGACTTAACTGATTTTTTTTTTCTTTTTGAACTGTGGGCTCAAAGTTCTCAAATAAATAATATAAAAATAAATGCCATGAGCTGGGGATGTAGCTCGATGGTAGCGTTGCCTCGAATGCATAGGCTGATACTTGATTTCTCTGGTGACACACACACACACACACACACACACACACACACACACACACACACACACACACAGAACATCTCTAGTGGAGAATAAATATATTTCCATTTCTATTATGTATGTTGTAACTATATTTCCCTGGCTTCTCAAAAACTTCAGCTTAACAGATGTTAAGGAATTGTCCAGCACTCAGGGTAACTGCTTCCTCTGCACTTTAGGTGAAAGCAGCCTTCACAAGAGCTTATAATAAGGAGGTCCACCTGACTCCATACTCACTTCAGGCAGTAAAGACACCGAGGCTCAGCACAGGCCCAGCACTGGATTCTGAATACAATGAAGAGTCACAGGAAGATGACAGTCAGCCTGATGAGAAAGAGCAGGATGCAATAGAGACCGACGCCATGATCAAGGTAGTGTGTTCAGCTCTGGGCAGGAGCATCTCAAGGGAGACAACCTTTTCTTCGGTGTAATGTACCTTGGGAATAAGGTCTGTTCTGCAGGTAGTAGGGTAAGCTGAAAATACAATTATGTTTTGCTCTTTGTAATTGAAGGTGATGGGACAGGTTTCATATATATATATATATATATATATGATTATTATTTAAATCTGTCTATCTATTTTCAAGACTGGGTTTCTCTGTGTAGCCCTGGCTATCCTGGTACTCACTCTGTAGAACAGGTTGGCTTCAAACTGCCTGCCTCTGCCTCCCAAGTGCTGTGATTAAAGGCATGTGCCACCATACCTGACGATTCATTTTTATAAAGTGTACTTATAGTAGTGCAAGAGCCAACCAGCAAGGTGTGCATGTGTATGTTTTTCTAAGTGTCTTCTGTTTCAGCCTATCTTAGTTTTTGAGACAGGGTCTCTCACTGAACCTGGAGTTTGCTGCTCTGGCTAGATGGCTAGCTAGCGAGTCCTCAGAATCTATATGCGTGTTCCCCCCTCCCTAGCATTGAACTTAGAGAAAGAAGTGTGCTGCCTGCCATACCTTGCTTTTATGTTTGCTGAGGATTTGAGCTTAGTGTAGGCTTGTGCGGGAAGTATTTTACCCACCGAGTAGTCATCTCACCTGCCCCAGAAGGGCACTGTTTATACTTAATTGGATATTGGCATATGGTTTCATACCACAGGTGCATTTTAATAGGGTAAACAGAAAATCGCTTTAAACAAATCTAGTGATCACTTCTGTTATTTGTGTTTGCTACAGCCGTTGAATTGCTTGTGAAAATTTCTCAGAGAAAAACTTCTTTTACTAGTAAAGATCTGAATGAGGCAGGGGTCAGCCTACTTCACAGCTGCCGAGGCGAAGGGGGGGGGGTGCAGCCTTCTCTCCCTCTCACTGTGCGGGTCTTACTCCTCCTGTGTCGCATGTCTGTGGAAAGGGGCCCTTTGCAGTTGAATTGGTTCCCCCATCTCCTCTCCTTTCCCCTCTTCACAAAATGAGTGTGCTTAGATCCTGTGAGAGTGAAAGGGAAGTTCGACATGTAGACATTGCCATATCTATAAGTCACCTCTTGATTATTCTGGCTTTCCTAAGAATACTGTGTTCTGAATCCAGGAAACTGCCTTACACAGGGCGCACCTTAGTTCTAGATCTGAGTATATTTTCTTTGTGCCGTCACCTCTCAAGGCTGTAAGTAGCTTGGTTGTTGCTTCTCAGGGTCAGCAGTAGATATCTGTGACCTTGCTTTTCTAATTAAATTGTAGGTAAAGATTATGCTTTCATTTACTCATCAACATTTTAACTGTTTTGTGCATCTCTCCTCCAACAGAAAAAGACAAGGTCTTCAAAGCCTTCAAAACCAGAAAAAGATAAGGAGTCCAAAAAAGGAAAACAAAGAAGTTCGAAGAAATGAAACCATTGTTGAGTACCAATAGCTGCTTTTCACTTACCCTCTTGACTAGTCCAGCTGGTCTTCAGAATGAAAGAAAGCCTTACCCTTTGCCAGAGTAACCGTGGGTAGCACCGTGGGGTGGCCTGGCGGTCCCACTATGAAGGACGGTACAACTGGACAGTCGAACTAGCCAGCTCTCATGTACCTCTTATAGAGGTGGGTAGGATTGCTCCAGCCCTGCACTGTCCCAGCCAACTGAATTAGATTCCTGGGATTCAAAGTGACTATGGAACCAAAACTAGGAGTACACAGGCTTTGGAGTCAGATTTTAGTTAACCATACCAAGTCTGGGCGCAGTGGAACTGAGGCGTCTTTTGTAGCTTAACAGTTCGTCCTAATGGCCGTTAGAGGACCAGTGCTGATTTTTTTTTTTAAAACATAGTAGTTCTTATTTTATGGTGAAATTCTGTAAATAAACCTTAACACAAAGCAACTACCACCTGGAGCTGAGTATTCTTGGCCCACTGTCAGGTGTCTTGCAGAGTATGCATCAGGAACCAGATATCCATGTGGTACATGGATCATTCTTAAGATTGTCATCTTGTACAGCAGAATATTATGTTGGTATCTTTCTTTTCTTATTCATTTGATGAGATGAAAGCATTTGGCATTATCCTGTGAATTGCTGTTCTGCGGGTGGAGGGCAGAGCTCACATGCCAGCGTCCCTTTGCACTGATGGCATTGCTGCTGTAGTTAGTCTCAGAGAGGCCTCTTGGCTGGCGGGGTGTGCAGACACTGCCTGCCACACATTCCTGTCCTCCTGCAGTCTCAGCCTGAAGGTTGACACCAGTAGAGGCTAGGATGGGTCAGATTCTCAGACTCATTTTGGCAGGGAGATGCTGTCCTGTGATGGAGTTCATAGCCCTACTGGAATTTCAGATTGTATCTAGAACTGTGCTTGTTGAAGGACCCTGGGCCATGGATGTAACCTGGCCTTTAGGTGGTTAGCTCTTTACAACAGTAAGTGCTCAGAGGTCTATGCTGCCTCTGTGAGGTATATGCCAAAAAAGAATAGGAGGACCATGTTCTGCCTTTGAGGCCTCATAGCCTTGTTGGGAGAGGAGACAAAGTCCTGGAGACAGTGCAAGTTTATTAACCAGTGTGAAAAGTGTGTTTCCTGGAGATCGGTTATTATGGAAATAAACACTGTCCTTAAGCCTGAGCCTGAGTCCTGCCCTGTTCTTTGTTTAATCTTAACTGCTACAGTATCCCAGAGGGGATATTCGTGTGCACACTCTCCCATTCCTGTTCCTTTGGGACATGCAAGTCATGCAAGTTGGATATACATTCCAGGAAAGACCTGGTATTCTGCTTGCTTCCAAAACAAAGAATGATGTTTACTTAGTTAATATAGTTATAATTCACAGTATGAATGCTGTGAGCAAGCTGTAAAACTACATTTTTTTAGAGTTACAAACTGTAAATATGCTGTTTAATGCAGGAGGGTAGCTTTGAATTCCTCTTGGAAGCTCTCCAAAACATGATGTAGTGAATGGTGCAAATTAAAGAAGGTGGCCATGAAGGACTAGCAGTTGGATGAGGACCTAAACGTCTGCGTTGGGATTGAATCTCCTCAAAGGCCCTGAAATGGCTTGTGGTGCCCTTGCTGCCCAGGCCCTTTGAGCTATCTGTGGAGAGCACTGATTCATGGCCATCTGCATGGCTGTGTCTCACAGACAGTTCCCCTTAGTTCCTTCTGAAAGATTTTGGCATTATTTGTTGGCCTCTTGAAGTTAGGAGTGACTTAATATACACTAGGATGAATATCTCCCTGAAGTTGTAGAATGAGTGTGTTCACAAGTGAAAGCTGGGCCTGTAAATTGCAGAATACAGTGTGCTTGGCTTCACAGACACCAGGTGGCTGTGGCATCCTCAGTGGTGTGAGGAGGTAGCAAGAAGCTTGGGACTGATTTCCATTAAGTTGCACTGCTTAGTGAGGCCGAGGCCTCTGGTGAGCCCCAGGAAGACAGCTAAAGCTTGGGGGATGAAGGTGGGGTGCTCAGATGCACTTTGGCCAGTCTCGTTTGCTAATGCTCGGTTGCTGGTTACTGTATATGCATCACCTGATTCGGGTGACTCGTGTCTGTTGGCTGTTCAGACTGGTGACATTGGCCATACATAGGTGATGGTGAGGAAGTGTATACTGCAGGTGTAGGGCCAGTGTGTGTGGCATGTGCAGTGTGAGAAAAATCAACTCTGGGAAGATAATAACAATGTTTCCAGGGGAAATCAAATAATTTTTTTGTGTGCAGCAGAATAGGCAGACAGATAGTACATTTATTCATTTTGTGACGAATTGTCCCTGGTGTTTTGGTTCAAGGGACAGACTCTGTCGTGGCCAGACTTTATCAGGCTCTAAGCCACCTTCCTCATCACTTCCTCTGTATTCAAATCCAGGAAAATGTTACAAATATCTAGTCAACAGTTTTATTTGAAAGGAAATACTTAAATAAAAAATCATTAGAAAACTGGGTATTTACACTGTGTAGGACTTTGAAGAGGAACTATACAGGGTTCAAGAACCAGCAGGTTGTGTCACCGTATGTCACCGCAGAGGCTGAACTTGCTAGGCTGTTTCATTCTTCAAGTCTGCCAGGGGTGGATACAGTCTCCTGAGGGAGAGGCGCCATCTACTCAGGAGCACTGTCTGAGAAAGGACACACAGATGTCTTTAGAAGGCCTCACGTAATGGCACGCCTATAAGAACGCTGGATTTCCTGCTCCTACGGATGGACAGTCCTACAAACATACAGCATTGAGCTTCCTGACCACAGATGCATGGCACGCTGCTATCAGCAGTGGGGGTGGTAGAAACGCCACCTTACTTACTGCGAGGGATGTGGACATGCCAAGGATGCTAGGCAGGCTGTAGAGAGCACGCTTCTCGAAAATTAAGCAGCTTCCTTCTTTGAAGGAAGCCGGGGAGCAATAACTTCAGCAGTACTCACTGTATAAGGAGACAGCACCACAGCAGTGCGTAACCACTCACTAAAGACACGGCTTCAAGGAGCTCTGACATGCCACAGTTTCGGTTTCTATAATATTTCACAAGGAGAGGGCCTGGGAGCTTTCTCAACAAGGCTCCACTTTTAGAAGTGGTAGGGACCTACAGATAAAGGTGTAAATTTGAGACAAAATGTAATAAGCAACTAACTGCTCAAAGGTATTGGAAAGCAACCAGAAGCAGGCAACTGTTGGAGGATGTCATCATTTGAAAGAATCTGCTGGGTTAGATCCAGGGCCCTGTGTCTACACCTGAAGGTAAGTCCCTGAGGCAGGCGATGACTAGAAGCCATGTCATGATGAGGTGAGTTTATCCCCTGAATAAAAGTTGATTGTATTTTATCTATATAACCTACTAACTGGAATAAGGGGAGAAACCTTTTTCATCACACAATTCATTGGCAAAATTCAACATTCAGAAAAACTATGGAAAAAAGTTATTGGAGGTCTTCTTTCTTAAAAAAAAAATCCGAATTAAAAAATCAGAACTGAGGGATGGTGTCACAAGCCTTTAATCCCAGGATTTGGGAGTAGAGGCAGGAGGATCACTGCAAGTTCAAGGCCAGCTTGATTTATACTGAAACCCTGTTTCAAAACCAAGGGCTTGTGATGGATCTTTGGATAAAGGGGTTCTGATTCGTAGAGTTTGGAAAGATAGCAAGAAAGTGAAAAAGCCCACAGAAAAAGTATTTGCAAATAATACACCATAAAACTGGCATGTAGATGTGTATTATAGAAGCATCTCTTAGAGGTCAGAAAAGGCAGTCCCTCTGAAACTGGGCTAAGAACAGAGGGATGCACAAACGGCCAACAAACACACAGAAAGATGGTCTACATAGCACTAGATATCCATGCAACGGGGTCTTGTTTGCACCAGCAACAAGATCAGAGGATGGAGCTTGCCACTAGCTAACCATAGAGGTTTGGAGGTCTGTACAGACAGGCAGGAAGTGAGATGGCTGGGCAGAGAGGATATGAGTAGGAAGAAACGAGCTCACTCTCTTGTCTGCCAAGATGCTAGGAAGTAAAAATAGCTTTGGCTTGCTCCTTCTCTCTGATCTCTCAGCATTTTCCTTTCTATCTGACTCTGGTTTTTATGATTTAGACTATTTAAGACTCAATTTACAATAGGGCCCAGGTGGCATACTGCATCACACTCACTGGCCCGAAAGGCCAGAATCCTAGGTTTTAGTGAGGCCATGGGGAAACTAGAAACTATGCCTCTGGTTGTAAAATGCTGCAGCCCTCTGAAAACAATTGCATGGTTCAAGAAGGGCAGAAAGGCCAATGAGGCTAAGCACGGCAGACAGGAGACAGAAGCTGGTGGGGCCAGCTTCAAGCCTGTGTGTGTGACTGAGACTTAGAATTCCATTTTTACCAAATGAGGTTCCAGATGTTCTATTAGGGATTGTGGTGGTTTGAAAAATGACCCCCATGGGAGGTGTGATATTGTTGGGGAAATGTGGAGGTGGGCTTTGATGTCTCCTTTGCTCAAGCTACACTCAGTGTGACACAGTTGCTTCTGCTGCCTGCGGATCATAGAATTTTCAACTCCTTCTACAGCCTGCATGCCATCATGTCCACCATGATGGTAACAGACTAAACCTCTGAAACTGTAAGCCACCCAGTTAAATGTTTGCCTTTATAAAGGTTGTCCTGGCTGGGCGGTGGTGGTGCACACCTTTGATCCCAGCACTTGACAGAGGCACTTGACACGTCTCTTCATAGCAATAGAAACCCTAATTAAACCCTGTAGTAAAAGCTCTTGACCTTTAGCAGGGTTTTGGCTTCCCTCTGGAGTATGTGTGGCCATGTGAGCAAAAATCCTTGTGACTGGAATAAGGAAGAAGGAATATGTGTGTACTTTGTACAGTACATAGTCAACTAAAAAGCTCCCATTTAAAGAAAGCTGGCTCTAGCTTTAAGGACTCAATTAAGAAAATATAGTTTGATAAAATATAATCTAGTTAGAATTCATGATGCTCGGCTAACTGACCATAACCACTTGGGAAACCGTATTACTTGCACTTTAACACTTAAGTAAGTTTGTTGAAATCATTGAACTCTGACAGTATGTTACACAAAAGGAGTTGCCAACACAGAGTTAAGCTGTGAGGATCCTGGGCTCCGGTGTGTGGAACGAGCGAGCATGGTGGCACCTTACCTGGACCTGCTGCTCACTGTTCCGTCTCTGTCCGTAGGTACTGGGTGCAGTCTGAAATTTTTTTCAGTTGACTAGAGTTTAACCTTTCTGAACACATGGGACACGTGCTTTCACTGTTCAGTAAGCTGTGTGGGGAGAGAAATACAGAGTAAATTAAATGTGTAATTAACAGGTCTTTACCTTCTGGTTAAGCTAATGGGAAAATCAGCCACCTGCCTACAACTCTTAATGTGTCCATCCACTGAGGAGGGATAGGGGCTCAGGGTCATGCAAGATTTGGGGAGAATGGAGGTCACAAAGGTTCTTCCAAAGAAGACAGTTTGGGTCTTGAGGAATACAGTGACAGGGAAAGACACACTTACATCCTGAACTCTGAGTGCAGCGCAGGGAAGCCACAGTGCGGGCACATTGTCCAGTCGTCCTTCAACATGTGTCGGCCCTGGAGACATTCAACAGGGAAGCTCGTCATCTCTGAAGCCCTGAGCAGACCTCAGCCAAAGACGGCCCTGCCCTGGACACCACTGGCACTTCATGTAGGTGGCAGCTGTCTAGAAAGATGCAGCCAGAGGGCTCCGACAGCTGGGTGTGACTCAGCAGAGTCATGTTTAAAGATGGCCTAGACTTGGGCTTTTATTTCACTATGTGAATTTATCGTCCTTCAAATATAACTTATGGTAGCCAACACATTTGACATTGTAATTTTCTGATAGGTCTTTTTGAGGGGTGGGATTTTGAGTTCCTCTGTGTAGCCCTGGCTATCCTTGAACTCAGATCTACCTGCCTCTGTCTCCTGAGTGCTGGGAAAAAAGGTGTGCACCACCACTGCCTGACCTGATAGATCTTAGTGGAAGAAGAAACTGCCAGTTATGAATGCCACAGTAAGCCAGGTGTGGTATCTCACCAAAGCAGACACCTCAGGACACAGCACAGGCAAGCCTACAAGAAGCAGAGTGCACTGCGTTATGAAGCCAGTAGGTGGCAGAAAAGGCACGTGAGAGCATGGCCCTCAGACTGCTGAGTGCTGAGCTGCCTGACTCCCTGGGTTCCTGTGTGCTCTGAACCTCACCTCTGCTGACTGGAGTTTCATGCTAAATGTTCTGGAAAATGAGTCAGAAGATAGTGTCAAAGGTAAGAAAACATTTGGCATATCAAGATATTCAAGTGGAAAGGGACATTATTACAAAGACACTTACTGTTGCAATGCAATAGGGAATGTTGTTTTTACAGCCGGGACAAAGGAGCTCACATTCTGGAAGAAGAAACTGGCAGAATGGACAAGGGGTGGTGACCTCTTCTGTCTCGGATGTGTCCGGTCTCCTGGAAAAGGCATTGTATATCATTTACAAACGCCACTTGAGTCCCTAGAATGCCGTGAGCAGAGAAAAGGTATTATCTGGAAAGAGCAAATCCTTCACGGGCTCAGATATGTTCCTGCTCGCTGGCATTCACAAGCACTGCACTGGTAGCACTGTCTGTCTCCTCATTGTGCGACGGGAGTGGTGAGTGCGATTTTCCCCCTGCATCTCCCTTCTGTGTAACTAAAGCGAAGGCCACTCAGTGCCATTTTAACAGATATTTCTAGGTCAGTGGGCATGTACTAATAGTGTGGCATCCAGTACGGTGACTGTGAGCCACATGGAGCTTTGTAGTTGAAAGGACAAAGTCTTAAAGCTTACTCTTTTAAAATTTAAGCCACTGATGACTAGCAGGTGCCATATTGGAGCACGTAGCTACAGGCCACTCCTGTTGTGTGGGAACCAGGCTCAGCACCGCTCAGCGTGGCATTAAACCGTCTTGCTCATCTTGCAGCCATTTTCTCCATGCAGCCAGTCTGTCTATACTGGAAGAGTCCCTGGGCCAGACGGACTTGGTTTGAAGCCCAGCCTTTAGAAAGGTGTTCATGCAGCCTTATCCAGCCTCAAAGCTCTGCCATGGGGTGGCTCCCGTCATGATTAGCATTTGTGTTGGCAAGTTTTATGTCAAACTGACACTACCTAGAGTCCTTAGAGAGGAGGGAGCCCCCACCGAGAAAATGCCTCCATAAGACTGGGCTGTGGGCAAACATGTAGGGCATTTTCTTAATTAGTGATTGGTGGGGAGGGCCTGGCCCATTGTGGGTGGGGCCGCTCCTGGGCTGGCCGTCCTGGGTTCTGTAAGAAAGCCGCTGAGCAAGCCATGGATGGAGCACATCAACAAGCAGCAGCCCTCCATGGCCTCTGGATCCTGCTCCAAGTTCCTGCCCTGTTTGAGTTCCTGGCTCCCTTCATCGATCATTTACACAAGCGGAAACGTGAGCCAGATACATCCCTTTCCCCTCGCTTTTGACCATGGTGGTTCATCATACCAACAGTAGCCCTAACTAGGACAGCATTAAAGCCCTGCTTGCTTCTGCTTGCCATTACCAGTGAGTCATTTTGCCTGGTTGGGCCAAGGGTCTCTTAGTTACAATGTTACTACTATGATAGTGCATAGTTGGAACTGGTTTTTCCTTTTACAGATTCTAAGTGATGTTTTCTACTTATGTCTAGGATATAGTGTCCCCACTAAGGGCCTATGTATTGAAGGTGTGCTCCCTAGTGCTAGCAGTGTTCAGAAAGGGCCTTTGGGAAGTGTTGATCATGTAGGCTCTGTCTATTGATGAACTGAGCACTGGCAGACTCAAAATCTGAATGACTGGGGATTTAGAACTGTGGCGAGGGTAGAGAGCATATCTTTAAAGAATTTTGCTCTGGCCTCTCGTCTGTTCCTCTCTGCTTACTGACTGCCATGAGGAGAGACACTGTGCCGTGTGGTCCCCACCTATCCACAGCCGTGAGGGTCTGTGGGACAGGCACAGCAGTCTTTCTTCTAGCAAAGCAGGCCTTCCTGCTGCTCTCGGAAGCCAGGGCCTTCTCCGTCCACAGCGCTCCGATCTGGAGGCTCTCTGCAGAGTGGTCTGTGTTAACACGGAGTTTCACTGCTGAGAACATCCGTGGCTTTGTTTATCTCTCTGTGGCAGACAGTGTTGTCTACCTAAGAGCTTTTCTCCTTGCCAAGCCAGCATTGCTCAAACTTGACAGTATGCTTCACAGGGAGGCTCTATGTGACTATCTCAGGAAAAAAGGTGACGTCCTGGGGATGATACACATTTACTCTTCCTCTCACTTCTTCAGCCTTGAATGGAGATGCATGTCTAGATGTGACAGCTATCTTGCAACCTCAAGGGAAGAGGAGTTCTGTATACTGTGGGTGGCCCACTGGGAACACAGAAAGATTTGTTTTGGTGGCATCAGGATAATGTGGCACCAGCCCTGGTCTATGATGCCTTATGTATGGGTCACATAAATTCTGACTTAAGACATTAGTGGTGTTTCTGTTGCTTTTATTCCCTATTATTGATTATCTTTTTTTGTGATAAAATACCTACCAGGAATCAGCTGAAGGGAGGAAGCAGTTATTTTGGCTCATAGTTCAAAGGATCTACCACAGTAGGAGTGTGGGTGGCGGCTAGGGAGCAGAGAGAGAGATGGGTGCTTAGCTTGCTCTGTTACTCGTTATTCAACTTGGGGCTCCAGCCTGCATTCAGGGCAGAGCTTCACTCAGGTGAAAGTCTCTGAACATCCTCATACACATACCCAAAGTCGTGTCTCCTAGGTGACTCTAAAGTCAGTCAAGTTGGCAGTAAACATTAGCCATTACCCCCTGCCCCTGCCTCTACCCACTTTTATTAATAAGTTCGGGCAAATTAGAAGCCCCATCTGAAAATACCCCGAAGATGTGATTGGACAGTAGAAATGGCTGTGTCTGCCTACCTGACCATTGCCTCGATTTTCTTTTTGTACTTGGCATCAATTTTGTTGCGATATTCGGGCCTCATCAGCATAGCTGCAAAGCTGAAAGCAGAGTTCTTCAGGCCTGCCCTGTGACACTCGATGACAGTAGATGTCAGGATGGGCACGATGTCTGCAGGACACACCGGGACAGAAGAGACAGCTGAGGGCACGGTAGTCAGGGCTACACGAGCCATATCTCAAAGAGAAGCCAGAAGTCAACAAGGTGCTGAATACATGGGCCAAGTCTGGCCCTCTGACTGCTGGGTGGCCCCTGAACTAAGAATGGTTTTTACATTCTTAACTGAAGGAAATAACAAAATAATATTCTGTGACATGTTAAATCTGCGAGGTTTAGATTTTGTGTCCAGTAATTTAACATCTATTAGAACCCAGGCCTACTCATTCACTTACATATTCATACCAAATGGTGGGTGAATAGTTGTGTCAGACCGAATGGTTTAAGATGTTTGCTTAATATCTGCCTATTTACAGCAAGTTTGTTGACACCTGTCACACTGTGTGATGAAGTCTGTTCATTTAAAAATGTTACAATGACAGATCTTCCGGAAGAAAGGGACCTTTCTTAGAAGCCAGTTTTGAATGTAGTAGATGACAATGTGATTTTGGGCACATGTTACTCCCCTTTGCCCTGTTAGGCAGGAGGTTCCTGTGTGACCAAATGGCAGGGAAAACCCTGGGACACACACTTCAGACTTGGGAATGGTGTGACTCGGGTTCTGTGTGATTACACAGAGGGGACTCTCAAAAGCTTCTGTCTGCACTTGGTTTCCATTAGGCTTTGCCCTGGGCACCTTGCTCTCCTGCCAACCTTTCCCTTTGGTGTGATAGGCCTTAGTACTGCACTACTATGTGTGAGCCTTGTAGAGTTTCTGGGAGAAGTTTCAAACTCTGGGGTGGTCTTGGGGACCCCAGCCTACCACTTTCTGGAACTGTTGTGGAATAAATGATCTGACAACACGGAGCTGTGAACATGCCTGGCTGGGGAAATGCATGCCTCACACTGAGGTCCAATGTGCACAGAGATCTGCTGAGACAGGACTTACGGGACGGGAACTTGCTGATGTTGTTGGCCACCCGAATGAGCATGCGTGCTCCCTTCATATGGTCTCCACTCTTAACATGAATCTGAAATAAATGATGTCTTTCATTCTTGCAGCCTTATATTCGGTCCAGTCCACGCTTTCTTTTCCCAAACAGCTCCCTGTTTGTGGCCCAGACATGACTGAACTGAGATTCCCAAGCCCTGCCTCGCTCCTGCCACTGGGGCTTTGTTTCCTGTTTTCCCTTCAACAGCTGGCACCTGGCATTTTGTCCTATGTTCCCCTTCAATGGCTGGTCCTGCACCATGGCTGTGTCCTATGTCCTTCAACAGCTGGCACCTGGCATTTTGTCCTATGTTCCCCTTCAATGGCTGGTCCTGCACCATGGCTGTGTCCTATGTCCTTCAACAGCTGGCACCTGGCACCAAAGCTATTCTCAGTATTGTATTCTGCCTTGAGACACCCAAGATAATTCCCTGGTCCATCTTTTACCAGCCTCTATGAGTTAACACATTGTTGTAGTGAGACCTGAGCACTGAGTGAGTCAAGGTCTAGGAGGAAGAGAAGAGGACTTGTGAAAGAAGTGAGTTCAGCCTGTAGTGGGAGGGGCCCAGAGTGAGGCAAATACGAGGTTTGGGAAGCAAGAAGGGCTGAAGGCAGGATGGGATGAAGCCGCAGTAGGCAGGTGCCCAGCAACAATGCCGTAAGGATACGGTGACAATTTTGCATCAACTTTTTCAGACTTGACAGGATTAAACAGTTTTTGTTTCTTTTTTTGGTTTTTCAACATAGGGTTTCTCTGTGTAGTCTGGGCTGTCCTGAAACTAACTCTGTATACCAGGCTGGCCTCAAACTCTGCCTGCCTCTGCCTCCCAAGTGCTAGGACTAATGGTGTATACCACCACTGCCTGCCTTATTTTGTTTTTTTGAGACAGGGTTTCTCTATGTAACCTTGGCTGTCCGGGAACTCAGTATGTAGACCAGGTTGGCCTGGTATTCAAAGAGTTCCACCTGCCTCCACCTCCCTGGTGCTAGGATTCAAAGTATGAGTCACCATGGCCAGCCCAAGGGTTAAGCAGTTTTGATACACAGTCACAAATTATAGGAGGTCCTGGCTCCTTGCTGCTACCTGAGACTGCTCAAAGGGTGAGTCACATGGGTGCTCTGCCTTGGAGGGAGCGAAAGGCCGGCTCAGCATGGAAGAGACAGGGCTGAGGCCAGCTCTGCTTGGGCAGCTTCTTCCAGAACCTGCTCTTGCTTCTGGTCCATCTCTCACCCCCTCGTTGTGAACCTTTCTCACTTCCTGTGCCTCCATTTGGCTGGGTATGCACTCCTGAGCCACAGAACTCATCTCTCATGTCTGAAGCTGGGAATGATCCCTCTGCCTTCCCAGCCTTTGGTCCTCTGGATGCCCTGAAGGGAACTGCATTCCCAGGGCTGAATGTTGGGGTCTAAATGCCTACTCTTTATAATCACGTTCCTGCCTGTGTGGTCCACCATGGCTATGAAAGTCTAAAACACAAAGTTAAAAAACACCCACAGTTAAATATTGAACAGAACCCAAGGAACCCAGCGACAGAGAGAGAGGAGCAAAGAGCAAATTGGCAAAGAATGGGCTGGCAAAACCAGAAGAGACAGCTGATCCGAACAGGGGAGAGCTCTTGGACCCCAGGCCAACAGCTGGGAGGCTAGCATGGGACTGATCCGGACCCCCTGAATGTGGGAGTCAATGAGGAAGCCTGGGCTACCTATGGGGTCCTGAGCAGTGGATCAGTGTTTATCCCTCGAATACTAACAGACATCGTGTGTCCATAACACAAAGTGGGTTGCTCTCTCTGCCTGGACTCTTAGGGAAGTGCCTGGACCCTACCCTGAGTGAAATGACAGACTCTAGATATCCCCTATGCGGAAGGAATTGGCAATAGGGTGGGAGGATGGGGGGATGGTGGAGGGGTGCGGGAGGAGGGGAGGGAGATTGACATGTAAAACAAGCTATTTAAAATTTAAAAAAAAGAAAAAAAAAGAAAAAAAAGTTCACTCTGTCTGCTGTACCAGCTCCATGCCAAGTGCTCCATAGCCAGACACAAACACTAAGTCTTGCTACTAGAATGTTCTGCTGAACTGTGTTTAACTAGCTGATAATTAGGATTTAGATCCTTTGTAACTTGACTGTGGAAGGGGCTATCAAGGTTGAATGAGGTCGCTATACTGGACAGACAATTGACTTAGAACAGACACAGAAAGAGGAACGTTGATATCACCGACATTTTGTGAAAATATGTAAATTGATGTCTGTCTACATCTTTACAAAGATCTAAGGGTATAATATACATATGGAGTGCCTAGAGAGAGTTCAGTTCCCAGTACCAGTGGTGGGTGAATCATTAACTAACTTCAGCTCCAGAGGGACCCTATGCCTGTGGTTTTCATGGGCACTATACTAATGTGCACACACTCATATACACATGATTTAAGATAGTAAAAATAAATCTTAAAGCAGAAGCCAGACCTGGTGCATGCTGTAATCCTAGCACTGGTGACAGGAGGCAGAGGCAGGAGGATCACTACAATTCAACATCAGCCTGTTTCACATGGTAAGTTTCAGTCCAGCCAGGAGTAAACAGTACGGCAGTCTTAAAACAGTAACAAAACAATCAAACAAACAAAACCCAATATACAGGGATGGGATGCAGCTCAGAGGCACAGTGCTTGTCTATTATGTGTGAGGCTCTGGGCTCAATCCCCGTCTCCACATATACAAAAATATATAAAAACGAAAGCAACCAAACAAAAAGGCTCCTAATATACAACTAGAAACAAATAGGCCAGCCTACACAGGGAGATCCTGTGTCAAAACAAAAAACAATTACAAAAACCAACACATGGGAAAATACACATGGCGAAGTCTGCACCCACCTAATTCCCTCCCACCTGAATGGGCTTTGCGCTCTGACCCCGCCTCTTGTTCCCTCCCCAGGGAAACTGTCTCTTCAGGCTTCTCCTTTTATGAGCCACTATTGTAACGGCTTACTTCTTGCCCTTTGTATACAAATGGCACGCAATGGAACTGACCTATGATGCTTTTGCTACTTGAGAATATAGAGAAGTGGGAAATGGTTCTTAATGCTTGGAGAAACACGGGAAAGAAGCCCCATCGGTGAGCAGACCTCCGGGCAGGTAGATCCCACACCATTCCCTCCAGGCCTCACCTTCACGAGTATGTAACTGTGCAAGATCATGAGGTTGGTAGCCATCTCAGAGGGGATTTTGATCTTCTGTGATTTAAGTTCTGCATACATACTGAAGAGAACGTCATGTGCATTCCGATAGTTGCCTTAGAAAAAGAGCCAAAGGCTATTACTGCAGAAGTCTCAGACCCTCACCTCACAAGTAACTTTGGTAATCAATGTTACTAACAGCATTTCAACTATATGGCAGTGTAACAGCTTTTTCGATTTTTGCTGATGATAAAAACATTGAGTCACTCTGGGGAAAGAATGGTGGTGCCTTAGTGGTCACACCCAAAGTGTACTGAGTCCTGAGTCCTCCAAGTTTAGCCTCCTCCTCAGCACCATGGTTAGAGCTCCCACACTCTTCCACGGCCCGAGCCTATCAGCCTTCCTTTGGAGCTTCGAGAGGATGTCAGGGTTTCTTAAACCTCAAGCCTCACCCCAAGCCCAGCATCCCCTGGTCACACCCCAGGCCACCAAAGCAGATAGGGTCACAGCTCAGTGACATATCTAGTATGTATGAAGTGCCATCCCCAGCACCACAAAACCAGACCCTGCCCCCAAAGGTAGTGAGATCAAATGGAAATTCCCAAGCAGAGGCTCAAAGCCACCTGCCCAGCCCTGTGGGGCTAGCCTGCCACCTTCCCAGCCCTGTGGAGCTAGCCTGCCACCTTCCCAGCCCTGTGGAGCTAGCCTGCCACCTTCCCAGCCCTGTGGAGCTAGCCTGCCACCTTCCCAGCCCTGTGGGGCTAGCCTGCCACCTGCCCAGCCCTGTGGGGCTAGCCTGCCACCTGCCCAGCCCTGTGGGGCTAGCCTGCCACCTGCCCAGCCCTGTGGGGCTAGCCTGCCACCTTCCCAGCCCTGTGGAGCTAGCCTGCCACCTGCCCAGCCCTGTGGGGCTAGCCTGCCACCTTCCCAGCCCTGTGGGGCTAGCCTGCCACCTTCCCAGCCCTGTGGAGCTAGCCTGCCACCTGCCCAGCCCTGTGGAGCTAGCCTGCCACCTTCCCAGCCCTGTGGAGCTAGCCTGCCACCTGCCCAGCCCTGTGGAGCTAGCCTACCCAGGCCATCTGGCCTTGCCCAGAGCACCTGTCTCCTCCATGTCTTGCTCTCTGGTCCACCCGAGTCTTGTCACCATCCTCCATTCTTCCCACACCTTGCCATTCTTTAGGAGGCCCTTTCTGATCACATTTCTCTCTAGTCTAGCACTTGTCCTGAACTTACTCTGAACTCATTTCTTTCTCTTCTACGCATGATCCTCAAGGCAGAACTGTGGCCCAGTTCTTTCTGGGGCCTGAGCTCCCAGAATGTGGTCACAAAGAAACTGTCCAGCAAGAGAAGGCCTCAGCACAGTTACCCACATCCCCTGAATCCTACAAAAGGGGATCTGCTTGGTCCTTGGGGTCAGAGCAAGCCTAGGCTAGAGGCTAGCTACTCTTTCCTGGGCTTTTATTCCATTACCTGTTTGGGTAGAAAAAATGATCAGGGACCTGGTGCTGGAGAAGTAGCTTGGTGGGAAAGCACTGTCCCTGCATTGGCAGGGTCCTGGCTTGATCCTCAGGACCATAGAAGCCAGTCAGTGTTAGGGACGCACCTGCAGACTGTTCTTCTCGAGCAATGATGATGGCGGTCCGGGCGGCCTCACGGTACTGTTTCAGCGCCATGTACAAGCGGAACAGGTACTTGGCATCCTGGTGACAAACCATTAGTGAACATCACTTTCTTCATTAGCCAAGGGGGAGAAACACAACTGTGCCTTTCAGTCACGACCACACCTGGCTCCCAGTAATGGAAGTGATGTTTTAAAAGCCAGTTTACTCAGCTTAGTATGCACAGGAACTTATTCTAGGTGGTTAGGGAACTGAACTAGCCTTCAGACCTCCCCTATCCTCATTTGGTGGCTGGTAAAGTGAACACAAAGGGAGAGGGAGAGAGTGAGGCTCTGGACCCGGATGCAGTCTGTGCCTGACCCTGCTCCACACAGCCTCTCCTGGGCTTAACACTGATGGGAGGCTTCATTTTTACAGTTCCCTTAACCACTTCCTCCTGATTCCAAATGGAGGCCCATTTCCCGTTTACTAAAATAGTGGACAGAATGGGAGGGCTGTGAGACAGCAAATGGGGGAGGGGGGCTGTGTCTTTTGGCAAGTCACATGAGCCCCTCTGGGTCTCAGTGACTTTATCTGTATGATAAGGGCAATGGGTGCAGAGATCTGGTCTCTCCACACCAGTGGCTAGGGTCTGTCACAGCAGATGCCTTTGAACATGGAGGCAAAGGGGAACAAGGAGCTCTAGGAACTTCCTAAGGCGCCACGTCTATCCTCACCCGGACGGAGAAGATAGATTTCTGTAGTAACCTGCAGGGGCATGGATTCTGATATATGTTCTTAGCCCTGATCTAATAGTGATTCACACCTACATTTAATATGATTTTACAATTTAAAAATATGGATAAAACACTCATTTTTAGGGCTCATTGCTAAGTCAACAGTTTCTTTTTTTTGTTTGTTTGTTTTTTGTTTTTTACGAGACAGGGTTTCTCTGTATTGTTTCGGAGGCTATCGGTCCAGCCCGGCCTCGAACTCACAGAGATCCGCCTGCCTCCGCCTCCCGAGTGCTGGGATTAAAGGCGTGCGCCACCACCGCCCGGCTAAGTCAACAGTTTCAATGATTGCTTTACACAGTGTTTAGAACAGTGTTTACACAGTTTAGAACTGTGACAGTTTAGAAACACCGTAGGTGGGGAGGTCGGTTATATCAAAGGGTAAGGCTATTGCACAGGTCAGTTCTAAAGAGTGGCATTCATGGCATCCTCTAACGTGGGGATGGTTACTCTCAGGGTGACACTTCTACAGGTCTGCAAAGCGGTGACAGTAAAAGAGGAGCAGACAAGGCAAGGCTGGGAACGGACACCAGCAATGCAAAGCCACCTGTACCTTTGGCATGCCGTCGCTCTCCCCCATCAGATGGTCGATCAGCTGATTGGTCAGCAGCTCATCCTTAGCCTGGCCCACCTGTTTCACAAGAGAGAGACCTCATTAAAACCTGCATCTTAAACTCAGCAGGGATGGGGGTGAGGAAACACCCTCCTGCTAAGGAGATAGAATAAAAAACATCCAGGAAGATCCATGTAAACTACCTGAAATACAATTTAGCCCGGAATCCTTTTTCATTGTAGTCTTTCTCAATAAAACTCCACCCTTAGAAGCTGTACTCTTTCTTAGATGCTCGTACCAAAGTATCATCTTTTCCTTTCTATATGCAAAGAATATACTTGGATGTTTCAATAAAAACATTCAGGGGCTGGAGAGATGGCTCAGCAGTTAAGAGCACTTGCTGTTCTAGAAGACCACAGCATCCACATCAGGGAGCTCATAACTCTCTTATAATTCTAGCTTCAGGGGATCCAACACCTTCTTGGGGTTCTTCTCCCATGTATACATAAATAAATCTTATACACATGCACACCCTGCCCCCCAGGGGATGGAGAGGTGGCTCAGGGGTTAAGAATACTGGCTGCCAGGTTCAATTCCCAGCACCTGCATGACAGCTCACAACCACCTGGAACTCCAGTCCCAGGAGATCAAATGATCCCTTCTGGCCTCCACAGCCATCGTACAAATGTACTGCAGTCATACGTGCAGGAAAAACACCCATACACATAAAATAAAAATGATAAATCTTTAAAAAAAACACTATCACTAATACCACCACCAAAACCTCTCTCAAGATTAGTGACGAACACACTTTTCGAACAGATCCATATCTTGAGTATACACAATGGGTCTTATGCAGGCTGAGCATCCTAATCTGAGAATATGAACTCAAACTTTTGTGTGTGTGCATGCGTGCGTGCATGTGTACTGTATACGCATGCTTGTGGGTAGATGCCAATGGGTTTCTTCTTCTTTTGCTCACCTTATGTTTTCGAGACGGCCTCTCACTGTGCCCAAAGCTGCCATTTCAGCCAGGCTGACTGTCCAGCAAGCTCCTGGGATTCACCTGTCTTACCCTCACCTCATCCAGTGCTGGTGTTATAGGCAGATGTGACCATGCTTGGCTTTTATGTGGGTGCTGGGGATTTAAACTCAGTGCTCGTACCTGCTGAGCCACCTCCCTGGACCCTGGAAATGCAAACTTTTAAAGTGCCAACAGGATGCTCAAAGGGTTTCCATTTTGGGAGCATTTCAACTTCAGAATGAGGGAACTTTCTGGCAAGCCCTAATATTTAGTGTGAGAGCTACATAGGTGTAGGGTTATGGGAAATGGAGCAGCATTTACTACAAGCAAGTTTTACTCAAAGGGGGTCCACAAGGTCTTTTCTTTATAACTCAGTCTATCCTGATATGAAAGGACAGATCTTGTTTGCTTGAAAATAATTCAGGGAAGGGGGATGAGAATAAAGATTGTGTGTTGACAGCTGTCAAAGTTAGATGATGGCTACAGGGAGTTTGTTGGATAGTTTGGTGAAGTTTTGCATATATTTGGAAGTTTCTGCTTGAGACCAGGTTTCTCTGTGTAGCCCTGGCTGGCCTGGAACTCACTTTGTAGACCAGGCTAACCTGGAGATGAGATCTACTTGCCCCTCCTCCCAAAGTGCTGGAATTAAAGGCACATACCACCACCCGGCTCTATTTGGTTTTAAGACTGGGGTCTCATGTAGCCCAGGCTGGCCTCTAACTCACTATGTAGCACAGGATAATCCTGAATCTTCCTATCTCCACCTCCTGGGATTACAGGCATGTACCACCAAGCAGTGATGGGGATTGAACCCAGGGCTTCCTGAATACACTCTACCAAATGAGCTACATTCCTGGCTCCTGGAAACATCTTCAAAAATTAAACAAACACCAAATAAGTTACTAGAATTCTTCAAAGTCTCAGTTCAGAATTTACTTACAGTTTCAATCGCCATTTCTATTGCCATATTGTCTTCTGAGCTTGGGCACTTCAGGAAGTGCTTTAGTGCCTAAAACGAGAGATGGACAGCAGCAAAAATTGTCAGGCTGTGTGTGCTGGGCAAATCAGCTTTAATACAGAGACTAAATGTGGTGTGTCTTGATCTCAGCCAGGGGTCTCACAATGCAGCCCTGGCTGGCCTGGAACTCATCAGAGACGCACCTGCCTCTGCTGCCTGAGCTCTGGGACTAGAGGTGTATGCCACCACCCTGTCAGACCCATGCCTTCTAAAGAACCAGCTCTGATTTATGATAAAGTAAAAATGTAAAATGTGTTCTTTTCCCTAGGACGATTTAATGATTTTAATTCATTGTTTTTATTGTGTGTGCGCATGCATGTGCATTTCTCAGGATTGAACCCAGGGCCTCATGCATGTTAGGCAGATGCTATGGCTGCATGATAACCCTAGTCCTCTCATTTAACATTTGACACCCTGCTCATGGGTGTGTGTGTGCTGGAGTCTGAAGAACAGCAGGAGGAACCTGGCGTGGCCTCACTGTTTGTATTAAATGTGCTCTGACGGGGGAGACTCGTGTGTAAATATGCTCTGACGGGGGAGACTGGTGTGTAAATATGCTCTGACGGGGGAGACGGGTATGTAAATATGCTCTGACGGGGGAGACTCGTGTGTAAATGTGCTCTGACGGGGGAGACTCGTGTGTAAATGTGCTCTGACGGGGAGATGGGTGTGTAAATATGCTCTGACGGGGGAGACTCGTGTGTAAATATGCTCTGACGGGGAGATGGGTATGTAAATATGCTCTGACGGGGGAGACTGGTGTGTAAATATGCTCTGACGGGGGAGACTGGTGTGTAAATGTGCTCTGACGGGGGAGACGGGTGTGTAAATATGCTCTGACGGGGGAGACTCGTGTGTAAATATGCTCTGACGGGGGAGACTGGTGTGTAAATATGCTCTGATGGGGAGATGGGTATGTAAATATGCTCTGACGGGGGAGACTGGTGTGTAAATATGCTCTGACGGGGGAGACTGGTGTGTAAATATGCTCTGATGGGGAGATGGGTGTGTAAATATGCTCTGACGGGGAGACGGGTGTGTAAATATGCTCTGACGGGGGAGACTGGTGTGTAAATATGCTCTGACGGGGGAGACGGGTATGTAAATATGCTCTGACGGGGAGACGGGTGTGTAAATATGCTCTGACGGGGGAGACGGGTGTGTAAATGTGCTCTGACAGGGGAGACTGGTGTGTAAATATGCTCTGACGGGGGAGACGGGTGTGTAAATATGCTCTGACGGGGGAGACTGGTGTGTAAATGTGCTCTGACGGGGGAGACTCGTGTGTAAATGTGCTCTGACGGGGAGACTGGTGTGTAAATGTGCTCTGACGGGGGAGACGGGTGTGTAAATATGCTCTGACGGGGGAGACGGGTGTGTAAATATGCTCTGACGGGGGAGACTGGTGTGTAAATATGCTCTGACGGGGGAGACGGGTGTGTAAATATGCTCTGACGGGGGAGACTGGTGTGTAAATGTGCTCTGATGGGGGAGACTGGTGTGTAAATATGCTCTGATGGGGGAGACGGGTGTGTAAATGTGCTCTGACGGGGGAGACTGGTGTGTAAATATGCTCTGACGGGGGAGACTGGTGTGTAAATATGCTCTGACGGGGAGATGGGTGTGTAAATATGCTCTGACGGGGAGATGGGTGTGTAAATATGCTCTGACGGGGGAGACTGGTGTGTAAATATGCTCTGACGGGGGAGACTGGTGTGTAAATGTGCTCTGATGGGGGAGACTGGTGTGTAAATATGCTCTGATGGGGGAGACGGGTGTGTAAATGTGCTCTGACGGGGGAGACTGGTGTGTAAATATGCTCTGACGGGGGAGACTGGTGTGTAAATATGCTCTGATGGGGAGATGGGTGTGTAAATATGCTCTGACGGGGAGACGGGTGTGTAAATATGCTCTGACGGGGGAGACTGGTGTGTAAATATGCTCTGACGGGGGAGACGGGTATGTAAATATGCTCTGACGGGGAGACGGGTGTGTAAATATGCTCTGACGGGGGAGACGGGTGTGTAAATGTGCTCTGACAGGGGAGACTGGTGTGTAAATATGCTCTGACGGGGGAGATGGGTGTGTAAATATGCTCTGACGGGGGAGACTGGTGTGTAAATGTGCTCTGACGGGGGAGACTCGTGTGTAAATGTGCTCTGACGGGGGAGACTGGTGTGTAAATGTGCTCTGACGGGGGAGACGGGTGTGTAAATATGCTCTGACGGGGGAGACGGGTGTGTAAATATGCTCTGACGGGGGAGACTGGTGTGTAAATATGCTCTGACGGGGAGACGGGTGTGTAAATATGCTCTGACGGGGGAGACTGGTGTGTAAATATGCTCTGACGGGGAGACGGGTGTGTAAATATGCTCTGACGGGGGAGACGGGTATGTAAATATGCTCTGACGGGGAGACGGGTGTGTAAATATGCTCTGACGGGGGAGACTGGTGTGTAAATATGCTCTGACGGGGGAGACGGGTGTGTAAATATGCTCTGACGGGGGAGACGGGTATGTAAATATGCTCTGACGGGGAGACGGGTGTGTAAATATGCTCTGACGGGGGAGACGGGTGTGTAAATGTGCTCTGACAGGGGAGACTGGTGTGTAAATATGCTCTGACGGGGAGACGGGTGTGTAAATATGCTCTGACGGGGGAGACTGGTGTGTAAATGTGCTCTGACGGGGGAGACTCGTGTGTAAATGTGCTCTGACGGGGGAGACTGGTGTGTAAATGTGCTCTGACGGGGGAGACGGGTGTGTAAATATGCTCTGACGGGGAGACGGGTGTGTAAATATGCTCTGACGGGGGAGACTGGTGTGTAAATATGCTCTGACGGGGGAGACGGGTGTGTAAATATGCTCTGACGGGGGAGACTGGTGTGTAAATGTGCTCTGATGGGGGAGACTGGTGTGTAAATATGCTCTGATGGGGGAGACGGGTGTGTAAATGTGCTCTGACGGGGGAGACTGGTGTGTAAATATGCTCTGATGGGGGAGACTCGTGTGTAAATATGCTCTGACGGGGAGATGGGTGTGTAAATATGCTCTGACGGGGAGATGGGTGTGTAAATATGCTCTGACGGGGAGATGGGTGTGTAAATATGCTCTGACGGGGGAGACGGGTGTGTAAATATGCTCTGACGGGGAGATGGGTGTGTAAATATGCTCTGACGGGGAGATGGGTGTGTAAATATGCTCTGACGGGGGAGACGGGTGTGTAAATATGCTCTGACGGGGGAGACTCGTGTGTAAATATGCTCTGACGGGGAGATGGGTGTGTAAATATGCTCTGACGGGGAGATGGGTGTGTAAATATGCTCTGACGGGGAGATGGGTGTGTAAATATGCTCTGACGGGGGAGACGGGTGTGTAAATATGCTCTGACGGGGAGATGGGTGTGTAAATATGCTCTGACGGGAGAGACTGGTGTGAGGCAGTGGCAGGAACAGGAACCATTTTAACCACACCTGTGAAGAAACTTAGACAACGGGCTACGTGGGGAGTCGCTTTTAGGTGCTCTGAGGAGGCAAAGATGATTGTATGTGGAGATGACATACAGGTGACAGGGACAGAGATGTGCAGAATGAATAAGTCTCAGGTAGTCAATGAGGGAGCAGAGAGGAGACAGATGGGAGGCGATGCTGGCTGCAAGCGTCTAGTGTGGCAGTTCCACAGAAACCGCTGGAGGCCATCTTGGGATGCGCAGACTGGCTGGCCAATTGATGGAGAATTAACTTGTATGCCAACTAAGCAGTTTGGATATCTTCTAAAAGGCCACAAATGGCAATCTAACAGCCTGTGAGCTGTATTCATAAATGGACATGTTTTCCTTGGCCACTGAAGTATTATGCAAAAATCTGGCAGCATTTGAACTCTGGAGACTTAGATTTCTGTTATTGAAGGACACTATGATCAGGCCCCGCTGCCTCAGCCTCCTGAACACAGCACTTCACCAGCCGTAAGCATTATCTGCTCCCTCCAGGAAGATATGCGTGACCCAGCAGTGACAGGCATCTCAACCTCAATGCCTTTTCTTTGGACGCTGCACTTCCTGCCTTAGGCAAAGAGAGTTCTACTTGGGGAGCAAAAGGAGGACTTAGAGGCAGAGAAACTAGAGGTAGAAAACACAGTAGACTAAGCAGGGAGACCTCCTGGCTCTGGATTAGGTTGGGGCAGATGTGAGAGACTTTAGGAAGCCTGTGTATGTACATGTGAAGGAGGAGATTTCAAAGATGGCTTTGAAGGGTGAGGTGGAAGCTCACTGGTAGGTTTGTTCTTACCATGTTGAGAGCCTGGATTGACCTCCAGTGCCAACAACAGAAGCAATGATGAGATTTCAAGTCTGAGTGTCTGGGAGCATACTAGCATTTATAATAAATATTTTCTATAGTCACTCCTGTGGTGTCCAGGGTATGCTTCCTTGGCAAATACTAACCCGTGAGTACTGGCCACACAGCAAGAAGAATTTTCCAGCCTGAAAGTGTCTCTTTTCCCCTTCAAAATATAAGGCGATGCTTTGGTAGTCTTCATTAGTTGTATCTTCAGAACCTACAATACACATTCACTGAGCAAAACATCTGAGTAGAGCCTGATGATCAGCCATTGCCAATCTAAAGCTAGTATCTATGAGAATCGATCTAAAAACAGAAGGCTGGGCCAGTGACATGGCTCAGTGAGGAAAAGTGCATGCTGGGCCCGCCTGATGACTTCAATTTGATCCCCAGAGCCTACACAAAAGTGGAAAGAAAGAACCAACCGCATAAGGTTGTCCTCTGGCCTCCAAACACACACTGTGACTCATGTGCTCTCCCTCCCAAATCACGGCACTGACACACACAAAACAACCTTAAAAACCCCCAGGAGACTAACAACCGTTCAGTATTGAACATCAATACTGGCATCTTGTCTGTTTTTATCACAAAGCATATTCATCATAATTACTTTAAATACTGCCACTGCCCTTTCTCTGTCTCACAACAGCAATCGTGAGAGGAAAGCTATGAGGTTTATGTATAGATTTGGGCTATGATCTGCTATTAGTCTTTGAGAATTTATTATTCTCAGACTCTGAATCTCATATCCTGAAACAGCAGGAATGACTGTGTGTATCCTTAGCCACCACCATCCAGAGCTTCAGAACAACCAGAAGCCGAATTGAATCTCACTGCAAACACAATCCAGCTTGGTGTTCCATCCACCCATCCACCCACCCACCCATCCACCCACCCACCCATCCACCCACCCACCCATCCACCCACCCACCCATCCACCCACCCACCCATCCATTCCATTATAGGGCCTTATGATATAAGTCAAGTTGGCCTCAAACTCATCCTCCTGCCTCAGCCTCCAGGTCTGACACTGCTTTTGTCTGTCCTTCATTTTTTCTTTAGATCTTTATATTCTCCAATTATCTAATGACTTCCCACAAATGCGCTCCCTTGAAGTCTGAAATAAATTTTCTCATGGTTCTTATCAATTCACAGGGCACTTAGTGAATCCTATGAAAGTAAAACAAACAAAAAAACCCAAAACCAACCCAAACAAACCCACAAAGAGGCAAGTATCTTATTATCCCACTTATGAGATACTTGGAATAGTCAGATTCATAAAGGATAAGTAGAATAATGGTCACAGGGCTGTGGACAAGGGCATGTGGGTCATTATTCATGGGGTCGGGGTTTAAACTGAACTGCTGGGGATCGAATCTGGGATTTCATCTCTGCTGGGCATGCACATATCAAAGAATCATACAAACACGCATTCTCAGAACAGAAAATTCTGTTTTGGATCTGCAAAATCTTTAAAAACTATAATTTGTGTGTACAGCTCTTTCTTAAAGTAACCCTACATTCTGAACTGGTATCTCAACTTCTATGTTTAATGCAAACATTTTCTTTAAAAAGTTTTTTAAAAAAAGATGTTCCTATTTGTTATGTATACAGCATTCTGGCATGTATGCCTACACACCAGAAGAGGGCACCAAACCTTATTATAATGGTTGTGAGCCACCATGTGGTTACTGGGAATTGAACTCAGGATCTCTGGAAGAGCAGTCAGTGCTCTTAACCTCTGAGCCATGTCTCCAGCCCCTCAAAATGAATTTTTAATGTGAATGAGTGTTTTGCTTACATGTTTGTATGTACCACATGTATGCAAACCCCCACACAGGCCACAGGAGTGTGTCAGATCCCCTGGAATTAGAGCTACAGACTTTTGTGAGCTGCCATCTGGGTGCTGGGAACTGAACTCAGGACGTCTGCAACAGCCAGTGCTTTTAACCCCTTAGCCATCATCTCTCCAGCCCCTGAAAACAGTTTTATTGTCTAAGGTCCTCTTGCATTTCCCATCACCTTCATGGTGAAGTCTTGCTTACCACTTCTGGTTGATAAATAGCAGGGTCTGGGAAATGTGACCTCTCTGGGAATTGACCCCACATTTCTGAGAGCTGCTCTTCTTAGAATTCCACCTCATTTTTAGGCTGTAGGGAGCCTGAACACAGCAAGTAATGTATGTGCATATGTGTTTGCATGGCTTAGTGTGGAGTGTTTGTGTATACACCCATCTAAGCAAGAGTCACGGTTCCTGTGACAACGAAATTTTTATGAGAAAGCAGGGAAAGCAATGGCATTTACCAATGATGTCTGCGTAGATTTCCATTTTGTTGTGCTGCTGAGCCAGGGTGAAGGCTTCATTGTTACATTTGGACAGGACCAGAAACTGAATGGCAGATCCATAGTCACCAAGCTGTAAAAAGAACCTATGACAAAGGACCTTAGTTAGCTTGTCTCTAGTGTTAAGTTTATGACTGTGATGGGTAATTTACTTCATCAGCTTGGAAGGATCTAGAATCATCTAGGAAGCACACTTTTGGGCATGTCTGTGGCAGTTTCTAAACTGGGTTGAAGGTGAAGACCCACATAAATGTGGGCAACATCATCCCATGGGCTAGGGCCACAGACTCAGGGACAGGAGGAAGTGAGCTGGACCCAGCATCCATCTCCCCGTGCTTCCTGACAGCATGGGATCCGACCAGCTTCCCCAGACCCGTCACTATTCTTCCCTGCCGTGTTGACAGTGCTCTCATGAACCGTGAGCCAAAACAAACCCTTTCATCTAAGTTGCTTTGTTTGATAGGTATCATCATAATCATGAGAAAAGTGACAAATACCGTGACTTATAAAACAAAGTATCTTTTTCAACCAGGTAAAAATAAAAATGTATCCTGTAACTGTAGTTCTGCATTATCTGTTTATACTTGACAGACGCATTCTCTCATATGCTGATCACAACAAAGAGCCATTGCACTGAAATATCTAAAGCTAATAAAACGTAAAAAGAATTTATACATTTGATGGGGGTATTTCTTTCACACTTGTGTTTTGGGAGGTCCAAATACACTAGTGTGCAGTCACCTGGCTACCATCTTGGCTCCATCCAGAGACTGGGTCTCCCTGACGATGCTGACGGCCTTCTCGGGGTTGTTGAGGTGGTCCAGGTAGATACGGATGACACTGTTCCACTGCTTTGCATTCTCATAGGCTAGCACGGCTTCTTTATACCTGGGAGAGGTATGGGCCAAGTAAACTCTCTCAAATCTCTCTCTCTGTGTGTGTGTGTGTGTGTGTGTGTGTGTGTGTGTGTGTGTGTGTGTGTAGAGTGGGAGCCAGCGAATGGGGGGGCACTTTTCTGCTCTGGTGATAGTAGTTGCTTTGTCTAGTTGAACTTCTTTCTCCTTCAGAATCATAGGAACTCTCCTATGAAAACACATCCTCTTTTAGGGGTTGTATAAATGAAGGGTAAAGGGCCAATAATGGATTTTATTTTTTCCTATGAATTAAAAGTATATAATTTGTTTACATTTTACTGTGATTTTTATTTTGAGTGGGAATATTGTAATAGTAGTGTGCAATTATTTTGGAGAACAGAAATTACAGAATGCTTCACAATGATAGGCACAAGTAAAGCTTTAATATCAGGACACAAAAATCTTTGCATGTTCACCTCTAGAGGGCGCTCAGGACATCACAGATCAGACTAGCTTTCAATTTCAACTCATTTAAGTGCATATCAGTATCTACTTCCCAAGGTTAATTTCTAAAAGTGGAAGGCATTACTAACCTATAAAGGTCTCTTAATGGATGCTTCTGACATTAATTTCCAAAGACTAGAAATTTACACTTCCATCAGCCACTTCCATCAACAGCATTTTGACAGCATGGTTGTTAGTTCAAAGTAAAATAAACATCAAATATGGTGGCATGCTTTAACTACCATCAGGGGTGGAACTTCCGGTGTTCATAGGAGTGCAGCTCATAATTGTATTTTCTCCTCTGGGTCTTAACTTTTTTTTTCTTTTAGCCCCCTTTCCTAGTAGTGGTTTTTAGTTTCTTATATCTATTAAGTTGTAGACATTCTCAGTACATTTAGAATAGTCCCTCTTCATAGCTATATTTGGTATTGCACTGCAACCTGAACAGTTCAGGATCCATGGGTCTATTCTTTGCTCCTTCTGCATCCTGAAGACATCTTTCTTACCATGTTAAAGCCACATTGTGCCAAAACTTCAGTACTTAGCCTCACTTAGAAGAGGCAGCAGGCTGTATCTGGATACATACAGGTCTGCCTTTGTGGCGGGTGTTTACACTCCCAGCACTTCAGCCGACTAGGACCATGATAAATACCCTCTTTCTCTGCCTGTCTTCTAGAAGATTGAATGCACCCATGGCTAAGCCATCAAGCTTGAGTTCTCTTAGGTTTTTACAGACCTGGAAACTGTACATACCTCCCATCTGCCTCTTTAGCTTTGGCATATTGTAAATGGATCTTGGGAGAGGAGACATGGGGCAGAAGTTCGCCAACTTTTGCCCTAGAAAGGGAGAGTCGAGAATGATATCAGCACACATTCCTGACCAGGAGTAGTAGCTGCCCACAACTACGAGCTTACAAACATCTTGGTCCTCTATGCAAACCAGATTTAACTGCTCTTTCTCCTGATACCTCCTCCTCCACCAACAGGGAGGGAGGATGAAGGCTAGGGCATTAACTGTTTTGGGGAAACCTGTACTTTATCTGGTTTAGGATGCTCTTTGGGAAGCAGCTATGGATGTGAACTCATCTGTGTAATAACAACGGAGATGGAAGGAAAACCAAGTCAGAGAACAGAATGGACCATGGGATGAGCAGCAGAAGCAAGTGGGGAAAGCCCAGACACACCCCTTAACAACTCTACTCGGAAGCAAACTCTGGCCAGTCCTTACCAGTTCTTACAGCGGATGTAGACAGAGGCGGCTTTGTCGTAATACTGGCCTTTTTCATACAGCTGGGCTGCTTCTGAAAATTGCTACAATAATAAAGGGAACGTAAGATACTACGTTTGTTATGATCTGACCATATGAATATGAAGATAAAGGAGTACAGTTGCCACAATAATAATAAATTGCTATAATAATAAAGGGAACGTAAGACACTACATTTGTTATGATCTGACCACATGAATACTTATGAAGATAAAGGAGTACCTTCATGTTCTCCAGTATGGCTCCACAGTCTCTTTTAAGGACCCTACTGGGGTGTTTGAGGGCTTGGTTAGCCCCTCTACGGATGTCTCCCATCCTTATGGACATCTGAGCCACACCAGCCAGACACACCTCGTCATGTTCCTGAGAAAACAAGGCAAACACTTCTAACACAATGTACTTCAGCGACCAAAGATCAGGTCACTCCCATCTGTCATTTTAAGATTTACTCTCAGCTACTGTTTTAAAATTTTTTCACAGTTCTGAAATTCACACTTAAAAAATCAACTAATACAAAGTTATTTTTTCCTGCCAGGCATTGGTGGCACACAAACTTCAATCCCAACAATTGGGAGGCAGAGGCAGGTGGAGCTCAGTGAGTTCAAGGTTAACCTGGTCTACAAAAGTGAGTTCCAGGACAAAATGAGTCCCGGCAATTGTTACACAGAGAAACCCTGTCTTGAAAAACCATTTTTAAAAAAAAGTTATTTTTTCTTCTCAGAGGTTTTGACCTTCTATGTCTATGAGAAAATTTTTGCTATTCCTTGTTTTACACCTCTTGGTATAAAATTATATCTGTAAGTGATATACTGGTTATTATAGCATAAACGCTATAAATAAAATTAAGAAGGGATTCATTAATCAAGCTGAAGATCTCTGTATCAGGTAGGATTACACATAACTTCATCTAGAACTGCTCAAGTCATTAAAGGACGACTAATAAGCCTGTCATATTTGCAAGAGGGTCTCTCTAAGCAGTTCTGGCTCAGCCTCCCAACTGCAAGGATACATGCATGTGCCACCACACCTAGTGAGAAAGTTTCAAGTAACTAATGTTTTCTAGTGAAATGCAGTGTCAGATTGGGTTCTGTCTACAGTGGCGTGTCCACTAGAACTTTCTGTGATGGCAGGAACGTCTTGTTTTTCCCCATTAGCACAGGAGACAATGGTTACAAGAGGCTACTGGGCATCTGGAATGTGACTCATGTGAGGGAGGAGTGGAATTTCCCTTCCTTTTTAACAATCCAAACTGCCACATGTCACCAGTGGCTACTGTATTGACAGATTAAAGAATGAACTAAAATGGATGGCACCAAACAAAGGATGTGAATAGCACACTAGAGGGTTGGCTCAGTGGTAAAGGTGCTAGCCATCAAACCGAGGACTTGAGCTCGATCCCTGGAACCATCATGGTGGAGAGACCATTACCTGTAAGTTGTCATCTCACAGCCACCTACAGGTGCATGCATGCTCCCTTCTCTCAACCCACAACCAATAAGTAAATATATATAATTTTTAATAAAAATTTATTATTTTATGTGTATGGGTGTCTTGTCTGCATGTATGTCAGTGTACCACATGTGCCTGGAGTTAAGGATAATTATGAACCACCATGTAGGAACTGGGACTTGAAGCTAGGACCTCTGGAAGAGCAGCCAGTGGCCTTAGCCACTGAGCCATCTCTCCAGACCAGGATTACTGAATTGTCGTGAGAGCAAAAGTCTTTTGACATCATAGTTGGCCTGTGACACAAATGTACATAATATGGATTAAAAAAAGAAATCCACAGGCAAAGATCAAGCTGGTTCTACTGTGTGGAGAGCTGTGGTGCCCTTCCGAGTCAGTGCACAAGGCTCTTCTTTAATCTTTTAAGAGCACCTAATGTCACTCCCGATGTACCATGATTTTTCATCGATTTTCTCACTCAACTACATTGGCCTATAAACGAGATGAAACAAAAGTTTCATTTCTTCATTAGGAGCTCATACCTAAGATGTAATGGAAAACAGATGCAATAAATAAAAACATATTGCCATCTTTAGTATGTGAATTTACAGTAACTTAAGCATGAACTTCTTGTAAAGTTGTTAATAAGCTGAACAATTAGGCTCACCCACTAGATACTGAATGGCTGCAATGCAAATAAGACCCGGGTTTTAAAATGAAACAGGAAACGCACTCCTGGAGCATTAGGCATATTTTGTATTTATGTAAGGTTACCTTGTTATCACCTGTGATCCCTTTCTCATAATGAGCCAAAGCATTTACATAATCACCCCTAGGAGAAAAGACAATCACAGCAAATTAATTCCTATTTAAGTCTCTTAGCAACACACAAAGCTTTAAAGAACTCTTTGTTGCCGTGTGGCTTGTGCTCAGGAAAAGATGCTTCATACAACGCGGACGCTTCATCCACTGCAACCGTAGCGTGCCCTTCCCTCACTGCATCCACTGCAACCGTAGCACGCCCTTCCCTCACTGCATCCACTCCAACCGTAGCACGCCCTTCCCTCACTGCATCCACTCCAACCGTAGCACGCCCTTCCCTCACTGCATCCACTGCAACCGTAGCACGCCCTTCCCTCACTGCATCCACTGCAACCGTAGCACGCCCTTCCCTCACTGCATCCACTGCAACCGTAGCATGCCCTTCCCTCACTGCATCCACTGCAACCGTAGCACGCCCTTCCCTCACTGCATCCACTCCAACCGTAGCACGCCCTTCCCTCACTGCATCCACTGCAACCGTAGCATGCCCTTCCCTCACTGCATCCACTGCAACCGTAGCATGCCCTTCCCTCACTGCATCCACTGCAACCGTAGCATGCCCTTCCCTCACTGCTTCAAAACCATCCTGGGTTGTGCTACAGTGTGATATGTTAGACATTTCAGGAAGGCTGCAGTGCATTTTAGAGTTACTTTTACTTAATTATTTCCTTTAGGGCACAAATGACAATCACATAGTCATAGAAACCTATTTTTTCCAAATGCCCAAAGTTTGGAAGAATGTGTTCCAGCAAGAGTCTGGGCTGGAAGCCTATGCGGTGGTTCAGCAGTTAAGGCACTAACTGCCATGCCTGACCTCAGTGGGATTCTTGGGACTCACATGGTGACGAGAAGTGATTCCTGCAAGTTGTCCTCTGAGTCACACACATGTGCCATGAAGTACACACACACACACACACACACACTCACGATTTGTTTAAAGGATCACCTATGATATAATTGTGCTAGTGTGTGCCGAGTTACTTGAGAAAACAGCTGAGGGAAAAACCTTATTTCAGAGGTTTTAAGCCATGGTCACTTAACGGGTCACATTAGGCTTGTGACAGAGAAGAACGTTATGGCAGGGGAACATGGAGCAAAGTCGCTCACCTAATGGTGGCCAAGAAGCAGAGGAAGGCTGGGTATTGGTGGCACACACCTTTAATGCCAGCACTCGGCAGGCAATCTCTGTGAGTTTGAGGCCAGCCTGGTCTATAGAACAAGTTCCAGGACAGCCTCCAAAACAATACAGAGAAACCCTGTCTCTAAACAAAACAAAACAAAACAAAACAAACAAAGCAGAGGAAAAGGAGGGTCCAGAGACCCAGTACAGTGTTCGGGGCATCAGTGACTTAACGTCCTTATACTAGGCCCAGCTCCTAAGATCTACACAGGCTGGAAAATACCTCTTCAACACATGGTCTTTGGGTACACCGCAGATCCAGAGCAACAACAATAATAGTTCCTGTACCTGGGGCTGAAAATGACAGAGACCTGTAAATATACAACCAGCCTCTTCAACTGTAGGTCACAGTCCCGTAGCTGAGTGCGGGTATGACAAAAACATTTGCTACAGTAAAAGCAATAAAAAATTAATCCAGAATCAAACACATAAAGATCCAAGGTGTTTCTGGCAGGGCTCATTCGTGTCACGTCATGTGCCATCGCTGCTGCCTTGGTTCTGAACACACTGCACTATGCACACTATAGGCCACACAACACCGGTGAAGCTGCCGGAAGCATCTTGGCTCAGATCCAAAACTACACATACAGTCTTCTGCTCTTACAGAACCGTGGTGGCTTAACCACAGCTTAATCAGGGTTTAACTGTGCAAAACAACATTTAACATTCTCCTACTGCATTCACCAGCATGTATCAAATTAGGATACCATGCCTTGTATTTTGTTAGAACATTTGATTTTCAAATTTGCTGAGTTGTTGATTTGAGTTTAATAAAAAAAATTCATTGAATTTTGGCTTGAGATTAGGACAGAATTTCCAACAATTTCTGAAATGGCGCTAATCTTATTTATTCTATATATTTATTTGAAGCATTGACAATATAAGATCACACTATCAATGAACCCTGCCTGGCTTTTTAAAAAATTTTTTTACATAGTGCTGGGGATTCAAACTGAGGTCCTCATGTTTACACAGCAAGGCCTTTACTCATTAAGCCATAGTTCTAGTCCCAAAGAACTGTTTAAAAATAGATTTCTATATGAATTAACAGCAAGTGTTCGGTTTCTATTTTATAAACCTATAGACCTGGGGTTGCACAAACACTTCTCAGGCAAAGAAGGGGTTGCAAATGGGTAAAGTTTAAGAGGCTCTGGTCTGACAGACTTACTTATTTTCATTTCTCAGTACAGTGACTTGCACAAGACTCTTTATTTGAGCTCTGCCTCTCCACTGTTAGCTCTGAAATGGCCCTAAGATCCCCTCAAATGCCCTTCAGCAGCTCAGGCAAATGACTGGAGTTCTGTGAGGCTTGCCCAGTTTCTGAATCTACTGACAGATGAAAAGACTGACGGACAAAAAGGATTCGGGAGGGAAGCTGTGCTCTGATTGAAGACTTTCTTTCGCCAGCCCGGGACTTCACAATCAGCAGCTTTCCTGAGTAGGGCTGTCTAATTTGGGTCCAATTACAGCCCACCTAGGGCCACCTCCTGACAGGAAGAATTAGTTTCTTGCTCAGGACCCTGCTCAATTAGGAGATGCTAAATTAAGATTTTGGAACTTTCTATTTTAGTTCACCCCCTTTACTATTATTTCACTTTGGAGCTCTCACGGGGCTTTAGCTCACTAGCATAGCCCCACTGGAGAGCTAGATCTCTCTAGACTTGACAGAGTGGTCCTGCTTTCACACATCAGGGCTGTGGATGCCTAATGAAGGCTGTGGGACTGACACAGCAGGCTTTGGGTGCTGAGATCAGCAGATGCAGGTACTGGGGTGCTTGATGAGAAGACACACCCAGGTTATCATCAGGGACACTTTCTGAACTGAGAGGGGCACACACTAACAGCATCAAAAGCTTCATGGTCACGTGCTGCCACCAAAGCAAAGACTTCCACTGACCTCTCAGTGCTAACTCAAGTCATGTAAAGTGGGAGCGTTTGATACAAAAAAATCCCAGAGAAAAGTAAGAGTCAGTCTTCCGAATGGTCCAAGGGCCTTCAGGGATGTTTGTGCTGACAAGGTAAACACTGGGTCAATCTTTTCTCTTACATGGAGTTGGAGGGTTGTGGCACTGGGATATGGTCTCTTGTGCTAGGTACTAAATTTCCAATATGTTCATTTTGATATATGGACATTTTTTATTTTAATTCACAAACTAAACAAGCGACCTTGTCACTTAATTACATCCTAGCCCTCTGGGTTCATTGCATATATATTTTTTTTAAATTTTTATAACAATTTAAAATTTTGTATATGTGTATATGGGTATATGCAGGGACCCCCCAGGGGCCAGAGGCATCAGATCCCCCTGGAGATGGAGTTGCAGCTAGTTATGAGCTGCCTGATGTGGGTGCTAGGAATTGAACCTGGTTCTTCATCAAAAGCATCAAACACTTTTAACTGCTGACCCATCTCTCCAGCTTCATGGATTTACTTTTTAAGGGGAAAATGTGGCAAAATTTAAATTTAAAATGACCAAGAAGAAATATATCCAAAAAGCTTTTACCTGAAGAATAGAAAATGATTAATTTTTATTTATGTGTGTGTGAGTCGCATGTGTGCAGGTGTCTGGGGAGGCTAGAAGAGGGCATCTGATCCCCTGGACCAGTTGAGAACCATCTGACTTGGGTGCTGGGAGCCAAACCCAGGTCATCTGGAAAGAGCAGCAAGTGCTCTCAACCACTCAGCATCTCTCCAGCCCCCAGAACGGAAGAGTTTAAAATGAGGTATCCTGATTAGAAATCAAAGAGGACATTTTGGCATAATAATTTGTACAACTACAATTTGTGTGACAATATCCTTAACGGATCCATTGTATGAACATCATGCAGAATTATGTAAAATTGTTTTTAAAAAGTAAATATAATCAGGGGCATGAGAGCAGGAGAGCTGACCTGCATCTTACCAACTGTAGCTCGGAGAGTGGGCCCTGCACCTCACCTGGGCAGAACGGCAGAGCTGGCCCTGAAGGTGTGGGTGTGGGTGACCACTCGGAGAGTCTGAGAGCAGAACCGGCCCCACCCCTTGCTGCCTGCTGCAGTGGGTGAGCTCGCCAGGGCAGTGCTGGTGGCGATGATGAAGGGGAGCTGGTAGGCCGGACCAACCCAGCTACCACCCAGGCCCAGAACCAGGGCAGTGAGTTGGCCCCACCCCAACACCCACCTCACCTATGAACGGATGGAGCACGTGAAGGGGCCAGACCTGCGGATGCAAAGCTGCAGGATCTCCATGACACAGGACAACGGGATACCCAAGAGGAGGCCAAGTGAGGGCCCAGCATCGAAAGTGTAGCAGAAACCAGAGGCCTCTAGCCAGACCAAGGACTCACTGCGATGAACACTTACAAGTAAAGATGTATGGACTAAAGGTATAGTGTGTGATTCACCGTTTCACACTACAGTTTCCATGTCAAGACCTTTCTGTTTGTTTGTACTTGCTTTTCCTTTAAATTTTATTTTATTTTGTGGGAGAAGGTTGCAAGGGCAGAGGCTGGATATGAAGATGAATGCGATCAGGATACATGGTGTGAAATGCACAAAGAATCCAATAAAAAGTTTTTTAAAGAAGTAAATATAACCAAAGACTAGCATTTTTCGATATTCTAGTATTTTTGGATTTGGCATGTATCTTTTTTTTTTTTTTTTTACGAGACAGGGTTTCTCTGTATTGTTTTGGAGGCTGTCGGTCCAGCCCGGCCTCGAACTCACAGAGATCCGCCTGCCTCTGCCTCCCGAGTGCTGGGATTAAAGGCGTGCGCCACCACCGCCCGGCTTTGGCATGTATCTTAACAAATGTTTAGAAAGATGTCCAGGTATGGTGCTGTCAGTGCTGTGTGAGTTCACGTCTGAAAATAAACGTCTCAGCTATAGTCGTATGCTTTGGGGGCAGTGGCCACAGCTGGACATTAATTTAGAACTGATATTGGATACTTCTAAAATTATTTTTATGCAGCACTGGAATTAAAAAAAAGATAAGAGTCTGTCAGTTAAGCAGACTGGCCGCTAAGTTGGCTTCACAGTCAAGAATACTAGAACAGCTGGGTGATGCTGGTGCACGCCTTTAATCCCAGCACTGGAAGAGGCAGAGGCAGGCGAATCTCTGTGAGTTTGAGGCCATGTTGGTCTACACAGCGAGTTCTAGGACAGCCAACGTTACACAGAGAGACCCTGTCTTGAAAACCCAAGGAAATAAAACACGAGAGCATTCTAAACTACTCAAAATAGATCCTGGGATTCCCGCAGATATGAAGAGGCCTGTGAAGCCGAATCCTGCAGGACTGTTCTGCAGGCACTGACATTGACCTACGGCAAGCTTCTGCCTCCACTTTCACCACTACTGATTTTCATGTGTATGCAATTCAATTCACGAAGGAAAAAATTCCACAACTTCTAAGTTATGGGTTGAAGCTGCCTCCTGCCCTCTGTATGTTGGAACTTAACTGCCACTGTGATGGCATTGGGAGGTAAGAACTTTAAGGCAATGGAGGCATGATTAAAAGGGCTCAGGGTGGAAGGGAATACTGTCTCTCCCGTTCTTTAGCCTTCCATGTAAGAATTCAAAACCAAGCCTTACCCAAATGCTGGTGCCTTAGGCTTGAGTTTCCTAGCCTCTACAGGTATGAGAATTTTCTTTTTAAAATATTTGCTTTACTTTTAATTATGTGTAATTATGTGTGTATGTGCATATGTGTGTAGCTAACTGTAGAGTCCAGAGGTGAGGGATCCCCTGGAGCCACATAACATGGGTGCTGAGAACTGAACTTGGGTCCTTTGGTGGAATACTCTTAACTACCGAGCTCTCTCTCCAGCCTGAAATTTCTGCTCTTGACAAATCACCTAGTCTCAGGCATTCTGTGATAGCAGCCCAAACAGACCAAGATAAAGACAGAACTTCAAAGTTTTGTGCTATGCCTTTAAGTGGCACAGAAAATCTCCCAAATGTTAAAGAGGTCTGAGCTGGGTGGTGGTGGTGGCGCATGCTTTTAGTCCCAGCACTCGGGAGGCAGAGGCAGGTGGATTTCTGTGAGTTCGAGGCCAGCCTGGTCTACAGAGTGAGTTTCAGGACAGCCAGGACTACACAGAGGAACCCAGTCTCAACCCAGCCCCTGCCCTCTATAAAAGAATGGCTTCATCAATGACAGTTTGGAACTGCAGACACGCAGCGATTAGTGACCGATTAGAAGATGCAGCGCCAGACTTACGTGAACTCCAGCTGGATGGCATACTCTTTGGATATGAAGGGTATCTGGTCTGGGGCCAGGCGCTTTGCCAGCTGCAGAGCGCTGTCCCAGTGCTGCAGGTCCCGCCTCATCTGTCGGAAAGACAAAGTCCTGAGGGCCACAAAGGCAAAAAGGGCTTTGCAAAGTTGCCGCCTAGAGCCAGGCTGAGAGAAAGGAATTACTTTTTTTGTTGTTGTTTGTTTAAATAATGAAACTTTCTAATTACCATGATATTGCTATAATAGAGCCTTCTAGACTGGACAAATATCTGAGTTATTATGGTAGTTTGTGCTCCTCTCAAAAGTCATGCCTATCTAAAAATGAAAATTTTATACTTTAGCATTTTTCCCAATAGTGAGAAATTAAAGCTAATATAACCAATTAATTAAAAATTTCATCTTAGAAGGACATCGATAAAAAATAGGAAATACTTTAGGAATTGATTTCCTTCCTTTCTCCCTCCCTCCCCACCTTCCTCCATCCCTCCCTAGGGTATCAGCTTATTTTATTTTTCACAACTACCTTTTATAATGTTCTTGTACCCATTTCAGAGATCCAGAAAGTGAAGCAGAAAAAGGCTAGGTCTTACACAATGCTACATGGCTGGTAGGAGACAGAGCAGGTGGGAAGCAGGGCTCTCTACCTACCTAACTTGTCCTGCAGAGGGAGGCTGAAGGAGCTACCACAGAACTATTATAGAGCAGAGTGCTACTAGCCATTTACAAAACTAACGTCACTTATGTAACTATTATACAAGATTATATTTATGTTACATATCATAATATAAATATATTATAAAAGATGGACACAGCTTAGTTTCAATATCTGTGAGAAAAGATGACCAGATTCAGAATTTGTTTGCTTATTTCTGGCCACTACTAGTTTTACAAATTACTAAGTAGTTGTACTATGAACCCATTTTCTTACCAACCACCCTGGAGGGTCAGGCATCATTACCCATACTTTAAAGATGTAGGACCTCAGTTGAGGTCAAAGGACATGCCCAAGGTCACACACAGCTGGAATCCGAATCCAGGTGTGCCCAGCTCACAAGTCTGTGCTTTTTTTCTTTTTTCAGACAGAGCCTTGTAGCCCTGGCTAGCCTGGAACTTGTTCTTTGGACGAGGCTAACACTGAACTACAGCAGTCCTCCTGCCTCTGCCTCTTGAGTTCCTGGGTTGACAGGAAGGCAGCACCTGGGCTGCCAGTCTGTACCTTCCACTGACAGTCCGTATCGCCAGGCCTCCCTTCCCCTCTCTGCCTTTGAACTCAGCCCAGCATTTGGTTCAGTCCTCCTCCTGTGACCTTCAGCTCTAACACAGAGGAGAATTTCATGCAACAGCCACAAGATCAAGGGCTTCAGTGTCCTCATGTGGAAAATAGAGAAAATAACAGTACCATCCCATAAGATCGGTTGTTGCGGAGGTTAAGTGAGCTAATAATACAGGTTAAGTGCTTAGAACGGCACCCGGCAATACGAGCAACCAATACACCCCACCACCTACTTCTCTTTCCAGTTTCTGTAAGTTCCACAGTCTGTTCTCCATGGGCACATTTAGACTTTGAATTATTTAGTGATGTCACAATACCGTGCCTTTTTTATACCTCCACTGGCTGCAGAGTGAGAGTGGTTTTGACATTAATGAGCACTCAGGGGCTCTGAAAGCTGAATGTCTACACTTCAGGAGAGGAAGACAGGTGGTGTCTGGAGAGGAGAAGTCTGCCCGGTTCTCTTTGCTGTCATACCTCCAGGGCAGCCACAGGACAGTTGGATGCCAGGTACAGGTCCTGAGCCAGGTTGAAGTCATTAGTAAACATGGCGAGATGTCCTGCCAAAAGATTGTAGTCCTCGATTCCCTGCAAATAAAAGTTTCCATGAGGAGAAATAAAACGATTTTATCTCTCAGAAGGAAGTGGTATCAATCTACCTACTCAGTTGTTTCAATTAAGACTAACTGAAAGGTAAAATGTTGAATAAGCTGCATGTAGACTTTAACCTAGTGAGTCACGAAACACTGCAAACCTTTATTTGCTCCAAGGACATCACTGTACCAACATCCCCTATGGTCCGGGAAACTCGGATAGCAAACTCCACTTCCATGTGATGCAGACAGGCTCTGGCCAGCTCATCCCATGCCGTGCGATCATTTAGCATCTTGCATATTTCCCAAGCATCAGAAAACCTAGGATAGAGGATACAGGCTGACCATACCTCTGCCTTTGCTTGTCACCTAATAGGCAGTCTTTGGACTGTGTACCACCAAACATTACATGTTAGACAAATCTTCAAAACACTTCTTAGACCATAATCAGCACTTGCAAGTTATGGGGGAAAAGGCACACCAGACTTTCTTCCTTCATTTGCACAGATTTTTTTTCTTATTAATGTTTGTGTGTGGGGTGTGTGTGTGTGTGTGTGTGTGCAGTTGTGTGTGGCCATGGAGGCCAGGGAGGGGCACAGAATACCCTGCTCTATCATTTTTCTGCCTTAGTCCCTGCAGACAGGGTCTCTGACTGAATGTGGGCTTATGGTTTTGCAGTGAGGCTGGGTAGGCAGTCCGAGACACTCCCAGCTTTACGTGTGGGCACCAAGATCTGAACTCAGGTCCCTGGGCTGCTGCAGCAAGTGCTCTTACCTCCTAAGCATCTCCTAGCCCCTCTTAGCTTGTCAGAATTTACTGTTATCAGTCCCTTCCCACTACCAATTAACAATGAATTCTAATTTGTAAAATGCCATATGTTGGGGGATATTTGCACACTGTGTGGAGGTTTACTGCTGTGATTGGTGTAATAAAAGCTGAACAGCCAAAAGCTAGGTGGGATTTCCAGGGACAGAAAGGAAGAGGAGGAGGAATCAAGGTGTGATGGAGACACCAGGAGACACAGAGAGGAAAAGAAATAGGGGGTGCAGGATGGAAGAGAGGTAAGGCCACATGATTGGACATAGAGGGCTGGAGAGATGGCTCAGTGGTTAAGAACATCAGCTTGTCTTCAGAGGTCCTGAGTTCAATTCCCAGCAACCACATGGTGGCTCACTACCATCAGTAATGAGATCTGGTGCCCTCTTCTGGCATGCAGGGTTACATGCAGACAGAACACTGTATACCTAATAAATCTTAAAAAGAAAATGATAGAACATAGATGGATATAAATGTGCAAATTTAAATTATAAGATCTAGTTAGGAACAAGCCTAAGCTATAGGCCCAGCTTTCATAATAGGAAATCTTCATGTCATTATTTGGGAGTTGGCTGGTGGGGCAGAAAAAGACATTAGTTGGACATTATTTTTGTTCTCATTTAAGTCTAATAAAATCAGTACTCTAGGCTGGTCTTGGTGGCATACATCTTTAATCCCAGCACCTGGGAGGCAGAGGCAGGAGGATTTCTGTGAGTTCTAGGACATTTAGGGCTACCTAGAGAGATCGTGTAAATCGTGTCTCAAAAACCAAACCAAACCAAACAAAAACCAACTAACAAATTAACTTCCCTTCCCCCCCAAAAAGAACACCAGCATTCTCTTGTTACATATGTATACATTTCAGAGTTCAGCAAACTAAGTCAATGGCACAGATGTTCTCTGCTGCCTGATGTGTGTGTGTGTGTGTGTTTAGGCAAATACATAGTAGATAGATGGGGAAAGAGGAAAAACAGGAATCTATAGGACAGTGGTTCTCAATCTATGGGTCTTGACTCCTTTGGGAATCGAACAACCCTTTCACAAGGGTTGCCTAAAACCATTGGAAAATGCAGATATTTATGATTCATAACAGTAGCAAAATGACAATTATGAGGTAGCAAAGAAATAGTTCTATGGTTGGGGGTCACCATAACATGAGGAACTGTATTACAGGGTGGCAGCATTAGGAAGGTTGAGAACCACTGCAATAGAAGATGATGGAGTTGTGCTGAGGTGGGCAAGTCTGAGGAACTCATGGACTGGTGGGAGTTATTAATACAAGTTTAAGCTGAGGACAGATTTTGTTTGTTGAGACAGGGTCTTGCTATATAGGCCAGGTGTACTTCATACCTGAGATCATCTTGTGTGCCGGGATTACACTGACAGGGCTACTACTCTTGGCTACCCAGGATGGTTTATTTGTTTGTTTTCTTTTGAACTATGCCAGGGATGGATCCTAAAGCCATATGCACAGTAGGGAAGTATTATACCACCAAGCTGAAGCCCCAGCCCTGGAGACAGTTTCTGGAGTCAATATGGGTGGTGAAGAGATTCATTCATCCCAGAAGAATAAATAGAGAAGAGTACAAGAGCTCACGGGACCCTGAGAACTTATTCAAGAACCTTAAGAAACTTACAGGGGCCCTAGGTAAGAGGGAAAAAATGAGGAAAAAGGAATCTCAAGCAAGGCAAAAATCAAACTTCATTATTTGTTTAATAATTAGAACTTTCCAATAATGGGGCTATTTGTGGCTCTGAGTGCTTCTTTCATAATAAAGCACTCATAAAAACCACATCTGGCACTTCTGACAGAATTTATATGTGTTTTCAGATCCAGTCATTTTTGTGTGTACGTGTATGCATATGTACATGCATGTTTGTGAATCTTAGGTGTACACGTGTGTATGGTACGGTGTGTGGAGGCCAGAGGACAATCTTAGGTGTTGTTCCTCAAATGCCACCCATCCCTGCCTTTTTTAGACAAGGTCTATAATTGACCTACATTGGTAAGCAGGCTAGGCTGACTGGGAGAGAGCCCCAGAAATCCATCCGTGCTTATACCATTATGCCCAGCCTCTTTTCAGTGTGGGTTCTAGGAACTGAACTCAGGTCCTCATACTTGCAAGGCAAGTACTTTAATAACCAAGTGATCTCTCCAGCCCCTCTAATCTGTTATCTTATCTAAGCTTCAAAAGAGTCCATGAGAAAACCATATTCACATCTTTCTTAGGACATGAAGGCAAACAAGCTGCTGTCAATCATTTCCATTCCTCCCTACCGCTTGAGCATCAGGGTCTGCATCAGCATTTGTCTCAGTTCAGCAGGCTCCACATCTTTTATGTTGTCAAGGAAGCTGTGGGTGCTGAGGTAGATGGAGTTGATTTTCCCACTCTGTGTCTGGCAGGTCAGTTCTCCATTGTATAACAGCAAAGGTTTGTGGGAAAAGGGAAGTTTAGTGCCACCAGCCAAAATAACCTTGGACCCTGTATTAGAAAGCAGACCCCTTAATACCTCAAGCAATGCTTGGTACAAATATTAGAAAGTTTTCGATTTCACTACAATGGAAATTCATTTATCAGTAAAAGCACAATACATGATTGGGTACCTTGGATGGTGTCCTTGTGAAACACGTAAGTGTACACCTTGTCATCATCATAAGCAATAAATACACCTTTATCCATTGGCCAGTTTTCCCAGAGAACACCTTTAATGGTTGGTGAGAAGTCTGGAATCTCATAGGTAGCATCATTGACCTATAAGAGAGGATTTACAATTTGCCTCCCATGTCTGTCATTATAACCTGTCTTGTTAAGAGCCTGTCTGCAGCATGGGCAGGCATGGCTTCCCAGCCTACCTCCAACCCAACCCCACTTGACCCCAGCTTTCCCCAGGAGAGGAGCTTCTCTTCCAATTACTACACTATATCCAGCTTGGAAAAAACCAAAACCAAAACCAAAACGATGGTTACCAGGAAAGTACAAGGTTTGATAAGTGGACTAGTTTATGGGAAAAACTGTAAGTTTAGACACTATTGGCTCCAAGTTACTAAAAAGTTGACGATGCTCAAGATATATGAAACAACTTTTCTGGAGCATTGTTTGTTTCTGAGTCAAGATTCGAGAAGTTAAGGCTATCCTGAGCTATATAGTACAATAACATCCAGTCTCAACAACTATGACAAGCTCTGTGCCCTGCGCTTAATGAGACTGATATATAAAAAATTACAGAATAACAGGCAAATTTTCCTGATATTGCTCATTAACATGATATTACACAGATGATAGCAAAGGACTATAATACTTGACTCTGTAGAAGAGAAAAACCTCATTTGATGGATACTTTACTAAAAGAAACTTTTTTTAAGCAGGTGTGGTGGAACACACCTTTAGTCCCAGCTCTGAGACAGAGGCAGGTGAATCACTGTAAGTTTGCAGCCAGAGTGGTCTATATAGCAAGTTCTAGGATAGTCAGAGCTATAGAATGGAGAGACAAAACAATAACAAAAAACCTTCCCCACGTTATTGCATTAAAGAGTTGAGCATTTTGAGTTTTTGTTTTGTTTCCCCAGCACTGGGGATTAAGCGCACGGCACAGAGCTTGCTAGAAAAGCACTTTGCTGTCACTGAGTTATACCTTAGCTCACAGTTTCAAATTCTTTAGACTTACAGGACAGTAAACAAATCCATCACTTTTTTCATCAATGAAGACTAATCTGGTTCCATTTGGATCAGGAAAAAGCTTTTTCACACCAACAGGATGTCGGTAATCATTAACAAACTGCCAATCCTCAATGAAAAAATACTGAATAATGCCAGTCTAAAAAAGAAAAAGAAAAAAGAAACCTGGTCAGGGAATTTAAAGTATGGTTAAGAAGATACTGACTTTTCACATTTAATTTTGATAATTTTAAAAGAAAAATATTATTACTTTTGATAAATGAAGAGGCTAATGCATTTAATGTATAAGGAAGGTACAGACTCCGGAGAAAAGAAATGGGAATTCAGAAGCAATTCAATAATCTAGTGACTGTAATATGTTTATGTGGCCACAATTTATTTATAGATTTCCTACTTGCTAGAGAAACTTTCAAAAATGAACCAGTAAACTCCAGTGACACCACCAACTATACAGCAGGCTGGACGTCAGTGACACCACCAACTACAGTAGACTGGCAGTGTTGTGAAAGGTTGCAAGTCATCTCTCCCACATCTGTCTACCTTGGAGAAACTTCCAGAAAGCAGATTCTTGCCTGCTTCCAGGGTGCATGGAGCCACACAACTCACTTTCCTCAGGGTTTAGCTATGAGTCTGAGCTGCCTGGCTGCAGTGCTAGCTCCTTCAGTCTGGTGTAGCCTTGCAGGCTACAGATACCTGCATGCTGATCTGGCCTCGCTACGTACACCCACTGGAGCTCACTGTCTCCCTACTCATCTAAGTACAGCCAAGTCAAATGAACTGCTCAGGAAGTGCTGAGCAGTGTGACAGCCTTCACTGGTGAAATCTACAAAACGCAGAAGGAAAAGGTATTTACACAATTCTAATAAATGCTTCCAGAGGTCAGTGTGTTTTGAGGTCAGTATTGCCGTGATACTAACACTAGACAGACAAGAGCACTATATAAAACAAGAAACCAGGTGGTGCACACCTTTAATGCCAGCACCAGCAGAGGCAGGTAGATCTCTGTGAGTTCAAGGCCATCATACTCTACACAGAATGTTCCAGACCAGCCAGGACTACACGGTGAGACCCCACCTCACAACACAACACAACACAACAACAAAAAACCTCCAAAAACTAACATTGTAGTACAATGGAGCTGGAGAGATAGCTCAGCGGTTAAGACCTGAGTTAAATTCCCAGCACCAGTGATGGCTCACAACAATCTCTAACTCTAGTTCCAGGGGATCTGATAGCCTTTTCTGGCCTCAGAGGGCACCAAGTACATACATGGTATACAGATAAAACACAGGGTTAATAAAAAGCAAATAAATAAACAAAAAACTCAGGAGATCGTATTTAAACCAAAGTTTTAGTAAATGAATGTAACAATATGTAAAAAACAGAATACACATCAGCACCCATGAGGGAGAATGAGGCTGGAAGAGCTACTCAGGAGCTAGCAGACAACAGAACTGATATTTGAGTACCAAATGACAGACTCTAGAGTCTACCCTTTGCTTTACACAGTTGTCTTAGTTAGGGTTTCTGTAGCTGCCACAGAACGCCATGACAAAAAACTAAGTTGTGGAGGAAAGGGTTTATTTGGCTTACACTTTCATAACATAGTCCATCACTGAAGGAAGTCAGAAAAGGAACTCAAACAGGGCAGGAACCTGGAGGCAGGAGCTGAGGCAGAGGCCATCGAGGAGAGCTGCTTACTGGCTTGCTCAGCCTGCTTTCTTATAGAACCCAGGATCAGCAGCCCAGGGATGGTACCACCAACAATGGGCTGGGTCCCCCACTAGCTGAGAAAATGCCTTACAGCTGGATATCCATGGAGACATTTCCTCAACTAATTCTCCTTCCTCTCTGATGACTCTAGTTTGTGTCAAGTTGACACACAAAACCAGCCAGTAGAGTAATCAAAATTGCTTAAGCTGGGCGTTGGTGGCGCACACCTTTAATCCCAGCACTGGGGGTGGTGCAGAGGCAGGCGGATCTCTGTGAGTTCAAGGCCAGCCTGGTCTACAGAGCAAGTTCCAGGACAGCCTCCAAAACAATACAGAGAAACCCTGTCTCGAAAAATCAAAAAAAAAAAATTGCTTAAATCACCAAACACTGATACCAGCCAATCATGCCACCTAGATTCTACCTAAGTATATAACCAACCAGAGACTTCTTTATTTGTATTTAATTCGTTAAAGGGAGGAAAAACAGTAGGAAGAGGATGAAGATTGTAAAGCAAGACCTGGACCTTGTCCACGCTCTGCTTCCCAGAAGCTCATACATACATCTGTTCCATAGATGAGGAAATCACTGGTTAGGGCATGGCATAGAATCCGGCACTTATCATCCACTGCTGGGAAGAGTCGAGTCTCACGTTCTTCCTGAGCATCCAAGAGTTCATTTTCTATCTAAAATATAAAGATGTCTTATTTAGCGCAGTTCTCAACCTTCCTAATGCCTCGACTCTTAATACAGTTACTCAGGCTGTGGTGACCCCAACCATAAAATTATTTCATTGCTACTTCATAATTGTAACTTTGCTACTGTTTTGAATTGTAATGTAAATATCTAATAAGTGACTGCCAAAGGAGTTGCAACCCATAGGCTGAGAACTGCTGATTTAGTACTTTCTTGATTTATCCAAGTAAATAAGGTATATAGCCAGGGAAAAGTGTCTTTTTCCCAAGTTCAACTACATAATCAGACTCTCAAACTACCTTAGGCCAGTTTACACACAAAACATGACAGCTGGCACACAGGGCAGCCCTGAGCATCCTTTTTTAGTGGGAAGTTTAGTAGCTCAAATGCAGAGTCGAGAAATAGATGTGTGCTATACTCTGGTCTAGACTCCTGTCCTCACAGGTGCCAGTCCCTCTGGAACAACTCAATAGGCACAGTTAGGTGGATCCCAACATGCAACATTTCCAATTACAGAGTAGTAAGTGTGTTCTCTTTAGGTACTCACAGCTCATCTGCAGATGCAATTACCAACTAGGTCATCTTACTATAGTTAATGTTGTGAGTAGCACTGCTGATAGTTATCAGGTTTCCTTGGCATGGGTAAGAAGTCAACTGAACTCTGCTCATCCTTTACCCACACTGGGTTTTCTAGTTAGTCTCTACATTCTTGTTTCCCAGCCAAGGTTCTTGATAATGGGACCCCAAACTTAGGCTTCCAGGACAGGAAGATTATACTTACCAAATGTAACTGGATTTTGCCTTCAAAGAGTGCAGCAGCATAGTCAGAATGAAGGCAAATGCTGGCCACCGTTCCCAGATATTCCACATCTTTTAACTTTTTCACAGCTATACCAATTTCAAAAACATTATACACATTAAAATATAGGTAGAAGTACTGCAGCTATTTACATGAAAATGATTGTTCAATGTGACTTTGAAAAAGATCTTCTGAACAAAGACCTGTTTCAGCCACTCTGAAAAGAATAGAGAGGAGGGGAGGAAAGACCAAGTTCTCCTTATATGGAAAGAGCATTAGTTAAAGAACAAAGTGGAAGGAATGGACACCATTAGTTAAGCACTTTCCAGGCTTAGGTGTGCCTCAGCAAAGACACTGTGCAGAGTGAGGTCACAACACTTAATTTCACCTCATCAGCTTCATGACCCATTTAAAGTAGCTTTATCTTCTAGATTAGTCAAATTCACAGGGTAGCTACAGTCCTTTAGCAGAGGCAGAAAGGGACATTCAGTCCAGGAATGGAAAACTCATACCATGCTGTCTTCACTACAGAAGCAAAGAATGCAACCTGTTAGACGTTATGCTAAGATTGTAGAGTAAAAACAAAGCCATTAAAGTTAAGAAAGAGATGTTAGGATGAAAATGAGTGGAAGACTCAGCCTCAAAAACCACTTCTCATGTTTCCCAAAAGTATAGAAATGGAATAGTATACAAGAATACAACACTTGGATTTAGACTTGCCATTTTCACCAAGGACATAAAACCAAGCTCGATTATTCATCCCCACAGCCAGATGATAGAGACCTACTGCGACAAAGTTGGGCTCCACATCGACGGAAACTGTGATTGGTGGCTCCTACAACACAGTATTGGAACAGTCGTGAATCAACCATTAAAACCGTTTCAATTTATAAACAAAGGACAGACCATACGTACTCCTTCAATGAGGTTGGCCACAGTGACCTCAAGGAGGGAGGTGAGATATGCAATCCTTGTGTGACAAGCATCCCCGAGGATGGGCAGCTTGGTCAGGAAGACGTGGAGTGAGCCTCTCTGGGTAGACAGTGCTAGCAACTGACCATCATCAGTCCAGGATAAGGTACCCAAACCTGAAACAATTTGTAAAATAAACCATCATTCAAAACCACAATATACTGTGGCAGGCAATCAAATAGATATGTCATGCAATAGGTGTTAAAAACTTTAGATGCGTTCTTCCCTAAATCATCTTGCTATTTCACTACACATTAACAATATGGGCATTGAGCCATTTGCTGTGGCTCGAACAAAAGTATACATCCATTGTACAACTGGGATTAAAGTTTGCTATTAGCCTCTGCTACCCAAGTGTACTTACAACCTTTAGTCAACTTACGACATATCAAAATTCCTAAAATAAACTATTTTAAGGAGCTTCACAGAAAGGTGTTAACTTTAGTCCTCCTATAAGAATACAAACTATGCAACGATCATTTTTCTCCATAATTATAATGACAAAATACCAATCAGCTTTGGCAAAATCAATACCTTTATTTTCATCATCCAGATTAATTATAGCATACATGTCTCTTAATTCTGTCAAATCATGGATTTTTATGCTGAAAAGTAAAGAAAAAGGAGTATATGTTTTTAGTGGGTTTCATTCTGGCATTTTTGCACATTGTTTCCAGTCACCCTTCCCACTGGCCCTGCTGTTGGACCCCCTTCTCCTGGCCCTGCTGTTGGACCCTCCCCCTCACTTTCGTCCCTCATCCCGTGAGGTGTCCCCTCTCTACAGCTTCAGCTTGCAGTGATGGCTTCTTCGCAGTCCCTTTATGTGCCCTGGAGCCGTCTTTCAGACCTCAGGCTGCTGTGAACACTGGCTAGCATAGACTGGCAGACAAACAGGGGACTCCCTGTTGAGCTGTGGCACACTAAATTCTGGTATTGTCCTTTGATTGGTCTACTGTTACTTCATTTCAAAGCCCTTCAATTCGTCCATTTGTCCTGGTTTACAGCTGGATCAGTAGGAGAGGCAGATGGAGTGTGTTCATTCCATGTAATCTCAAACTCCCATTTTAGTTTTAAGATTGATTTTCTAGCACATTCAATTTTATGCTTTTGTTCTGAGGCATAAAACCTTTAGATGTTTTCTGCATTCAACAGTCTTACTATTTCATTATACATTATCGGGAGACTGTGAGTGCTGACCATATGAATGTGAGCAGGGAAGTAGAGGACTTAAATTTTTTTCATTGTAAAATGTTCAGAGAGTCCAAGGAAGTGCAGATGTCAGATGCACATCAACCACAAAATTCTGCTGATTCTCTTAAGGATCCCCCTGGGTGGTTTGAATGGGAATGGCCCTCCATAGACTCATGTGGATGAATGCTTGGCCCATGGGCAGTTGACACCATTAGGAGGTGTGGCCTTGATGGAAGAGGTGTGTCACTGGGGGGTGGGCTCTGAGGTCTCATATGCTCAAGCTACACCCTGTGTGGATACAGTCTCGTTCTGTTGCTATGGATCAAGATACAGCTCCTTCTGCAGCACCACATTTGCCTGCATGCCACCGTGCTTCCCGCCATGATGATAATGGACTAAACCTCTGAACTGTAAGCCAGCCCCAATTAAATGCTTTCCTTTGTAAGAATTGCCATGGTCATAGTGTTTCTTCACAGCACCCCTAAGACATCTCCACATTCCCAGAAATAAGTGACTCTAACTAACCAGTTATCTCCACATGTAGCAGCTTTGTTCAGTGTGTGTGACAATGCCACACTGGTTAGATTATCCTTATGGTCCCGAGCCTTAAATATCTCCTGTCCAACTTCTGGAAAGTGAGTAGAAATGGCCAGAAATGTTCCACGGGAAAAGCCAATCATGATGTAGCCATCACCATACCTACAGCAGCAAAGCAATAATAGGATTAAAAAAGAGATGAACTATCAAGGTCAAAATGGCAAAAACCTTAATATGATAAAATATAATTCACTGAGGCCCTACTGTGTATCAGGTAACATACTGGATGGTGTTATACATGAAATCACAGACTGCAATAAGGATGCATATATAGAATATAATATTACAGACAGGCAAATAGTAAGAAAAATCACATTTTTTTTCTATAGTTAGTCTTTTGTACATACCAACTATAGCAGACGATGTTGCCATAGGCTTGCTGAAACTCCAGATCAACTGGGTTATCTGGTTCATTCAAATGAAAAAGAAACAACATTTTCTTGCCAACTACTGCACTTATCTGCCAGGAAAGACCAGGAGATCATGGAATGGGTTACTCAGAATTTCATGAGAAGACCAACAAGCAAGCCCAAACAGTCAAACCTCATTATGAAAACAGTGAGCCAAAGCTAGATATGCTAAATGCTATCATTAGTATAAACCGTAACTAACAAAAATAGCAAAAAGCACTTACTGATATATAGTCTGGCAGAGGTCTTTGGCTTTATGTATTTCCAATATCCTTTTGAGATACACTATGCCTTTGTGGAAAGTCTTTTGAACTCTATACCTTTCACCAGATACTGTGCTATTTAGGAGGGTGACTCAGTCATAGTTTTGCTGCAGCTGAATTCATTTTTGTAGTACAGAAAATTTCATTCTAAGAGGCCACTTGGCAGCTGGGTAGTGTGGCCCACACCTCTAATCCTAGCACTTGAGAGGCAGAGGCAGACAGATCTCTGTGAGTTCAATACCAACCTGGTCTACGAGAGCTAGTTCCAGGACAGCCTCCAAAGCCACAGGGAAACCCTGTCTTGAAAAACCACTCAGTCTTGAAAAACCAAAAAAAAAAAAAAGAGGCCACTTGACTTGTGAGCCTGCCAGGATTACAAGTGTGCGCTCCTGAGGATAAGCTAGCTTCAGTGTCACTTTCTAGTCGTGTGGTGGCGTTGTGTCCCCCAACCACTACCCGAGCGTGGCAGAAGTAGGATCCCTGTGTTATTCACACAAAATCAGAACTAGCTACAATTGTCCCTGGAAGCAATCCTTATGTTGAGGAGAAAGAAGTGTATATTAACCTATGTTAAAGATGTTACTTGGCTGTATTGCCTGGATTCCAAAATGTTATCAACTACAATAGCATCAATTGAGAACAGTCTTTAGGAAATAAAGAAACGTTACCTTCTTACATATTTTCATGTTTATTATAAAAATTATCTGGATTCTAGAATGTTACAATACAGCAAGGAAATTGTACATGTTAAAGAAACAAGCTACAATTTTCAGAGATCCGGTTACCATCAGCAGTGTGAAAAAAAAATCTAAAGTCACACATAAATCACTGTTTCGCTTCTTAAATTTGGTTTGCTTTTGTTTTTGAGACAGGGTTTCTCTGTGTAGCCCTGGATATACTGGAACTCGCTCTGTAGGCCAGCCTGGTCTTGAACTTAGAGACTCACCTGCCCTGCCTCCTGAGTGCAGGGATTAAAGGTGTGCGCCACCACTTCTGGCTTTAATGTTTCCATTCCTAAAGGGATCTCTATGTTTTTGCTACCACAGAAGTGGGTACAGAAACAGCAGCCATAACAGGAAAAGTCCTCAACTGCTATGAGCCAATTAGCAATGGCAAACACCAATTTCCAGGTCTGAGAGACTAAGCTTTCCTTGGTTTAAGAAACAACAGACATAATTTATTGAACTCTGAGTCAGCTGGGAAAAGGAACTGGCCAATACGAAACTACCAAAATGACTTGGGTGTGGGCTTGAATTAGGATGCTTACTGTGCTTTCAGCAGAAGAAATTCGGTCGTCCGTCTTGCTTGTGGAAAACTTGATGTCACTCGGCTCTGATTTCACCGGTGTCTACAGGAATAAGACATCATCACTGTGAGTGAACTCAGCAATCAGATCACTCTCATCAGTGACAGGACACAAGCTAAGCATAGCAGGAACGAAGCCCTAGAAATACTTTCCCTCTCTAAAACAAGTCTTATAGAGTCATTCTGAATAGTAATAAAACACAAACTTTGCTTTTATTTACGACTAAACTTGGAATATGAACCTGAAAATTCTGCCAAATACCTGGAAATTCTGAGTGAAACGGAACGTGTGTTTTTCTTATATGGACAGTTAAGTTCCAGGAAGGATTTACAGACAGCCTTGGCAAATAGCTCTCTGAAAAGAGCGTGCGCACATGCTCAAGCTGCAGCCTCCCGTGTGGCCAGGGGTGGGGAGAGCTAGTGATTTGGGTCAGAGAAAACAACATTCATCTCAAGAATGTAATCCACTAAATCTAACTGTGAAGTTTTTGTTCTGTACTTTCTTCTAAGAGCTTTAGATATTTAAGCATTTGGTTTATTTGGAACTACTTTGAAATATTTTATTTATTTATTTTCCTCTTTCTTTTTTTTTATTTAAGTTAGAAACAAGCTTGTTTCACATGTCAATCCCAGATCCCTCTCCCTCTCCTCCTCCCCCACCCTCCTCACCAGGCCCCCCATGGTGGAGCTCCAGAGTCTGTCATTTCATCCAGGGCAGGACCTAGGCCCTATATGTTTCCAAAAGTACAGGCAACAAAAGAATAAAACAGACAAATTGAACTTAATGGAATATAAACTTAAATATGGTTGAATGTGATTTTAGCATGCCTGGGAACCCAGGTTCAATTCCTAGCACCCCCCCACACCCCTCAAAAAAGGTGTATAGAGAGAACACTGTTGGAAATTAAAGAATAAAATGGCAACCCATATAATGGGAAGCAAATCTGTAAATCATGTATTTGACAGGACTTTAATACCCACAACATAGAGAGAACTCTTAAATTTCAACAGAACAACCCAATTCAAATGGGAACAAAGGACTGGAGTAGAGGTTTTTCCAAAGATGGCAATGGCCAGTAATGAATGGAAAATGGCCAACATAACTAGGAAGATATAGACTGAAAATTTAAGGTATCACTTTATAGCCATTAGGTGCTTAAGAAAAATCCAGAAAATAACACTCCTCCACTGCTGGTGGGAGAGTCAACTCATACAGTCACTTTGGAAATCAGTATGGAGATTCCTCAGGAAAATGGGAATCAGTCTACCACAAGACCCAGCAATTCCACTCTTAGGCATATACCCAAAAGATGCACATTCATACAACAAGGATGTCTGTTCCACTGTATTCATAGCAGCATTATTTGTAATAGCCAGAACCTGGAAGCAACTTAGATGTCCCTCAACTGAAGACTGGATAGACAAAATGTGGTACATTTACACAATGGAGTACTATTTAGTGGAAAAAACAATGGAATCTTGAAATTTGCAAGCAAATGCATGGCACTAGAAGAAACCATCCTGAATGATGTAACCCAGTCACAAAAAGACAAACATTATGTACTCACTCATATATGGATTTTAGACATGGATCAGGGGAGTGCCAGCCTACAATTCCACTGCCAAAGAGTCTGGGAAACAGAACCTTCATCCAATGACTGATGGAAGCAGAGGCAGACACCCACAGCTAAACACTGAGCTGAACTCAAGGAACCCAGAGACAGAGAGGGAGGACTGATGAGCATAAGGGTCAAGACTGGGCTTGTTTAACCCACAGAAACAGCTGACCTGAACAAGGGGAAGCTCTTGAACCCCAGACCGATGGCTGGGAATCCAGCAGGGGACTGACCGAGACACCCTTAATGTGGGTGTCAGTGAGGAGGCCTAGGCAATCTGTGGGGCCTTGGGTAGTAGATCAGTATTTATCCCTGGCATATAAATGGACTTTGTGTGCCACAATGAGAGATGCTCTCTCAGTCTGGACTCTGGGGGACAGCCTAGGCCCTGCCCTGGATGAAATGACAGATTATGGACACCGCCCCGCAGGCTCTCCCCCCCGGCCCCCTGTGGAGGGCCTCACTCTCCCTGAGGAAAGGAGTGGGGATTGGGGAAGGGGGGATGGGGGATTGGTGGGAGGGCATGGGAAGAGGGGAGGGAGAGGGAGCTGGGATTGACATGTGAAGCAACCTTGTTTCTAAAAAATTTAAAAAGAAAAAAAAAAAAAAGAAAAATCCAGAAAATAAATGTTGGCAAAGATGTGGAGGAAAAAAAAAAGAACGTAATCTACTCCCTGCTTTCCTATCCTCAGTAGGGCCTTTGGTTCTGGCCCTGGGGAGTTCCTCTGGGGAGAAATTTACTTAAAAGGTGGAAGGAGCCAGGCCCACCATTCCTGAAGTCAGGCCAAATGCTCCAAGTCTGATATACCCTACAGAAAATGAGCTTTAAACTCAAAAGAATGCAACTCACAGAGAAACGAAAGTCCCTAAAACACGAGAGAGAGACAGAGACAGAGAGACAGAGACAGACAGAGAGAGACAGAGAGGGGGGAGGAGAATGGGAAGAGATTATATAATAAAGACTTTAAAGAGACACAGGGTGAGAAAGGGCCAGAATGTAAAATAAATAATAAATTTAACAGTTTCAGTAGACCGTACTTTGCATTTTTCAATTTTTATTTTATATTTCTTTTTTGCTTGCATGTATGTCTGTGACCCACCACCTGTGTGCCTGGTGCCCTCAGAGATCTTAAGAGACTGTGGAAAAGGAGTTTGAAAGGGTGTAAGCTTTAATCCCAGCACTCCAGAGGCAGAGGCAGAGGCAGGAGGATCTCTGTGAGTTTGAGGACAGCCTGGTCTACAGAGTGAGTTCCAGGACAGCTTCCAAAACTACAGAGAAACCCTGTCTCAAAAAAACAAAACAAAACAAAAAAATCTACAGAAAGATTGTAAGCTGTCATTCAGGTATTGGGGATCGATCCTGTGTCCTCTGTAAGAACCAGTTTCTTAACTGCTGAGCCAGTCTCTGCAGCCCAGCAAGCTACACTTCTGTGTTATGTATAGGAGATGCACTTTGCTGGGTACTGTTTGGCTGGTACGGCCTGTGTAGCTTTGTCAGTTCTTTTCAAATGTCCATCCTGAAGGGGTATACATTTTTATCTACAGTTTTATTAATATAATATGTGGCCACAATATATATCATTTTGTCAGTGTGACACATGAGCAACGATGTCTCAGCATTGCTTTATCATTTTGTAATTATGAGTTTCACCATTATCATGTATGAATTATTTCAAGTAGGGCTCTAAAAGACTACCAAGTACTTTCTAAAAATAAAATGTAGAATTGTCAAAGTTAAAACTTCCAGGAGGATAAGGCAGAAGTATGGCCCTGTGTTTAAAGCAAGCCTGGGTTACATAATGGCTTGCAGGCTAGCCTGTGCTACAAAGTGAGGTCCTGTCTCAAATGCAAAAAACAGAGGGCTGGGAATGCAGTTTAGCGTGCTTACCTAGCACGCATGGGGCCCTAGGTACAATCCCTAAAACTGCAAAAAGCAACCAACCAGTCTCTAGACTCCGTAGCTGATGTGTGGTCAGTGCAGGACAAACACAAGTGACACTGGAGTGACTTTCTGAGCCACAACAGACACCAGCAAATGAGGCGGTGCTTGTAATGTGTGCTTGGCCTACACGCGACACCTGAAGTGGTATGTCTGGTTTTGGAAGGAGACTTCCCAAGGTTAGAAAGTGGAGACAATTACCTTGCATGCAAATACTAGCAAGATGTAATGAACTCCTGTGGTGCCCTGTAGAAACACTGTTCTAAGGTCAGTTCATGGCTCAGGGAACAAAAGTGTGCAGGTACCTACTGAGAATGTCCACTATGGGCAAATGGACTGGGGCTGCAGCACAGACACAGTGTATCTACCTTTCTGTTCCTAAAGGGCACCAGAATAGAATGATCAAAACTGTAAGATTTCTAGAAATCGTAGCAAAGCAAAAAACTTTTAGAATGCTGTACCGTGATTCTTTCCGCCAGCCTGGTCCCAGAGCTTCGTCAGCCCCAAATAAACATGCAGGACGCTATATTAATTATGAAGCTGTTGGCCGTTTGCTATGGTTTCTTAATGGCTAGCTCTGACTTAATTATTAACCTATAATTACTAATATATATTTTGATAAGGTCTTATCTTACTGAGAATGCCAGACTTGTGTTCTCTCCTCCCAGTATTACATGGTGACTCTCTACCCTTGACTACATTTCCCAGAATCCTCATCAACTCCTAGTCCTATCTATCTTGCTTCCCTATTGGCCAACAGTGTTTTATTTATCAACCAATAGGACAACATATACACAGAAGGACTTCCCCCATCAGAATGTCAGAAAAATCTTTTTTTTCCCCCTTCCAGACAGGGTTTCTCTGTGTAGCTTTGGAGCTTGTCCTGGCACTCATTCTGCAGACAAGGCTAGCCTTGAACGCATGGAAATCCACCTGCCTCTACCTCCCAAGTGCTGGGATTAAAGTTGTGTGCCACCTTCTCCTGGCTCAGACAAATCTACAAACTATACTAGCTTGAGGCAACAGCATAGCTCAGTAGATAAAAGGTGCTTGGCATATATGCCTGATGACCTGAGTTTGATTCCCCAGAGCCCATATAAAGTTAGAAGGGGAGAATTGACTAATTTTTTTCTGACCTCCATGCCTGTGTTGAAGTGAGTGCGTGCATGTACACGTACACACACACACACACACACACACACACACACACACACACACACACACAAATAATCAATAAAATTAAGGGTTTCTCAAAGCTCTTTTCAAAAGATCTACACCAGTCATGCTATGGTTCTGCTCAACATGGCAGAGGCACGCACTTCTCCTTGATTTGTTCTAAGTATCCCAGACACAGAACCAACTCACTTTTTCCATTGTTCACTATAAATATTAATCTCAGTGCATACCTTCAGCTAGCTTGGGCCACCTGGACTACACCTTCCCCTCATACCTCTGTTCATGCTACTCTGCTTGCACAGAGTGAGAGACACCTAGCATGCATAAGGTTAATGCAGTAAGTGCTCTACCACTGAGCCACACTCATAACTTTCATTATAGCATCTGCCTGCACTCTGTCTTATTTAGGTTTTCTGTCTTTTAAAGATTTATAATCTAAATTTTTAGTGATCTCTATATGCCAAAGCTATAGAGCTTATAAGATGTACCATAAAATTTGGTAACTAATCATGGAGGGCCATGTATCTTTTAGAAATTATGTTGTATCATGGCAGGAATGTGTGTTAATAGGAGAGCCATGGCGAGCATGGAAGCTGAAGCAGGTGGAAGGCAATCTTGATCTTTTATAACAACTTTCACTTAACTACTAGAGTCCCAAGAGAACTACATTAATTCCTTCCTGTCCACAAGGACTCCATCTCCTCCTACTAGGCTCCAACTCTTCAAAGGTTCCACTACTTCCCAGCATTATATACACAAGACCATACTTCTGACACATGAACCTATGGGTGACAAACCACATTCAATCACTGTTCACTCCATGGGAGAGATCCATGCGGCAAGGAATCAGGACTTACAGTGATTCTGTGTAGGAACAGCGATCTGCAAGGAGCTGAACTCTGCCAACAACTGCATGAGTGAACTTAGAAACAGCCTTGTGGGAGATCCTGAGGCAGAGACACCCCAAGAAGCTGCATCTGGATTCCTTGTCAACAACTATGAAACACAGATGTTCTAAGCTCCTGCATTTTGAGATGTTTTATTACACAGCAGCAACTGATGAATACATCACATTCTCAATTGTGTATATAGCACAGAGCAAGGTTCATTCTTGTGCCTAAGCAGATATTCCAAAGATGTTTCAGTCAATACTAAAGTAGTTCAAAGAATAATTTTCCCATTGGTAATACTAGGTAGCTACTGGCAATACAAGTTCTCTTATGGAGGGACCCTCTTGAGATCAAATTAATCTTGGGAAATTCCAACAGTAATAGAATTTCATCTTAACTAAAGTCTTGTCAGGATTACTTTAGAAACAATTTAACGTATCAATGAAAGTTTTGGAATAAAAACACTTGATTCCCAGTCCAGAATCCTCTAGTTCTTGACATTTATCAACATGCATACATAAAATAAGACTTCATCACAAACATGCTCATTATAGCCACAGAGCTGGTGATGCACTTACTACCAGGGGAAAACATATTTCCTTTAATAGGTAACTTATTCTTCTTAAAGAAAAGTTTCCTAGTAATACATAAAAAAGGATTTGGGTATGTGTGTATGCAAGTGTGAAAGTACGAGTGTTCATGGGTATCTGGGTGCTGCACATGTATACAGACACCTGGGAATGACAAGGGTTTCTCACATTTAAAACATAAGATTGGGGGCTAGAGAGATTGCTTAGTAGCTAAGAGCACTTGTTGCTTTTACAGAAGACCCAGGTTCAGTTCCTAGTACCCACATGATGGATTGTAACCATCTGTAACTCCAGTTCCAGGAAATCCAACACCCCTTTTTGACTTCTGTAGGTACCAGGCATGTTTATGGTATGCTTACATAACTGTGGGCAGGCACTCATACACATAAAATAATATCAATATCTTTTAAAATAAGAAATTGCATGCATATTCCACATAGTGACTTAATTTTTTTGTTTTGTTTTAAGACAGGGTTTCTCTGTGTAGCTCTGCCTGTCCTGGAACTCACTCTGTAGACCACCAAGCTGGCCTTGAACTCACAAAGATCCGCCTGCCTCTGCCTCCCAAATGCTGGGATTAAAGGTGTGTGCCACACTGCCTGGCATGACCTAAAATTTGATGCATTAGTTTGATGTAAAGCTGCTTATTACAAGGAAAATTAACCTCTCACAGCAGAAACTACAATGAGTTACCTGTCTTATTGTATCGCCTTCCTGGTTACTAACGGTGATCATTTTATCTTCACCACCCAAAGCAAGAAGATTATCTGTATTCCAGCATCCACATGTGATTTTCTTAGTATGTTTTCCTGGAAAGAGAGACAATTTTTGCAGATACATGGACTTCTCAACCAATGTTGAGATGCTAATCTGTGCTATGGGGATGAATGGTCAGGGATTCTACTCTCATCCAAGCCCTTAGTGTCTATGCAACCTTATTTCAAATGCTTTATCATGAAGCTAGAAATTAAGAAAATGGCACATAACTTTTCATTTGGATAATATTCACAGGCCCCACCAGAGAGCAATGTTTTCCTCTACAAATTTTGTTGATTTATCACAGAACCAGACTTGTAATGGTAATATCTTAAGAGAAGTAAATCCCAAAGCTACCATTCAGACTGTGGTCTCATAAATCCTTGATATAAGCTGACTTATCATTCACAATTTTAACTGCTCATGATAACTACAGTATAAGTCACACAACACTGAGGCACAAATGTGAATTTCATTAGTGAGATGTGTGCTAAGAAGGGAGACCTCAGGCTGGAGAGATGGCTCAGTGGTTAAGAACCATGACTGCTCTTCCAGAGGTCCCAGGTAATTCCCAGTATCCAGATGCCAGCTCATAACTGTCTGTAATTTCAGTTCCAGGGGACCCAACAGTAATGGCAAAACACCAATGCACATGAAATAAGTTTTTAAAAAAAGGGAGACTCCTCACTAAGGAACAGTAGGGGACACATGTCTGTGTGTGTTCAGTGCAAGTGCAATGTTTTTCCTGGATACTTTTCCAACTGTGGGTGGCTGGACATAAGAATGCAGTACCCACGAGCACAGAGGGCACAAGTGCGCTAGAGCAGGGCAAGAGGAGTGGTGGTTAGACAGCCTGCAGCCTGAGCATGACGGCAAGGAACGCCCCAGACACTTCTCATCAATCAAGAGGGCCTGGGGTGTTAAATCTCACTGAGGATGGAGAGTGAGAACTGGAATGTGAGAGTCTAGCCAACAGTTGGAGAGATACAGACTCAGGAGTTCTCAGGCTACAGAGAGCATTGCAAGTCAGGAGAGCAGCACACGAAAGTGAAGGGAACATCTAGAGAAGAGTTGTAGGTGGACAATCGCGTTGATCACAGACTAAAGGACTCAGGTGGTGCCGCAACATCAGGACGGGAAAGGATTATGTGAAGAGAGGCCAAAAGATGCTAAAGACAAATGCCTTTCTTCTTTAATTTTTTAAAAGTGCATTTGTGTGTGTGTGTGTGTGTGTGTGTACACTATGCTCATGTGTGTTCCACAGCACACATGTGGTGGTCAAAGGACAACCTTTGAGAGCACATTCTCTTTCATCATATGAGTTTCAGGGACTCAGGCTGTCAGGCTTGGTAGCACATGTCTTTACCTCCTGAGCTATCTCATTAGCCCATAAACTCCTTTCTTTACCAAGGGAAGGGAGAAGACACCTTCCTTTTTCCCATATACTGTCACATCGCTCAAAACTCAGGTTGAGCATATCATCAGTAAGAACAGTTAACATGAACTACCTGACCTACTTATAGTACTCTGGCCACTGAAATGAGAGACTGGCATTATTTTCATTTTTCTTGGTTTTTCAAGACAGGGTTTCTTTGTGGCTTTGGAGGCTGTCCTGCAATTAGCTGTTGTAGATCAGGCTGGTCTCGAACTCCCAGAGATCTGCCTGCCTCTGCCTCCTGAGTGCTGGGATTAAAGGCGTGCGCCACTACTGCCCGGTGGAGACTGGTATTATTAATTAAACTATCGTAACTGACATTTGTGGACATCAAAACCCTGCAAAGCAACAAATGCCAGCATCTAGTTAAGTCAAAGGAAATGTACACTATGAAATGCATATTTGGTTTCTATACAGTGCAGGTGCACCAAGCAGCCATGAGTGGGGTGACCTGATTTTAAGAAAGTTAAGAAGTGTGACTGGAGAGCACTTGCATTCTTCTAGAGGACCCGAGTTCAGTTCCCAGCACCCACATCAGGTGGTTCACAATGACCTGTAACTTCAGCTCCACGGGTCCAATATCTCTGGCCTGCATAAGCATCTGCACTCATGTGCACAGACACCAACACCTGCATATAATTCAAAATAATAAAAATAAATTTAGAAAAGGTGAAGCGGAAACAGAGTCCTCACAAAGTGTGAGAGAAGCGATGGTATATTTATCTAAAGGCACTAAGATGGATAATTAATTAGAATCTTTTCAGGTACATTTTACATGGTAATTGAGTAGGAATGTGGGCAGATTCATATTCGTGTTAAACACAAAGATCACAATAACATTGTGTTCATACAGTAGCCTGATATGAGAGATCATGCTCTCATCTACTATTTCCATATATACCCCATGTCAAAAATCTCTGGGACTTGTAATGTATTGGAGGACATTCCCATAGATAATGTAGGGAACAAAATGCCTACTTCAGTCATGTAGAAATTTATATGGACCTTTAATCCCAGTATTTGTGAAGCAAAGGTAGGCAGCTCTCTGAGTTCCAGGCCAGCATGGTCTACAGAGTGAGTTCCAGGGCAGCCAGGACTACACAGAGAAACTCTGTTTTGGAAAAACAAAACAAACCAACCAACCAACCAAACAAACAAAAAACACCAAAAAAAGAAATTTATATGGAAAAAGTTGATTTTTGTCACTGGGAGGAAATTTTAGTTTGGTGTTTCAAACAAATTAATGATGCTTCAGTTTATCTCTCATTATTTAAAACTAAAATCAATACTAAAGAGATACCTATGAAAATCATTTGAAATGACTCACTGCTCTTTTTGTTTGTTTGTTTTTTGTTTTTTTTCGAGACAGGGTTTCTCTGTATTGTTTTGGAGGCTGTCGGTCCAGCCTGGCCTCGAACTCACAGAGATCCACCTGCCTCTGCCTCCCGAGTGCTGGGGTTAAAGGCGTGCGCCACCACTGCCTGGCGACTCACTGCTCTTAATGGAAAGCACTTTCTCACATGTCCTGTAGGTGCTGCTGTCTCCAGCATTTGCAGCCTCTCTTAGTGGCTGGGATGCTGGATCTGGCCACATGCCTGTGGTTAGCCCCGTTATCACTCATCAATGTGATGACACAATGAAAACAGTCAATCTTCAAGGATATTCAAGGGGCCAAGGCCAAGTGAACAGGGGTTGGAGGAACCAAAGTACCTCATGCAAGGTCAAATGGGCACACACTCTGAGGCAAACTACTCATAGTCCAATGTCTGCATTCAGCTGGGGTTTGGAGACAAGGTGGGGTAAGGATTGGGACCATGGATCCTATAAACAATCACCAAATGTTTCAGTTCACTTACTGCATGGGTGAAAAATCAGTATATGTTATAATGCAACAACATTGTCTAAAATTAGCCAAAATGAACATATGTGATCAACAGGTGTTGACATGCATATGAGCTATTCCATGTCTAACGATCCCATCTGAGTGTGAAAGGGAAAACAGTTACCTGATGTTTGAAGACATAGGCTGACCTTAACTCAGTCTGTGCTGTGTACCTCAGGAAATCTTAGCAGGAGGGGGAAGCTTCCTGGTCAGCAATCTAAGATGGACCAGGGAAGCCTTTCTCTATAGATTTTCCCTTGCGGCATCTCAAATATGTAGAGTGCTTCTAGCCAGAACCTACCAAGAACGGGAATCTTTCGAGATGTCTGATGGTTATAAATGAGCAAATTTCCTTTAATGGTCCCAACAGCCAGGAAACTTCCATTTTTTGACCAAAGAAGGAAGGACATTTGATCCCTGTAATATTAAGGTATATATTACAGAACAATTCACAAACATAACCCTTTAATAATGCTCTAAGGAAATACTTCATATATAACTTTAACCTATGCTTAGAAGCTAAAGTGCAACATCAAAGTTCATGGACTTTTAGCTGCAGTCCCAGCACTCAGGAGACAGAGACAGACAGATCTCTGTGAGTTCAAGGTCACCTACAGCTACAGAGTAAGACTCTGTCTCAAGAAAACAAAAAACAAACCCCACACAACTTATAGCTTTTAGATGAACACAAAGTGTTAAAAGAATTTTTGGAGGCAACAGAGAGATGGCTCAGAGGCTAAAAACATTGGCTGGACCCAGGTTTTATCTCCAGAAACCACATGGTAGCTTAAAACTGTCTATAACACCAGTTCCAGGGGGATCCAACACCCTTTATTCTGGCTTCTGAAGGCATCAGGAATACATGTGGTTCACAGACATGCATCCTGGCAAGCCCATACACATGAAATAAAATTAAAATTTTAAAAGAAAAATTGGAGACAGTACAAGATCATCTTGGCAGCAGTTAGATTCAAACTACTACTGAATAATGAATGTAGGCTCCAATTCAGTTGTTACAGAATCTCAAATTCATGGGGTGATTTGTGTCAGTGGCAATGGTTTTTAACTATAATTATAATAAAAATTTTAATGGACAATGAGACTTCCAGAACACGGCCCAAGAAGTGAGTGAGGAGAATTCTGAGTACTTGTGAGGAAACTGCAAGGAAACAGGACAAGAGTCTTACAACCTCAGTTTTGTCACAGCAGGGAAGTGTTTTTGTGCTCCTTCCAGGTGAAGTGGATAGGCTTGAGTTTACTTCATATTATTCATTACAACTGGCTATTGTTATTTGCTTATATGCATCTATAGAAAAACATGTTTTGAAAAAGAAAAAAGAAAAACATGTTTTGCCACATGGCTTGTCTGCCATTTTTGGCCTGTCGGCCATCTGTAGCTTGTGCTTGTGACTGATTGCACACTTTACTCATGTGATTCTTCTTAGCTCTAGAGAATAAAGTTGGCTACTGCATGGGACTTTATTTAGTCTATATCTCATTTGTGGGCACCATTTTTCCAGGGCCCACTGCCTCTAGAGCAGTGACATGAAACTTAATGCATTTTTAAGGTAGCTTTTTAGATAAAATACTTGGTGTACATGTGTGAGGGAGCAGAGTTTGGACTCCCAGACCATGGAAATGCCTGGTGGGCCTGCCTGTATCTTAGTGCATGTAAGACAGAAAGGGGACCCTCAGAGCAAGTTGGCTAGACTACCCATCATGGTAAACTCTGGGTCAATGGATGAGGTGGAGAATGATCAAGTAAGGCTCCCCATGTCAGTCCTAGGTCTGCACATGCACACATATAGAGGCACCACACACAAGTGATGATGGGGCACAAGGAGCGTTCCAAAACATGGCAAATTAAACCGGAGGAAACATTGGGAACTCATAACCTTAAAAAGGATGTTGGCTGAGCACAAATTTCAGTGGTAGAGCACTGGAAACAAAGCCCTTGGTCAATTCCTAGCTACACCAAAAGGAAAAAAAAAGAAAGGATTATGTTTGTCGCTCTATCACTATTACAAAGTTGTTCAGAAGCAGATAGAAAGCATTTTGTCTAGAAGTTTTCTTTCTTAAATTAATGTATCTGAGTGTGTAGGAGTGACACCCCAGCTAGAGGACGACTTGTAGGAGTTAGTTCTCTTCTTCCACCACATGGGTCCCAGGGATAAAATTCAGTTCATCATCTTAGGGCCTTCTTGCCAGCTTCAAGTTCTTACAAACATTCTAGGACTCACAGGCTGGCTACTTCTATGATTCCCTCTAAAAGGGAATGAGAACTCTTTGGAGACTAGCTCCTTCACAATCTAAGGGGAGAAATAACCAAGGGTCCAAAACAATAGTTCTTAAAATTCATCCCATAAGCAGCAGCATCACCGAGGGATGTGTTGGAAATGCCTCTTATCAGACCCCATCTCAGATGTACCGAGTCAGAAACTCAGGGGGTGGGTCTAGCTATCTGTATGTTACTGCCTCTGCTAGGTGATTCCAGTGTAGCTACATCTGGAGCACCACAGACAGACCGTGCTGTCCTTGCCTTCTCCTTTGTTTGATGTAAGGTCTTTTATTGTGTGCCACTGCAGTCATCTCCCCTTCAGATTTTCTCATATAAATTTTGTCTCATCATGGTCATTGTTAGTATGTTTACCAAAAGACTTTAAAAGAAGCTACTTTGTAACTATAACATCTTTATTGTTTTTTCATTTTGTTTTGTTTTGAGATAGGGTCCTGGAACTCACTATGTAGACCAGGCTGGCCTTAAAATCACAGAGATCCACCTGCTTCTGCCTCCTGAGTGCTGGGACCAAAGGAGTGAGCCGCCACATCTTGCCATACATCTTTATTCTAATTAATGGAAGGATTACACATATTAACCATAAAGGGAATATTTTTCCTTCCTAAGAAAATTACTCAAGAAAGACATGGTGGTCCAAGCTTATAATCCCAGCACTTAGGCAGTAGGGGCAGGAGGATCAGAAGTTCAAAATCATCCTTAGATACACAGTGAGCTTGAGGTCAGCATGGGCTATATAAGATCTTGCTTCAAAAAACCAAAATGAAGCAAAGTGACTACAATGAAAACAAAAAAAACGCATCATTGCCTCTCCAAAGTCAAAGTAGTAAATACTACCAACATTAAGATGACAAAGAGTCACATTCTCAGTAAAACTTTAAACAGTAGTACTGCTCAGTGCCACAAAGTTGGGAAATGCTAATTACACTGATTTGGAAAGTATATATTGTGTGCATCCGTTAAATATCATATTATATCACAACAGTAAGCACAATTACTGACATTAATAAAAGTGATACAAATGACAAAACCATTTTGTCATTTAGTACTTTATATACCACTTAAAGAAAAACAAACGTATCCTTACCTCATGCCATTGTCTAGCTGGCTGGTTTTATTTGTGTTGGCATCCCACAGATAAATGCAACTAGACTTCTCAGCAATCACTGCCAGGATATCCCCATCTTTATCCCAATCCATGGCAACACAGTTGCTTTTAGAAAAGAGAAAAGTCATTACTATCCACTTCTCAAAAGTCAGAGAGAAGAAACAAATACTCACCTACCCATGACTTCTAACCACAATAAGACCACTCTATCTTTTAACAGGTCATGAACATCCTAAAATGAGAAATTCAACCTGCTATCCACTGATAACACAAGATTAACTTTAATGTTTCTGTTTTTGCTTTTGAAAGGATGGAAAAAAATTTAAGTTCTAATTTCAGTACCACTTCAATGCATTATTATACTAAATAAAATTGTATGTAACCAATTAACAAATTATGAGGTTTTCCTGATTCCTAAAAAAAAAGTCTTATCTTCCAGGAAGATAAATTCATCAAGCAATCTATAAATGAATTATAAGTCAGAACCAATGTTTTCTTTTATTTTTCTTTTTTGTTTGTTTCTTTTCTTTTCTTTTTTTTTGACAAGAGTATTCTTACCTAGTTCTGGCTAGTTTGGACTCACATGTGCACACGTAGACAAGTCTGGACAAAAACTTGCAGTGATCCTTCTGCCTTTGCCTCCTGATATCTGAGATTGTAGCTGTGCGCCACAATGCGTGTCTGTTTGATAAGTATTTTTATTTATTTATTGGTGGTACTAGGACTTGACTCTAGGGCCTCAACTATGTCAGCCAAGTGCTCTATCATTAAGCTGTAACCCCGGCCCTTTAGTAGGTAATTTTCTAAGACCAATTTTTTAGGTTTTTTTTTTAAAGTTAGCATACAAAGTAATGCATTTCATTATATAAGATCAAGTAGTGAAAAATTTCATATTTACAAAAGCAAAAAAGCATTATAAGAAATATACTTCTACCAAGATAGATAAAACAAAGTAGATCAAGGTTGGTGTGCTGGCTAGTTTTATGTCAAATTGACACAAGCTAGTCATCAGAGGAGACAGCCTCAGCTAAGACAAACTGGTTCCATGAGAAAAGCCTATAGGGCAATTTCTTAATTAGTGACAGATGTGGGAGGGCCCAGTCCATTGTGGGTGTGGCTACTCCTGGGCTGATGATCTTGGTGTCTGCAAGAAAGGATGAGCAAGCCAGTAAGCAGCACTCCTCCATGGCCTCTGCATCAGTTCCTGCCTCCAGGTTCCAGCCCTGTCTGAATTCCTGTCCTGACTTCCTTCAACGATGGACTATGGCCAAATAATCCCACCACCACCCAAAATTGCTTTGTGGTCCTGGTGTTCACAGGAATAGTAATCCTATCTAAGGCAGAAGTTGATAGCAGGATAGCGAGGTGCTGTTGTGACAGACCTGACCATACAGTTTTGGGAAGAACTGTGGAAGTTCAAATTCCTCCAAACAAAAACATCTGTGGTGGCGATGGCTTACAGTTCAGAGGTACAGTCCATTATCATCATGGTGGGGAATATGGTGGTGTGCAGGCAGACATGGTGCTAGCTACATCTTGATCAGAAGGCAACAGGAAGTGGACTGTAACACTGGGAGTAGCTTGAGCACAGGAGAACTCAAAGCCCACCCAACAGTGACACACTTCCTCTAACAGGGCCACACCTACTCCAACAAGGTCACACCTCTAAATAGTGCTGCTCCCTTTGGGAGCCGGTTTCTTTCAAAACACCATAGTTGGTAGAGTAAGTGAGGAAGATCAGGAGTTCAAGGTCATCCTCAGCTACATACTGAGTTCAAAGCAAACCTGACTACATGGGATCCTATCTCAAAAACAAAACCAAAAGAAAATCACATGTGTATAAAATATATAATGCATAGATATGTTTTTAACTTTATAATTTCTCCAATTCTCAAAAAAAAACAAACAAACTTCTTCATTTATATAATGCTACTTTTTGATTTGGACACTCTTCGCTCTTGCGTAGTAGGTAAAATATACTTTGATTTACATTTAGGTTGGTGATTATTTTATTTTATTCTTCAGAAGGTTAGGATATATTTTGGGACTCTAATTTCCTTTAACAGTCTCAGAAACTTCAGGAGCATAGAAGAGGGAAGTTTTGAAATTGTTGATAAAGTCATTGCCAGTTAAAGACTGACAGACAGAATTTTATTTGTCTGGAGACCCTTTTTGGTCAAATCCAACTATTATGAATCAGAGTTCAGATGAGGTCCTAATGCAACCAAACAGGTGTTGCTGAGATTAGGCAATTAAACTCACACAATTTACTCAAAGCAGCTGTTTTCCCTGAGTGCCTTCCTTTAGGCATAATCACTGAGTAACTATTTTGATCTCATTCCCCAAAATACAGAAATCAGAAGCAACAATGAAGAGTGTGGGAGATGGTAAAATGCTAGCCTTAGAAGGATGGGGTGGAGCAGGTGGGAGAGGCCAGGCCAACGGGACTTGGAAAACTGGTAAACACACTACGGACAGCAGATATGCGTTGAAAAGCACAGCAGATCAAGTCTACTGAGGTCAGGGAGTCTCCATGTGAGCAACTGCCGAGTCTGTCAGCAGAGGAAGATGACAACACCGAACCACTCACAGCACCTAATCTATGTATGCATGTAGAATGGCATCCTGAAAGTGGAAGACATCTTCATTCTCTAAGAAGCAGGTGCAAGGCAATTGTTCTCCAGTGATTTCTGGAAACACCAAAAAATACAGGTTGGGTATTCCTAATGGAAAAATCCTTATTTTGTAATTTTTCCCATTTTCACACGTGTGGTGTTTATATGTGTATGCATGTTTTCATGTGTAGGGGTACACGTGTGTGTGCATGTAGAGGCTTCTGGTTCGTGCTGGGAATCATCCTCAACCACTCTTCTTCTTTACTTATTGTGGCAGGCCCTCTCAATCAAACCCAGAGTTCCTATATGGCTAGTCTAAGTAGCTAGCTTGCCCTAGAGATCAATCCTGCCTTCGTTTTTCAAGGCTGGATTTACAGGTGAGTCACCTTTCTTCCCCTGTCCTGGCATCATGTACGTTCTGAACTCGGGTCCTCATGTTTGTGTGGCAAGTGCGCAGGCATCCCCAGGCCCAGAGAAACCTTATCACACTCACACAAAGCTTCCCTGTGAATATTTATGTACGTGAACTCCAAGTCAAGTGCCACACACATGCTTTGCTAACTTTAGCATAAAGGGAAAAAAAGTTTATAGCTAGAGGAAAAAAAAAAGGAAATGGGGCTATTCATTTGACTTATTTATTTTTTTATCTTTTAGGCAACAAAGCTTGAAGGTCTGAGCTACCTCTGTACTTACCCAGGCAAGCTAATCTCACTTCTTTTTTGGCCATGGCGATCAAAGATTTTCACAATATAATCAGCTCTGAAAGCAAGTAGAATAGAAAAGTTAATTTGCTATTTCTCTTATTTATCCATGTATCTAAAAAAATTTAGGCTCTATTTCAGTTGACTTCAGCGTTCTTTCATGGGAGTTTTTAAAATTGTTATTTTAAAAAGTTTGACCAAGGAAAAGGTTTTGTAAACTCTGATGTTAATGGGGTTGAATATTTATTTCATACACTATCACACAAGAGTTTATACTGAAGAGACAGTATAGGCACAGATTAGGTGTAGATACATGTGATACACCATTAGCTAAAATATTCATTATTTTCTTACCCTGTTACTGCAAGGAAGTTTCCTGATGATTTTTGCCAGGCAAACTGTATCGGTGCACCAAGCCATGTCTTTTCTAGCAGGGAGAAAACACGCTAAAAAATAAACACAATTTTTACATTTTAAAAACAATTATGTATTAGTCAGAAAAGATGTCAAAATTTAATCCTGCAGATATGCACGCTATGGAATAAATTTTTAAAAAAATTATTCAAAAAAAAAAAAAACAATGAGAGCCAGGTATGGTGGCATACACCTTTTATCCCAGCACTCAGCAGACAAAATGATCTCTGTCAGTGTGGGGCCAGACTGGTCTACACAGTGAGTTACATACAGACCAGCTAGGGATACAATGTGAGGCCCTGTCTCACAACAAACAGAAAATCAACATTAAAATGAACAAAACAAAAGTCGACTAATCAATCAAACACAAGTAGTTTGTGCGGCAGGATGGACTGTGAGTTATCTTTAATTACTGACACAATCTAGAGTCATCAGGAAAGGGGTTATCTCAATGAGGGCCTGTCTATACTGGGCTGGTCTGGCCTGTCTTGTTAATGGATGCAGGAAGACCTACCCAACTGTGGCAGGCGCCATTCCCTAGGCAGTAGGGTTCTGATTTGTAGAAACCAGCTAAAGGTAAGCAAGTGGGCATGTTTGCATCTATTTCTCTCTACTTAGGACTGAAGATGTGATCTGACTGGCCGCTCTAAGCTCCTGCCACTGTGCCTCCCCTGCTTAGGAGACAATAATCTGCAACTGTAAGCTGAAGTAAATCTTGCTCCCTTAAGTTATTTCTCTCAGGTACTTTCATCACAGCAACAGAAATGAGACTGGAACAGACCTCAAGATAAAAGAGAGTATCACACAACTTCTTTTGCTTGTTTTGAGACAGGGTCTCAGTATTGTAGCTTTGGTTGGACAGCAACTTGCTCTATACAGCAGGCTGGCTTCAATCTCACAAAGATCCATCAGCCTCTGTCTTCTGAGTGCTGGTGTTAAAGCTGTGTGCTTTAAAATGTTTCCAATTGTTATTTTTATAAAAATGTGTCACAGTGCTTTATGCATACTGAGAGAATTTAAACATGAGTTTGATAACTCTGACACAGATCTGGGGGATTAAATTTACAACATTACTATTTAAAAATCTTGAATTATTATATGATAGACCTATCTAAGATGCTTACAATCCCTTTAAAATTATCTTCTTTTACCTACTAGCTATACTTTTTTTTGTGTGGTGGGTCTTTTTGAGATAGGATTTTTCTGTGTAAAAGCTCTGGCTGTCCTGGAACTCTGTAGGCCAGGGCTTAAACTCACAGAAATCCTCCTGCCTCTGCCTCACAAGCTGTTGGCAACAATGTTGGCTTCATTGATAATTTTTCTGTTGATTACATGTTGAAATAAATTTTGGAGATACTCAGCAAATCAAATCATATTATCACATTTTTGTCTTTTTCTTTAACAACCTTACAGTTGCTATAAGTTAAACATTTTGAAATTTTATTTATATTATTCTTATATCAGACTTAAAATCTAGAAGACCTGGGAACATAACCCTAAATGAAATAAATATTAGACTTAAATGTTTTAGATTAAACAAGGGCATCCTTATCTAGGTAGATGCAGCTCATTTATATACTATTGCAGAAGACTTGGGTCTGTGTGGCAGGCAACACAGGTCCTCCAGTACACATTCTGTATCCATCTCCTGAAAGCCAGCGTCCTGGGACCACAACTTAAAGTAAAGCTGTGCTATGAATCCAAGCACACACAGGTTTTGTCCAGCATGGACATACACAGGTATTTAAAAACACCTTACTTTTGCAACCGTGTGACTACATTGTTGGTAAACCTTACTTTGGTCCCTTCATGACAGATCTGTCTTGGACTCTGATCTGACAGGCTAGTTTCCTTCCATAGAGCTTTCCGGCTACTCTAGGTACAACTCAGAAATGAAAGTTACAGCTTCCCAACCGGAAACTCAAAGATCTGCTTCTTATGTGTTAGTTACAGGCATTAAAGCCAAGTCCCTGTAACTCTCAAGCGCAGGGTTCTCAGCTATAAAGAAAAACGTATTTCCACCTTTCTGATACGTCCTATTGGAATGTGAATCACTTCTGAAGTGAATCATGCAGAGTTATCTGTCAACCCAATTGACACAAGAGCCACAGTGAAGCTTTAGCAAAGCTGAAACCATTTTAAAATCGGCTTTTCCATTTCTTTGCCAGAGCAGGGTGGGGTAGGTATCACAGGAGCGAAGACGCTGCAGCTGTGGGATTCACAACAAACCCAAATGGTAGAAAATCTTCCTGCAGAGGAAGACCCACACAAGTGTGCAGATTTCACCGTCGTGTGTTCTAGCGACCAGCAATCTGTCCACTGGACAGCCACAGGCCAAATAAGGTTTTGATTACTGTTTTGGAGACTTTTCATTCTCTCCAGGGCCCTGAGCCAGTGGCTTGGTTTGCCTGGGGTTAAGCTACAGGAATGAGGCAGCTTGAGGTGTTGGGTCACCTCCACAGCGACCCGTGCCCAGCGCCGATAAGTCCGGGCATCCTCAGATCCAGGCTTCGACTGGGTTTCAGAGGGCACAGGCCTCCCTCTCCGCCTGCTTTCGGAGCGTCCTTACCCTCATCTCTTACAGCCCCATCCCCTCCCTCCCGCTCCCTGGGCGCATTCTCCACCCCTCAGCACTCCCGCGGACACAAACTACTCAGACTCGCGCTCCAAGAGCTGAGGAAAGCAGCCACAGCCGCGTCTTCCCACCACCCAAGGCTCTTGTAAGTTATTTACCTTCATCTCCAGGCTCCAGTGGCACCCTGATCTTGTAAGTGCGCAGGCGCACCAAAACTCCCCCGCCAGGCTACCGCGTTCCCGTCACCCGGGAGACCGTGCTAGCAATGACCAATCAGCGAGCGTGGGGCGGGGCTTTTCTGGCGCCTTCCTTTGAAAGAGATGGGCAGGCGAAGCCAAACCCCGGGAAGTTGGGGGGGGGTCACGAGGTCTGGTCAACTTCCTGCCTGAGCTCTGATTGGGTGAGATCAACTCCGGGAGGCGGGCTCTGGGGGCAGAAAGGGTGATGAGCAAATCTGACGTGAAGAAGCCGGTGATAGCGGGAGAGGATATGGAGAAATTCCTGGAAAAAAGCAGTGGTCAGACTGTGGCAAGTAGGAGAAGGGAATTAGCTCACGGGTCAAACGGCTTCTGTCAGGTCCACACGTACAAGGCTTGGAGAAACTAGAGGGTCAACAGGGTTTCTCTGAATTGTTTTAGAGGCTGTCCTGGAACTTGCTCTGTAAACCATGCTGGCCTTGCTTTATAGTGTTTCAAAACTGCTTCTTGCTATTTGAAAAATGCCAATAAATCCATTTTTGTTTCCTTTTTTTCCTATATCTGGTAGGAATCTGATTTGTAGAGGGGAAAAAAGATTTAAATAAAACAACTGCTGATAAGGTGAACTTTGCACTGGGGTTTGCAGTTGGGTTAATTCTTGATTTCAGGTTCCAATTCAAATCCTGATCTCTATAAATCAATGACAGAAAAACTGAAATTGAATCAGTAGCTAATAACCTGCCAGAGGTGTTCCCTGGTGAGTTACCCAAAACATTCTCCACAGTCTCTTTCAGAAGGTAGAACCAGGAGTCAAGCCCAAAACCATTACAAAACAAACAAACAAACAAAAAAACCCCTCCCTGTCAGCATTCCTCACATTTGTAAATGCAGAATGATCAATAAAATATTAGTATATAGAATTTGATAAGTGCTAAAAAATAATGGCATACCAAGGCTAAGTGAGATCTATCCCATGCAGTATAGGATGTTTCTAGGTTTGAAAATAATTGATTTTTTACCCCCATAGTGTTAATGGGAGCCCATCACCACTCAGATGCTGCCTATGGCCAACTAAAAATCTTTATTCCTGCCAGTTGGGACTACACTCAGGTATTCTGGACCCGAATGTGGCACGGAGTGTCCAGAACTACAGAATTGCTGAAGGTAAAAACCACATCCTGGTCGGGCGTTGGTGGCGCACGCCTTTAATCCCAGCACTCGGGAGGCGGAGGCAGGCGGATCTCTGTGAGTTCGAGGCCGGGCTGGACCAACAGCCTCCAAAAAACAATACAGAGAAACCCTGTCTCGTAAAACCAAAAAAAAAAAAAAAAAAAAAAAAAAACACATCCTGGCTGGATGTGGTGGCACACGCCTTTAACTCCAGCACTCCAGAGGCAGAGAACTCAGTGAGTTCCAGGACATCCAGGGTGGAATACAGAGAAACACTATCTCAAACAACCAAACCAACAAAAATAAACCACATTCTGGCATCTCGTTTAGCAGCTCTGTGTGTGTTTGTGTGTGTGTGTGTGTGTGTGTGTGTGTGTGTGTGTGTGTGTGAGGTGTAATGTAAGCAGGCAGTTTAATAGAAGCTAAGCCAGGTATCATAACCCTAGGTTCCTACAACAGAGTTGGTAATTTTCCACTGGGCTTCTCATCGAGGAGATCAGATTCTAGTCAAGTCTAAAATGGCCTCAGTAACCTCTGCACTGTCTTGACCTGTCACAATACGACAGGCTAAAGAAGGAAAACTACATGGTTGTATCAATAGCTATAATAACAAAGCACCTGACAAAGTCTAATGTGTAAAATTCTCAACAACAACAAAACACACATACAAACACACACAAAAAAACAAACAACAAAAGTAGGAATAGAGGGAGATTTACCAATTGCAAACAGTATCCCCAAGAAGTCTACTGCTGATGACATACTCAATGCTAAGAAACCTGAAAGTGTTCCCATTAAGGAACAAGGCAAGGACTCTCTCATTTCTTTTGGAAATTCTAGTTATTGCAATAAGGAGCATGCTGATTGAAAAGGGAGGTGGAGAAACTGTTCGCAGATGATGTGATTGAGTATGTAGAAAACATGAAGGAAAAAAAAAGACAAAAACCACTGGAAGAACTGATTATACCAAGTCTTCAGGATACAACCCTAACCCACAAAGATTAGTCACTTTCCTCCATACCAGCAATGAGCAGATTTGACATAAAAGAACAGCGCCATGTATGTGAATGCCACCCAAATGAGATGCAGCTATGAGTCTAGCAACATGTATATGATCAGTGAGAACAGTACAAAATAGAAGAGAGACAACAAAGAACTCAGTAGGGCTTCCAGGTGGCTCAGTGGGTAAGCGCCCTTGCTGCCGAGTCTGACCACTTAATCAGGAGCCAACATAATGCCAAAATAATGGAAGGAGAGAACCCGCAACCACAATTGTCCTCTGTCCTCCTCATGTGTGCAGTGACACCTGTATGTCAGCAAGCACACAGATAAATATAATGAAGAAAAGTTTCAAAGAACTAAATAAGAGACAGCCCATGTTCACGAATAGTAAGATTCAGGGTTGTAAGATGCCAGTTCGGTTGTAATTTAAGAAAAGCAGCACGAGAGAGAAAGATGCCATGAGACAGGGTTCAAACAGAGGTTTGTTTGTTTGTTTTTAATTAGGGAAAGGAGTCATAAAAAGGGGAGAGGGGAGACAGTCCTCGGCTACTGGAGACAGGAGCAGCAGGAGGGAGGAAAGAGGAGGGGGGGAAGGGAAGGAGAGGGAGAGGGAGAAGAAGGGAGAAGAAGGGAGAAGGAAGGAGGGAGAGGGAGAGAGAAGAGGATGGGAGGTGGGCAGGGCCCTTTTAAAAGGGAACATGCACAGGTGGTGCTCTTAGTGGCTGCAGCTGAGGGCATACCCTGTCAGGACCCCAAGGACAGGCCAGTTTAGATGCCTGAATACTAACAATCCCCCCCCCAGTTTTATCTGTAGCTTTAATGGAAGCACAATAAAGATCCTAATCAGCTTATTATCAAATGGATCCTGAAGTTTATAGGGTGAAGCAGACATGCAGAATAACCATTGTTAAAGGAGAAGGTGTAAGCGTTTCGGGATGGGTTGGGACAAGATGGAACAAGAGTGGGTCAGGCATTCTGGCACTCGGGAGCCAAGGATACTGAGTGTTACACAGCTCAGGTGGAAAGGTATCCTGGAGCTCGGGAGCCAAGGACCACCACAGGTTGCAGTAAGCTTAGCAGCTTACAGCCTTGCCTCAGAAAAAGGCTTCTCCAGTGTATCAGCTCCACTAGGCAGGACAGGGTATTCCAGCTGGGGATGTTCGCCTAGTGCAGCAGTTTTGCTAGGCAGGAGGTTTCTAGGGCGAAGTTGCTACAGTTCAGCTCTGCTCCTGGAGAGCGGAGAGCGGGGAGCCGGGAGCAGAGTGTAACAACTCCGCTCTGCCAAGGAAGGTTTCCCGGGCAAGTGTTACAGCGCTGCTCCCTCTGCTCTGCCCAGGGTCGCCTCTGTTTGCTCTGCTCTGCTCTGCCCAGGGTCGCCTCTGCTCTGTAGCCGCCGCAAAAGAAGATCTTCACCCGAAGCTCATCCAAAGGGGTTTATTGGAAGACAGCTGGACCAGCCAAGCTGAACATACACAGGGTTTATATAGGGATTCTTGGGGTTGGGGAAGTTTTTCCAGAGTAGGGATTGGTCCGATTTCAGTGCTGAGCTCAGATTGGCTAGAGCTCTGCTCCGGGATTGGTTACTTTTTTACACAGGATTAGGGTCAGATTTGGCTCGGGTTTCAGGGCCAAAGTGTGTTTCTTTCTCTGGTCCATTTTAGCCTTTTGGCTCCATTTAGGGCCAGGGTACATTTCTTTCACTGACTCTGATTCCAGGGACAAAGTGTGTTCCTTTGGCACTGGTTTCAGGGTCAGGGTACATTTCTTTGGTTGTGGTTGCAGGGCTAAAGTGTGTTTCTTTGGCTCTGCTCAGGGTGTGTTTCTTTGACTGGTCCCTTTTCCCTACAGAAGGAGCATTGACACAATCTTACTTAAAGGTCTACTATCAAGAGAATGTGGTGGGGCAGGTGAGCTGCCTCAGCAGGAAAAAAACTCTGTGCTGGGCAAGCCTGACAACCTGGCTTTGATCCCCAGAACCTATTTTAAGTAGAAAGAGAGAATTATACCGCCACAAAATTGTTCCCTGACCACCACATATGTGCTGCAGTGTGCACATGTGCACTAGTCATTTTTTTTCAAGTATCTTCAATAAACCAGTGTAATAGATGTCTCAGTGAATAAAGACATTTTCTGCCAAGCCTGGAAACCCAAGTTTGATTTCAAGATCCTACAAGGTAGAAAGAGAGCTCTGACTTCTGCAAGTTGCCTTCTGGCCTCCATATGTAAACCCTGGCACACACACCCCATCCCCAAGTACACAAAATAAATGTAAAAAAAAAGAAGTATCTTTGAGACTGTGTGGTAAGGATGATAGAATGGACAAACACATTGGTGGTCATATCACGCCCCAGAAGAGATCCAAATAGATTTAGTCAACTGATCATTGACAAAAAGCAAGAGTGACACAGGGTAGCAGAAGTATTGTCTGTCTAGTGCTGGGACTACTGTATGTCCACATGCAAGGATGTCTTAACAAAACCCCTCCCAAAAATGGCTTGAAATCAACAGACCGAAAGAAAGATGTTAAATTGTAAATAAGACAATGTGGGAGAAAGTCTAAGTGATCTTGGACTTGATTACTTTGTAGATACAGTATCAAAGACACAATCCATAGAAGACATAATAGACCAACAGAACTTCATTAAAATAAGAGCAGTGCTTGGCAGCACTTGCTGCCAAGACTGACATCCTCAGTTCAGTTTTCCACCCTACATTGTGGAAGAGAGAACAGAGTGCTGCAAGTTGTCCTTTGACCCCCAAATGCTTGAGTGGATGTGCACACTGGAACACACACACAAAGGCATGCTGTGGAAAACATTTGTATACACGCATGCACATGCACATAAAAGTAATAAAGAATGAAAAGAAAAAAGGCAATGCTCTGCCAGTGGACATAGAGA